CCTCACCAACCAGAGCAGCTCTGATTTCATCTATTCACTTACTGGGCTTCTAGGTAACATTTGGCCTGAATAATGGGTTTAGCGGCATTTGGAAGCCAGTATTTAATTACATTGTGCTCTTATTGGTTTATAAGTAAGTGGAAAATGGAAAAATAAAATTTCTGCTATCACTAATAAGAGCATTGGTCTCACATATACTTAAGAAATTCAGATAAATATGGAAATCATTTGGCACACCCACATCAGCCCCTCTCTAGCTTCGATAATTGTATTTAAGGCAGTCAACTGTGTGTTTGGAAAAAAAAAAAAACTAAAGAACATCCATAGAATGTTAGAAATTGCCTTGAAAAAGTGCAGAATTCCTTGGAACATGCAATTCTCCAAACCAACTTTCAAAACCACTTTGCCCTCAATACAGGCTTTCACAAACAAGCATGGGAGGAAATAGGGTCACCTAAGGTAGGAAGACAAGTCAAGAGCAAATAGATGTGCTTCTGCAGGTTGGAGTCATTGAACAGGTCAGTCAAAACCACCCCTCAGAGGTGGACTGTACATAACAGCGATACAGCAGTCACAAACACCGCATTAGGGATAATCAACATCCCCAAATGAGAAAAAAATAACAGAAACACAGTTCCAGAATTCTCTCATCACTGAAAACATCAAATAGGCAAAAAATAAATAGTAAACATACTTCAAATCTAGAGGTAACATCATTCTTAACAGAAAATGAGAAATAAAAGAAATGATGCTCACTTCATCAATCATAGATTACACTGTCCCAAAAGTTCTGACAAATGTAATAAACCAAGAACAACAAAAGAAAAAAGAAAAAAACCCATAAGTGCTGTAAACTAAGAGAATGAGATTAAAATTATGGTTATTTATATATTTCATAATTTTTTACTAAAAATATCCAAAAGGACCAAAGGAAAAGCTAATAAAGAAAATAAATATCTTTACATCAGAACCTATGCCCTATTAACAAGTAGCATATCTTACTTTCAAGGCCCATGAAACATTTACAAAATTAGTTGTAGTATGCATAAAAGATACATTGATCAATTCCCCAAAGTAGAATTTATATGTCCACATTCTCTAACCACAATAAAAAATAACCACATTTAAATAAAAGGCATAATCAACAATACACAACACAAATAAGTTAATTTAAAAGTGAGATCTAGCTTTTCACATTTAATTCAGATAATCATGTCTTCTAAGAACAGGGAATGAAAATCATAAATATTTAAAAATTCTAAAAAGGCTACATATAAAACATAAGAAGTGTAGTTAAAATTGCAATTAGAAGCAAATTCATATCATACCTGTTTTCACTATTAAGGAAGAATAACAATAGGGCATATATGAACAAAACCATAAACCAAGCTTAAGGAAAGTAGTAGGAAGAACTCAATAAAGATAAAGGCAGATAGCACTGAATTTGAACACACACACACACACACACACACACACTGAATTAATAAATCATTCCAGAACTGATTCTTTGAAATACCTCTAAAATAGACATTTCTCTAGCTCATCATATAAGAGAGAGAATGTGAATATACAAAGAATAACAAAACTGATATATTATAGAAAGACAAAAATTCTATTACAAAAGAATATTATTTATAACTTTTTAATAAAATCTTAAATTAAAAAAGATAATTTTCTAACATTAATTATATTTAAAAACAATTACTGAGCACTAATGATGTGCCATACACCATGCAAGGTACTTTATCTATTAATCTTCACAGTGGTCCTCTTAGGTTCTCATTTTAGTCACTTAACAATTAAGGAAACTAAGAATTGGGAGCAGGTGGCAGGGGGGGGGGGGAGAATCACAGTTTTCCCAGCATCATATAGGAAAGAACTGAACTCAATTTATCTGATTTCAGTGCCTACAGGTTTAAACACTGAGCTATATTAGAAAAAGAATTAAAAGTCCTAAAGATGCAGAAAATCTGAAGAATCCAATAAATACAAAAGCAACAGGAAACATTATGAAAGAGATACCCTGGAGTTATGTAGATGAGTTCTTTAAAGTTTTCAAGAAAAAAGATCACTCAAATGATGCAATATGGTACAGAATGAATAAAAAAAATGGAATGTTCTCATTGATTTTATAAAGCCAGCATCACCAACACCAAAATCAATCAACAAATAGATTTAGAAAATTCTACACCCAATACTAGCAAAGCAATCTTATTAAAAGAATGATATACCAAATTAAATAGAATTTGATCCAAAAATGTTTCAAAGTTATGAAACATTACAATTAATTGTATCAACAGATCAATGCAAAACAACCCAAATATGTGTTAGGTATCAAAAGTGTATTTCATAAAATTCTAAATCAATTCCTGATTTTAAAGACATCTATGAGCTAGGAATACTTATCTAGACTGAAAAAAATGCTTAATAATCAAACTTAATAATGAACTAGAAATAAGACAAGATTTCTGTTATCACCAGTGTAGTGTTTTAGAAGTTCTAACTGATGCTATAAGGTAAGAAAGAGAAATTGACTAGGTAAAATGAAAATTTGCATTATGTAGATATGAATGACTTTTAACCTAGAAATTCCAAAATACTTAGCTAAGAGCTTGTAGAATAAATAAAATAATTCAGTGAAACAGACAGTAACTAAACATTTCCCTACATACCAGTTGCAAGCAGTTAGAAAATATGAGGAAAGATGGATCAAATTTACAATATAAATATCATTTCATTCCTTAAAATAAACTTAATGACAAGTTGTGAATTTGTCAAATTTGACAGATCAGTTATATATAAATGTAAAACTGTAAAATAGTGTAAAGCCCAAGTATCAAAAATATCAGTTTCTTTTTAATTAATTTTTCACTGAAAATCTAAAATTCTTTTGAAAGAATAAATAAATGACATCCCCCAAGACAAACTTTAAAAATAAGAAGGAAGGAAGACCATTGCCACTGAATAATAATACATTATAATATAATTAAAATGGCAATATGAGCCTAAAAATTAGCAAGCCAACAGAATAACCAAAAGCCAGAATAAGAACCAAAACTATACAAGTATCTACCACGTGGCACATATGGAAATGGGATAGATAGCTTATTCTCACAATAATTAAATTGATGATTGAGAATTCAAATGTAAAAAAATGAAAGAAGTAGAAAGAAATAAAATTGACTGTTCATATGAGTTCCATTTGGGAAGGGTCCTTATCAGAAAGTGAAACGCAAACAAAGAAACTATAAGGAAAAATAAGTGATAGATTTTTAGATGCCAATATGAAAATAAGTTCATTAATAATTGAATGAAAAATAATTAAAATCTCCACAAACAAAATTGAAGAGCAAATGAAAATGGGGGGAGAAAAGGGGACAACAGTAACTACTGTTCCTGGAAGGTATCAAGCATGGAAGTGTTGGAGTTGATCATGGTATGCAGCTGAATACATCCCCGTGAGCCCACTGAGTGTAATTGTAATGCACTAATTAAAACACACAAAATGTAAAAAGATAAACACACCAATAAAGAAGGAACCCAATTTCCAGTGCAGCTGGTGGACTGCAGGCAGATGTTGGCCTGGCCTGGAAAAATGGATGAACATAGATCCACATTGAGACACAAATGTGAAAACTTGAAATGATGGGAGACAAGAAAATCCTACACATTCAGAAAGGTTGAGGAATCACAAAGGCTTTGGCCCCCTCTCAATACCCCTAGAAGCTAGAAGACCATAATTTATGATTTCAAGATCTGAGAAGGAATATCAAAAAGGTTTCCAACTTAGAATTTTATACCCAGCCAAATTATGAATGTCAGTGTGGACATTTCCTATTCATATGTGAAAGGTCTCTAAAAATTATCTCCCATGAACTTTTCTCCAGAAACTGCAGGGGGTACACTCTAGTAAAACAAAGAGAAGAATGATAACGTGGGATCTATGAAATCAGGGATCCAACCAAGGAGAGAGGATCAAGGGACTCCCCAAAATGGCGCCAGGATACCTCAACGTCCACTGACCCATAGCACAACAGGCAAGAAGGACGCAGGAAGAAATTTCTTCAAAAAGATTTTTTCCACATATTTAAGTTGGATAAAAAAAATGCAATTGAATATATGAATAGGCTTGTAATAAACCTGAGCTCTATTCAAGAAAAAAAAACAACCCCCCCCCAAAAAAAAACCCCAACACATCAAAGAGAAAAGAACACATGCACACCTACATACAGGGTGAGTATTAACTCCAGGGGGGAAAAATTGTGAAGAAGAAAATACTCACATTGCTACTTCATTCAGCATTCAAGAGTGTTTACATTCTTACAACAATGTAAACTCTGAATATTGACCAAACCATAAATATATGGAGAGGTTGATACACAGAGGAAGGCACTAGGGTGAAGCCAAGGGCGTATGCAAAGTCGTCAAAGTCTTGTTTTCTGAGAAAAGTCAAGACAATGCCTGAGCTTTTTTTTTTTTTAAGTCAAGACAAATGGCTAAGCTTTTAAGAAAAATAAGAAAAGAAAATCATGAAGTAGAAAAATAAGAATATTACTTAGAATTATGGATGTAAATGTCAAAAGAATCAGCTAGGGAACTGTAAGCTGCCGCTACAGTGCGGAAAACCTGGGTGGAGCCGGGAAGGTGGGAGGGCGGATGCTTCTGTGACAATTGCACAGAACTATCTGACTCTTAAAACGAGGCATATGCATAACTTTGACAAAAGTAAAAACTAAGTGAGAAACGAGAAGTGCAAAGCCTGAGCTGGCAATTCAGATACAAATAAGCAAAGAAGAAGTAGGGAGTTCTTCAGACACAGGTGCAGAAGGAGCTCAGACCAAGAAAGAGAAGTCCCACATCAGACCTGTAAAGGCACAGACTTTGGCAATCCCCAGAGAAGTGGGTGCTGCTCAAGCTGACTCTAGAACACACGTGGCCACGAAGTTAGGGTGGGGGCAGATTGGCCACAAGGCACTCGCGCTGCTGGGCTTTCAGAATGAACTGCGGGGAATGAACCAGAGATATGAGGGTGAACACAGAAGCCCACCTTGAACTGCAGAATTTGGATTTTAAGTGCATCCTAATACCAACAAAAGCAAACCCACGAAGCTGACTGTGATACAGTCAGTAGCTAGAAGGCTCTGTAACCATTAAGGAACACAGAACAGGAAACCACTTAGTAGTATAGTTAGGTAAAGAAACAGGATAACAGTGATGAGTTCAATCACACACACACACACACACACACACACACACACACACACTCTCCTAATTTTCAGAAGTAAACAAGAAAACAGAGGCTGGTCACCAAATGTTGGCAGTGGTTGTCTTTGAGTAGTGGGACCAAGAAGATTCTCATTCTTCCAACTGCTCTTCTCAATATTTTATAAGCTTTTGCAAGAAATACGTATTTTTTTGGATATCAGAAAAAATATATATATTATTTAAAATCATTATTGTATGTGACCCTAATTGCTTTAGGGTCTTTGATGAGAAAAACTCAATGCTCCTGTGTTTTGTGTTCTCTGTGATGTAATCAGCTAACAGAGTGCAGTTGTCTGCATAATTGGAGACTCGGGCACAGGTGAGAAGGTGACCTTGAGCCCCAACTCAAGCTGTTTGAAAGGACACTGCAAGGATGCAGAGCCTCCACCCCTTGGAGGGACCAGAGATGAGGGACTTCTCTGGCCAGCCACGGCCTCTACTTGGAGAAGCAGCTGCCAGAAATGGCCCAGCCTCTGCACACTAAGGCTCCGGGAGAGGCGCATGGATCGTGGCCCCTCTCGGAGGCATTCACACACACTCTGGCCCTGCGTAAAGCTCATCTAGGACCACTGCAGTCTCCGCATGTCCTCGACTGGCCCTTGCCACAGGCACACAGCATGCAGAGAAGAGTCAGGAAAAGCACAGCTCACCCTGCAGAGGTGCTACTACACCCATGGCCGTCATCCTCTGGGAAGCCAGCGGCTCGCGGCCACATCTCCAGGGGCTCCATGCTGGAGGACCTTCCAAGGCAAGAAGGAAAGTCAAGACCCAACCTGTACAAGCAGGCAGCTGTGGGGTCAGGGGAACTTGCAAACGTTCACTGGGGCTGGGGGGCCCAGGGAGTGGACCCAGCCAGCACCTGCCCTCTGGGGACTCTTATCAAACATGAGGTACAAGTGTCACCTGAGTGGGTGGAGCTGAGGGATCTTGAGAGTGAGCAGTGACAGGAGGTGTGCACTGGGCAGCTGTAAGAACCTCAGGGAGGCAGGAGCAAAGGGGACAGCAGTGGGGAGGAGTCGGAGGGGCTGGGCGGGCAGCAGGCTCCCTGTGGGGCAGACACAGGAGGCAGCAGGAGGAAAGAGCTGCTGTCAAATGAGCCCTGACTTCAAGGTGTCAGCTGAGGGGAAGCAAGGAGGGATGAAGAGAGGCTCAGTGGACTTGGATGGCCCAGGAGAAGAAGGAGGTGCGGGGGGCGACTTGGGTTTGGCTGAGCAGACCACTGCACTCGTGATCAGCGCAGTTGAGGGGATGCTATCATTATGACCACTATCCCTGCTACTGCCCGAGAACTCAAAGGCACCTAGAACTGAACCCATTGGTCTTATCCAGGACACCCATCAGCTTGGTCTGCAAGTGCCTCTTCTGTCACCTTCTTTTGCCCTTCTAAGGATTCTGAGCACAACTGTGAGGACACCCACTGTGACTTACATCCACAGGGCCTGCTCCCTGGTCCGGTCGGCACTCCCCCAGGCTCGAGGTACCCCAGGCTGTGCTCCAGTCCTGGGCTGGGCAGTGGTCCTTTGGTGTAGCCACTCTCATTTGGATCAGTGTAGTCTGGCACTGAGCTCAGCCCAGCACTCTCCTTGCTGTGGAGGAAAGAGGCTGCCATCAGTGACCAGTGCTCACCCCTCTGAGCTCTCCCAGAGGTCACAGGAGCAGGTGTCTGGGGACAAGTAGGCACCAAAGGCAAGGTTCTTAGGTGGGACATGCCCGGACAGGCCGAGGGAAGCCCCTGCATCACACGAGGGAAAGAGGAGGGGGTCCTGCCAGGCAGGGCCCTGACCAAAACGCTGCAGCTAATGCAGCGCCTGTATCCTGTGCCTGCAGGACCCTGCTGCTGGGGCCACTGTCAGCAGGAGGGAGCTTTCCAGATGCTTTGCTGCGGGGCCTTAGGAAAGGTCACCACATGGCAAAGCTGGCCCGGAGGGTCTGTTATGCTCTCGTCCTGATGAGCGAACCATGAACACATGCCGCGGTCTATCAAGCTAAAACTTGTCCAGAGACAGGCCTTGGCCCAGGACTGAGGCACCAGCCCCCTTGTGCTCCAAACTCCCCACCCAGGCATCCCAGGCAAGGTGATGGGCACAGGGCACAGCTGAGGGGACATGGGACATCCCCTGGACATGGAGGCATGGCTGGGTTCCCTAGGCTCACTCCACCCTAGTGTCCTTCTCTGGAAGCGGGGTTGAGAGGGGGCAAACATGGCCACACCCATCCACTCAGCCAGCTGCAGGGAAGTTGTAGGAGAGGTGGCTCCCTGTGAGCAGGCCGGGGTGGGCACTAGGGATGAGGAACAGCTAAGTGGGGAGACTGTGGCAGGAACATGTGGCCACACCTGCTCTTGTGCTCTCTAGGTGGCTACCCACAGCCCTTGCTACTAGGGGGCTGGCCAGGGTCATCAGCCACAGATGACACCAGGAACATCAGCTGGGGAAGGGTGTGGCCCTGCCAAGGGAGCAAGCTGCCTTTATTTTATCATGTGCCAAAAACACAAGCTGGTCGGAGAAGCCCTGAGCCCTAGGGAAAATACAATATTGCCAACTGCTCCAAAATGGCGACTGAGGATTGGGGAGGACCTGGAGGGCCAAGGAGCAGGAAGGTGGGACACGAGTCCAGCAGAGAGAGGCTGAGACGGCGAGGGAAGGGTTCCTGTCATCATCTCTTGTACCTTTATAGCCCAGGGACTCTGAGGCTAGCCTGAGAAGTTGGGACTCAAATGAAGAGAAGAAGAAAATCTCTCCCCTCATCAAAGTCATGGAGGACAGGCCTTCAGAAGAGGGCAAATGGGGCCTTTGAGGGTAGAAGGTGTCAGGGACAGAAACTCCACATCAGACAGGAGCAAACCTGCATAGTGGCCCTGGAGCTGGGGCATGCACCCCGGGGGCAGGAGCCCCACACAGGCCTCACTGTGGAAGGAAGCCCACAGCATATGGAGACTTACGGAGTAAGAATGAAATGGACTCCCTTTGCAGCTGAGCCTTCTGACCACATGTCCCCAGACGCACGCTATCTGCCCTGGGAAAGCAAAGAGAATAGGAGGCAGGGCAGTGTCCACTCACTAAAGTCAGCGGGACCGCCTGTCTTCAGGGCACAAATGCTGAAAGCTGGGCCAGGGACGTCTCACCTGTGCACCCCTCCAGGCTCTTCTGTGGCCCTCAGCTCCGGCCTCAGCTGCTCTGTAGCAGGTGGCCCCTGCAAAGCCAGGACACCTGCAGGAGCAGAGCACACTGAGTCAGCACTGCCATCCCCAGGCCTCAGTGTCTTGTCTGTAGAAGGAGGAACTGGTGTCCCCTCCTAGAGACAGCACCAAGCCTAAAGGGAGAACGCTGTGCTCCACCTGGTGCACATCTCACATCATCTCATGGTGTCTTTCTTCCTATTCTCTGTCAAGGCCACCAGGGTCTCATGCTCAGTACCACCCAGTGCTGCTCCTGGGGGCATGGCAGCCCTGAGCACCCTCTCCTCTCCTGGAACAAAGTCCCATCTGCTGTCACTCACTCCTCCAACCCCCACTGGCTTGAGGAGGACTTGTGGCTTTGGCCAAAAGTCTGAAAGGGGAGCAAATAAGGGCCTGAGCACACTCCAGTTCCATCAGACAGCAAAACCGAAGCTGGAACTCTGCCCCGTGAAGGGCTGCTCCCCAGTCACGGCTGGGGTTTGCCTTGGCTCCCCCATCCCTTCTCCAAGAGGAGGCCCCAGGGACCCCACAAGCCAGACTCAGCCCTGGCTGGGGTCCACAGAGTTTCAAATTTTGAAAGAGGCCTTTTGCAAAATGTCAGGTTTCCAGCCCTAGTCCAATTGCCCACATCCTGTCCAGACCCCTGGGAGCGAGATTTACTTAAGAAGGGAACAAAATCCCCATGTTCATGCCACTGAGTGGAAACATGCCCCATCCCGGGCGATTCCAAGGATTACGGTTACACGTCTCTTAATGAGTCACAGACGGAAGGCAAAGTGGAGCTGGTGGAAGGAGGGGACAGGCCGTGCCATGAGGAGGTGCTGCTGCCCCCATGCTAGGCTCTCAGGCCCCTGCCAGGGATGTCACTTGTCCCCAGGGAGGCTTTGCGTCATTCCTAGGTGCACTCGCTCTCCTTCTCCCCACCACTCACCTCCGTCCACCCCTCACTACCAGGTTCTGCCCTGCAGTCGGGGCTCAGGGCACCCTCAGCCAGGGAGCCAAGGGCATGACTGAGTAAGAGTGTAGACTTATCCCACCTTGGGGAGGGAGAGGAAAGGTCCCAGCACTGCAAGACGGGGCTAGAGGAGCTCTGCGGGGACCCCAAGGCCAGAGGGTGGATTGGAGAGAGGCTGGAGCCCTGGCCATGAAGAGCCTCGGGATGAGGCCAAGGAGCTGGGCTTTCTCCTGGGGCCTGGGGGAGCTGGGAGAGGGCTCTAGGGAGCTCGGGGCCCTTGGGTGTGCGTTCCAGGAGGCCATGCTGGAATGCGGCAGGAAGGCCAATTCAAAGGTTGACATCCACCCAAGACAAGCTTGACCTGGCACAGTGGTGGCAGAGGTGGCAGAGAGCAGATGAGAAGAATGGCCCACGGGCTCACAGGAGATGCTCAAGGGGTGGAGGGGTGCTTTGGTGGACACTAAACAGTGGAGGAGGCAGAATTGGGGGACACCAGGGAGGATGCAGCCGGAGGCTGGAGGCCACTAAAATGCCATTAGCAACCAAGCTCCTTCTTGGCAATACTCAGAGAAGCTCAGAATGAAAAGGAAATGTCAACTCTTAGTCCCTTCTACCCCAGTGTGTCACCTAGGAAGGCATCTAAGAGAAGCACTTGAAGGCTCACCAGAGACCGGAGAAGCCCAAACACTCAGCAGAGACTTCACTAATATGCAGGGTGCTCCAGTGAAGGGCAGTGTGTGTTCTGCAGCTGCCAGGGCAATGACCAACAGGAACCCCCAAATCCATCCCGTCTGTCTCCTCCACAGTGGGCAAAGAGCCCACTTACCTGACCCCGAGGAACCAAAGCCCCCAGCAAGCACCAACCAAGGCTATAATCTTGTCCTTTCAATTCTTCCTCAAAACTAGGTAGAGAGAAGCAGAGGGGACGTGTGCAGGTCAAAGCCAGCCCAGTTGGCCACACTAAGCATGCCCCCACCAACCTGGCCTCTCAGCACTTATCACAAGCGTAATTGAATAATCTTGCCCTGAATATTTACTTGAAATCTAATTCCCACCCAAGACTTGGAGCTCTGCAAAGGCATAGGTGGCATCTGTCTTATTTCTTGCTATTTTTGCACAGCCTCTGGCAAAGAAAAGACCCAATATTTTTTGAATCCATGAAGGAATGCATGAATGGTTAATTCATCAAACATTGCCTGATGCCTAGACCCTCTCTTAGGCTCTAAGGATGCAGAAAGATCCTGTTCTCAAGAAGCACATAGCCCTTTGGGAAGAATTGGTAGCTCATGACTAATAACGTCCACAGGCTCCACTAGGGATATGGAGAGGGATGGATGAGGAAGAGAGGAGGGACTTCATAAAGGGACACAGGAGTTAAGAGAGGGCAAGACACTGTGAATGTTCCAGAGGGAGTGACTTTGTCAGCGCAGAGCAAGGCTGAGCAGGAAGGAGCAGAAATCTAGAATTGACTCAAAGTTGTCAAACACTGGGAGGCTGGCAGGCTTCATTTATCCAGGGAATTCTGGGAAGTGGTGGGAACCTAACTCAGGCTCTCTATACCTGCACATGTTTACCAAGCGAATCCCAGATCCGGCCCCAAATCCTCAAGGCTGATGTTGCAGCCCAACCTCAGCCCTGAGAGAACCCTCCTGCCACAAATATGCCTGACCTTGTCTCATGGGGGGCTAAAGTTCACCAAATGGAAAATAGCCAAACTGGAAGAGTCCATCTCAGATGTCCAAAATTAGGAAGGGGACCCTACCTGGTTTGGTCTGAAGCAGGAAGGCCAATGGTTTGAGTCCAAATCAAACCCTCACAAAGGAGTCGGCTGATCCCACACCGGACATCGAGCACTGACCACCAAGTCCCGAGGAGAAGTGTAAGACCAGGTGGAGTCCAGGGCCAGGAGCTCCCAGCAGGGGAGGAAGAGGAATGGTCAGTGTGAGGCACGTGGTGGTACTGGACATGGAAGGGACAAAGGAAGGAAGCGGGTCTTGGGCATGAGCCCCAGGAGAGAGAAAGTGGTGCAGCTCACCTCCATCTGTCTGCTCCCTGGTAGAAGGACGTGTTTCGTGGCCTTAGCGGTGCGTGGACTGGCCTGGCCTGGCCTGCCCCAACTGACATTCTTCCTAGAGCTATTTGAACCCTCCCGTCTCCTGGAACAGGAAAAGGTAGGTGTCATATCTGTCTGGGAGCTTTTAAATCAGCACAGCTGACATCACCAAGGATGATGACAGGAGTGCAGAACAAGAGTGGCATGTGACACTTCCAAGGCATCCTTTTCCTCCCAGGTACCATGATATGCACATGACACATATTAGGACATTCAAGGACCCTTATAAGAAGCTCTTGTTAAAAACCACAAGCCAGTCACGTTGGCACCGTTGCCCCCTCCCACAGACAAAGCTGAGGTCAAGAGGGGCCTTGCGTTTAGCCTACCATCGGAAACAAGAAAGAATCTGGTTGGCTTGGAAGGGCCAGGAGTGGGCCCACTCTCAGCAGGCATAAAAACAAGACTGGGTTATTTTCAATCTCCTGTCTTGGCAGAGACAAGGGCGGCTTTCGGGAAGACCCAGGGCTTCCAATCCACCATGCCAAGCCAGTGTTGCCCAAGGATGGGCCAACGGCCAGAGCAGTCAGAACTGCCAGTATTCTGTGCACTGTCTGGCACAGGAAGCTGGACTCCAGGGGGAATCTAGACTCGAAGGGGAGGGTGCCACAGAGTCTCTGATACCCAACACGCTTCTCCCAAGAGCAGCACCCAGGCCATGCTGGTTCCACAAAAGCACGTGTATTTTTAGTTCCTTGCTCATTCATTCAGCAGTAATTTACTGGGTGCCTACCAGGCTCCGGGCTGGGCAGGCTCTGGGGATACAGAAAGAATTTGACCCAGTTCCCGGCCCTCAAGGCACTTCTGTTTAGTGATGACATGTAAAGTGACACCCATGACAGAGGAGAAGGGTGCTCCTGCCCCACGTTCCTGCTGCGGCTGGGCTTGGCTGTGCCTTGCAGTCCTGTGGGGAGGCAGGAGCAGTGAGGTCATGCATCCATCCTCCAAGGGCAGCTGGCTCGGTCACTACTCATTCATTCATTCTCAAAGCGGCTGACTGGGCCCCTGATTCCACACTGACTCACCTACTCTCTGATCCCCTCTTGTATTCATTAGCTACTCTATCTTCACCCATCCATCCATTGGTCTCTTCAGGTGCTGATTTATCATTTCATTCTTTGACTCAGCTAACATGTTCCATATTTTTCTCTTCCACTGGCTTTTCATTCACTCACTCATCCTTGACTGATTGATGGATTCACCCACATGGATGCTCCACCTCACCCCCTCCTTGCCTGATTTGCCCACGGGCATGCTGGGTCATCTACTCCCTCGCTACTGGCTCACCTCTGTTTATCCACCTGCTGGTGAAGCCTCGGGGCTCAGCCTTGTGGGCTGCCCACGCTCCTGAGCACTGGTTTTCCATCTGGACCCACGGACCTGCTCATCTTGCACTCTTCCCTCAGCATCCCACTTAACGTGGGCTTGCTCGCTCAGGCACCCTCACCCACACACCACGCAGACATTCACTTCTGGCATTAGTCCCCAGCTCACTGAGGCTGCTGCGCTCATTTGCATAATCCTTCCCACTTTCATTGCATCATTGATTGATTCCATTGATTTTCAAGGACTCATCAGGCAAAAGTCCTCCTCATTTATCTTTTACCTGCCCATTTCTCAACAAGCTCCTGTAGCATGGGAGGTGAGGCATGAAAGCAAAGCAAGGGCAGAGGGCCCCGTCACAGCACTCTCAGATACCAGCTGCCCCAGTGGGGATCTAGGGGGTATCAGGGCCTCCTACCCACACCTGCAAACAAACGAGTCCCTAAAATACGTGCTTGAGACAGACAAAGATAACCCATGTAGATACCAAGAAAATATCCAAAATATCTCAGGAGTACATGCAGAGTGGGACAATCTACTACATGCTCTTAAAACAGAGATGTAAAAGACTGAACCTTTCTTTCACGGATGTGGGAGGTACAGAGCCACAATAATTATAATTCTTGTTCCAAAACACATCTTAATCACCAGTCCTATTTGATTGCTTCTAATTTACTTTTTCCTAGACTGATTTAATAAATAATATTAATGACACTGATAATTCTGTGAACCCACCAGAATATGAGAAAAAAAACACAAATATTTTGACACATGCCTCTTATTTCCATTACACAGAGATAATGGATTAAGTCTTTCTGGTTAAATGGATTTCCGAGAAGTAATATTGAGTTGATCATAACGTTTTTTTTTCATAAAATATTTTATCATTGGAATAATCCTGGTCATTTCAATTTTCTGCATACATGAATTTTCCTGGTTATTAATTTAGTCAGTTACCCATTTTAGGAAATAAGTTCAAAACAAAGAATCTACAGCCAATAAGAGGGAAAAGTGACTGACCGAAGTCTTTGCATGGACTCCTTAAAGACAGTAGAACAGTTTGACTCCTGCTGAACAAACCTTGTTTCATGACACAGTCACCCAAGTGGACACTGTATTTGCTAGCATTTTGACTTGTTTGGCTATTTGTAACTTTTAGTAGAACAATAAAACCCAATTCAACCAAGAACAAGATCTTTGGCTAAGTCTAGAACCTATTAAATAGGTCATCTACACCTATTTCTCATGGGTCTCTGTTTAGCAAAGTGAACTGATCTCGCTGTTGGTTAGGACACGCACTCTCCAAGGGCTTAGGCATGGTCTGCTCTCAATCTGTGACTGCATGGAGTCACTTATTCTCTTAAAAGAATAAATAGTGATAGACTATAATAAAAAGATGAAGTAAAATAAAAGCCTATGACTTACCCCCATCTATATTGTCCTTTGTCACATAGGTGACACACGTGATTCTTAAATCACGAGTAAGACAGCTGAGGTGTATCCACCTGTGTGCACACAAATCAGATACAAAAGGGAATGGGATTCCCTTGTCACTGGTTCACACCTCCCCCTCATGGAGTTAACCATTTATTTATTATTTGTTTGTTTCATTTTAACCTTTTTATTCACAATAAATCAAAAACCCAGGAACCTTCAGCCAACTAAGAGCAGAACATCAATGGCTGAACATCTCTATCTAGATGCTTCTTATAAGAAGGGGCAACCACCATGTTGACCTGTTTTTCCCCTTTTAAAGGGCCATGGTATTTCAGAACTGAATTAATAATATCCTTTGCTTTATAGTATATCCTCAAAATTGGCTCATGTTTTGGCCTCTTTTTCTTTCCTCATGAAAAGGTTTGCTTATTGATCCATTTATTTATTCACTAATGATATAGAAATGATATCAATGAACCCTCACAAACTCCAAGCGGCGGGCTGGGGATGTGGCTCAGTGGCAGAGTACTTGCCTGGCATGTGTGAGGCCCTGGGTTCCAGCCCCCACGCCACAAAACAACAACAAAAACTCCATGAGATTCCATGAATCATTCCCAAGGCAATCCCCAAATTCTTTTTTGGCAATGGATATTAGTTGCTCAAAAAAATGTTCAATCATAATTTTTATTCAGATGCATCCCATTCACATCGCTGAGCCAGATGATGCCCTACTGCACTGAAGGTGAACAACACATCAGTGTTGTCCTACTACGACCACCCTCCAACGTCCCAAGAGAGAAACAGCCAGCTCTTATCAAGAAGGGGATGTTTAAATAATAAGATATTTAAAATTTTGGAAAATTAATGGAAAAGCTGAGGGTGTTTTCCGCCTTGTACATCATCTTGTGCTAAATTGGATTAATTTTGGTTTATAACCCATTCTTATCATAGGACGATATGTGGCCTCCTAAAATTTAATTATCTTTTATAATGACACAGTGGAAACCATGAACTAATGACCCGAACCAAGAACTTTATTACTCACATTGTATGATATTCTCCTTACCCAGAGGGAAAGGCACAGACCTTCACGACTGGAGGATAATTTAATCAGCCATGGTACAGGCACCCTGTGAACATAAAGAGGCACCAGCAAATGAAAATCTGAGATTCAGGCTCAATTTAGTGAACACAAGGCCCCATCACAGAGATTAATCACTAACAATGATTTATGCCACATTTATATCTCTGACTCAGGAAAGGGCCTTCATTTTATTAATTAATGCAGGCGGTTATCCAATTTGATAATATCATGGACATGCTTAAATGAACCACCCACCCAACATCAAGAACTAGGAACATTACAGGCCTCGGGCACTGTCCCTCAACCCAAGGTAAGAGCACAGGGCTTCTTTGATTTTTTTTTTCCCACCTGATAGTGGGGATTGAACCCAGGAGCTGCATCCTACTCCATTTGATCTTTTCATTTAGATACAGGGTCTTACTAAATTGTCCAGGCTGACTTGAACTTGTGATCCTCCTGCCTTAGCCTCCCGAGCCATCAGCTCACAGGCATGATGACCATCTTGAACCTTTTTAAAAAAGGGCTTCCATGTAGTGATTTGGATGCATCTGAGCCTCAACTGTGACATGATCTCATCACTGATCTTCACATGGTCCTGATTTTATCCCACACTTTTATGTCACACACCGAGAACCCTAAACAGACCGCCACCCAAAAGATAAAATCTTGAACTACTACTCACATTGAACCACAAAGGACGTCATCATTACAGAAAGGTCATTGACTGGAGTTGTGTGCATTCTGCAGAGTGGAAAACAGATGGCAAAGAGAACAAAGAAAGAAAGAGAAGGAAAAATTAAAAAGGGGGATGAATATGCATTATTCTCTGATTTTAAAGAGTCCTCTCTATGTCCAGGTAACTATTAGAAAAAAGGGAGGAAGGACACTTGATCCATTGATCCATGTTTTCCCCTCAATTTCCTTCAATGTTTGTAATCAGGTATTAATTAATTAGTGAAATTATGTATTTCCATTTCTGTTAATAAATTTGAACTCACGACTGTCCCAGAGTAAGAACATTAATTATTATTTCCCTTTGTCTATATGACCCTGACCCAAAGAGGGATCATCCCTGATTGATTAATTTATTCATTAACTTGAGTGTTCCAGGATGGTATTCAAAATGGCCGAATTCCACAGTTGTACTGATGGTGCCATCCCCATTCTAACCCTTGGGTGTGACACGCTTTCATCCCTGGGACACATGGAGCCATTTAAACATTTGTTTCACAACCCAAGGAATACCTAGGAGCAAGCCGTCCACCCAAGGCAAGAACTCCGAGCACTCCTTGTTAGGTCCCTCTGCTGACTGGGGATTTGGCAGCCAAGACCATCATCTGTGAGGATCTGTTGTAGGGTAGAGAGAGCATGAGTTAGAGAGAATGGACTCCCCTAGAGTGCGGCTGTACTCTAATATTCTAATGGAGGCAAGGGAAGCAGGTTGGTGTTAGTCTTAAACTTGGGTCATATCCCTTTTATAATTGGCCGAAAAAGCACCCCCTTTTGGCCAGATTTACTCAGTTATTAATTTTGCATTAAAATAGATGCATGTGAATCCACCATCTCAATCCACAATGAGAGTGGCCTACAGCAGGCTTCATGCTCAACACCTCCACCCTCAGAACCCCTCGAATCTCTGGACTTCACACGTGCAGGATCGGATTAATTTAAATGCTAAGATTCAAAGGAATTTCAGGCCATGAATAATGCTGTATCCTACTTTATTTATCCATTTATTGATAAAATAGTTGGGCCACCTATTTCATTCCTTTTAAAGAAGGACAACAATGTTTAAACTCTCAGAAATCTGAAAATAAGCTATATCGTGCCTGTCTACATTCTCCTTACCATCTTATAAGAACCAGAATTCTTTCTGGAGAGAAGCATCATCTCAGGAACAAGTTAAACCATCACATCTATCCCATGGCACTTCCACCAAGGCCCCCCTGCGTTCTCCCTTCTAGCGAACTGAACTGATCATCACACCCTGGCAGGACCACAGGGATAATGGCTCTCCAGGTACACTGCCTATCACTCAAGTGCAAGGGACAGTGCGTCTGGGTAACAGAGGTGGTGAGCCCAACAACTCCTGACCAATGCTGACCACTGACTGTTAGCATGGAAGCAATGTTCAGCCTTTCATACAGAAATGGCTTTCCTGTTTAGTAATGAAATAGCCAGGCGACCACAGATAACCAGAATGTAAACACTGAAAGCTCACACATTTCTGAGAGATCAACAACAACAACAAACGCAGGGGTCTCAGCTGCTGGGAGGCCGCGTGGCACAGCAGCCGGCTGCACCCCACGAGCTAGAGGTGGCCCAGGCACAGCTCTGCTCCGTCATCCCTACTTCTTGAGCTCTTCATGCCACTGACTCACTCCTCATCTCATCACCAGCCATGAGCCACAAGATCACAAGAGCTGGGTCGGCGACTGTTTTGAACCCCTGGGTAGAGGATCATTTCCAACAGAACAATAGACCATGCTTATTTTATGTTGAGCTTAAACTTCCTGAAACAGGATTCATCATCCTGACCCAAGCTGCCAGTCACTGGGCCAAGGCAGCCTAAGTCACTCTGCCCACTTGCTCACGAGGCATGGACCCCCTTCCAGGCCCAGGCCATGCCAGGAACTGGGACTACTGCTCACACCTGAGACACCGCAGAGCTCGCAGCCGAGCTGAGCCCCAGCCCTCAGTCCAGTGGGCCCCAGGACCGCTCTGACCAGATCAAGGGCGGCAGAGGTGAGATCCTGACTCCCACCTACCCACCAGGCCTGGGTCCCACCTCTGTGATTCAAGCCATCTCGTATTTACTTGAGTACTTTTCCTGGTACGAAACAAAGGTGAAACATGCAGTGGACCCAGAGCAATGGCCTTGACACTGACTTATCAACAGTTTTGGACTCCTTGCCAGGAGTGACCCCGGTGTGTTGTTGGTGTGTTTGATGTGACATTCATGCGGCTGCCATTCCAGCATGAGATCCGGATGGTCTCTAATGCCTCAGGACCTACAGGGTTTTCCCAGCCCAGGGTAGACCTGATTTCTACTGTGTGGATCTCAGCGCCAGATAGCAATAACCCGTGGCCCACGTCACCCATGCCACCAGCGCAAGGGCATTTCGGACTCTGTGACCACTTTCTTCATCTGTATTTTTATTGACTAATTCATCAGCTCAGTAAAAATAATTACCTAAGAGTCACAAGAGTTTCAGATCCTTGACTCTCTCTAACATCTTCTTACGTAATAACCACGCGGAGCGACGAACACTTCTTTCGGTAATAAGCCTTAGTGTTTCTCTCTGCATTCATCAGCATGGTGTTTTTCCTGTCTCCAATTTTTATCCCGGGGTCAAAGTTTCCTTTCCATGATCATATTTTTTTTTATACTTTTTTAAAACACTGACGCCAAGAGAAGAACTATGACTGTGAACTGCTCCCACAGGTCTCCATAGTTACCGCACAGATGGTTCTCCGGAGCGCAAAGCACAGTGCAGATGACGTCTCCGTCTTTTAAAAAGGCTGAGGGAAAAAAGACTGGGACGTCATCTGCGCTGGTCTTTGCATTATTCCACTTAGCCAGTCTATCAGGCACTCAGGGATGCCGTTTAATGTGTCTTCCTTCGCATGGACAATTGTCAGCTGGGCCACCAGCATGGAACGTGGGCCCTGACCCTCCACTAAAGATATTAGAGCCTTACAGTGTCCAGGCCCTAATGGGAGTCAGTGCTTCCAATACAAAAAAGGTTCTCCTGCCTCACAAAATGCTTTTCTAGTTGGACAGTGCTGACCCCGACTCAAAAGCATTTATTGGGTTACTGGATTTTTCATTGACTCAGTTGTAACATTAGAACAAAAATGCGTGTCCACAGAGTGAACCAAGCTCTTTGTGCGACCCTGGCGCCCGTCTGCGGCATCAATTCTAAAGGAGGAAGCAGCTCGGTTGCTTTGCGGTGAGCCTTGGTGTTCTGCAGGGACGGCCAGGCCTGGCTGAGCTGCACCACAGTCGCGACTCACCTAGGATTGGCGTCTCTCCGTTGGTTGCCACTGCATAAAAGACTAGTACGTCTTAAACACTGTGATTCACAAAAATTCAAGAAAAGCATTGATACCACCAACCCACACGTGTGGACTCCTTGTCAAAACAGGAATGCCATCACTGCAACCCTCTGCCCGTGGCACATGTGCCTCAGCACGATGTTCACACCCGTTCCATGTTAACCACGAAGGCGGTGCACTCTCGTTCATATTGTCCTTACACCTAGGAACACACAACCTAAGCAGGGACAAGCACGTGGCTCCTGCACACAGTAGTCTGCAAGTTCCTCACACAGACACAACCAAGGGGCGCGTGAACGAGGAGAACTCACACCAGCCAAGGGTGCCCATTCTGAGGAATGCCCCAGAAGAGATGGCAGCAAAGCTCAGGCCCTCTGCCCGTGGATCCCTGCTGCTCGGCTTTCACAAGTTACTCATTTAATGAGCAATAATGTGGAGTATACGAAGTTCATTTTCTATTAGGAAAAAAAGAAGAATGTTAAACTTCTGATCCACCCAGAAACTGAACATCGTCAACGTTTTACACTGTCCACTCCACCAAGCAGGTGACAGGTATGTCAGGCTACACTGACTTCAATATGAATCAAGAGTATTTCTTGTCTCACCACATATTTTGATAAATTGAACAATGCCTAAATGTATTCATCTTTACTGATTCTCAATGATAAAAGTAAATGACCCCAATGAAGAAAGTGAAACTAATGGCATAAACACAATACCCCAAAGAAACACATTCTGTATTCTGACACCTGCCTACAGGGTCATTTGAAAGACAGAATAGACTTGTTATCTTTTGAGATGGACCTCAAAGTTACAGATACATAAACCACTAGTGGTAATCATCAATCCACAACTGGCCCTCAATTCATTTCTACACTGTCTATTGACAGTCTTTAACTCACTGCTTACTTTAAGCCTATAAACAATAAAATATGAAGAACTTATTATTCCTAGAGTATACAGAATCACTCAGATATTAAAATTTTCATTTATATTTAATATTATCTTCAGCATTAATATGCATTAGCAATAGAAAACTTCATACCAATGGAACTTTACCATTTTTCTCTTTTTATTCTCACGTTAATTCTTGATTCTTTCTAACATTGTTGCAATTTTAAATATAAAATAAAAATATGCAACCCCAAGTAAAGAATGAACCAGATTTCTTCTGTAGTGGACCTCAGAGTCGCAAAAACACCTATTCATTAATTGCAATTCATGTCAACAATAGTCATCATTAATTCTGGATTTGTACTTCTTTCCCCATCATTTCTATACTGTCTGTTGATTGATTTATTATTCACTGACAATAATTTGATATCTGTTCATTAAAAAATACAAAAAAAGCCATGATTCTATATATGGAATCATTGTAACAATGATGTGTCTGTTTCATGGATTACCCTAAGTTCTTAATAAACAATTGAATGCTTCCTGTCTCTACCACAACCTTGACTGAAGTCGAGTGGTGTTATGATTTGGATTTGGGATGTCTACCCAAAACTCCTGGATTAATTAAGAAATGGTCACAGGTAAAATGATCAGATTACAAAAGCTGAAACCTAATCAACTCGTTCAAGTCTGAGTGGTAGGACGAGGGAATGATTTCAGGAGACGGGAGGTAGTCATGGTTGGACGAGAGGAATCAAGGAGGGGACAACTTGGAAGGGCTGTGCTTCCTGTCCATCCCCTTCACTCCCACGCTGCTTCCTGACCCCTCCACTAGCTGAGCAGCTTCCCTCCTCCACTGGCTGCTCCCACCATAATGTCACACCTTGGCCCAGGGCAATGGATTTGGCCATCTAAGGACTGAGACCTCTGAAACTGTGAGCTCCAAATGAACTTTTCCACCTCTAAGTTGTTCTTGTAGGGCATGTCAGTTGCAGCAGCAAAAAAAAAAGAAAGTAAAAAAAGTTGACTAAAACAAGTGAAATTAGATACATTTAGCAACCCATGTGTCCTGCTAAACAGACCACTCACATGAGGACTGCAGTGAAGGTCAGGATTCACGTGATCCACAAGCTCCAAACTTGGGCCAACAGCAGTGATCCAGGAGGAGTCCTACAACGAGCCCTTCTAACAGCAGAGAGCAAAGGATGGTAATGAAAGGCACACAGTCACCATGGAGGCCAGATTACCACCCTCATCCACTCTGTCATTTAGGACATTTATTTCACTGATTCTTAATAAGTGAATAATTCCAAACTGAATAATGAGCCAGAACTACAATCTTGACAATGTTCTCAGGATCATCTTAAGCCAAAGAGAGCATGTGGGAGTGATTGCTCTTTGACCTTTGAGTACTTCATACCTCTCCAGATGTTTTCATAATGGAAGAACATGTAATCTTATTCATTTAAATGTACCTATATTTGATAATTCTCTTCTTGATTCAATTACACGAACAGAATGAACATACAGGAACCCTAGAAGCAAACAAATTAACTGTTCTGAACGGATATATAAAAAGATAATTAATAACAGCAGAATTTGAATAAGTAGGAGAACTCAGATCCAGAGGTAAACTCCATTCTATGAAGAAGAGGGCAGAGAAGATAGCAACAAATGAACATGAGTCCACATTCCCAAGGAACACGGAGACGTTGATGCAATTGCCCTTGGAGGGAGATACCAAAGGATCTCAGATGCCGCAGGTATTCCCAGTCCTCACTCATACAGATCCGGATGTCATCATCGATCCAACAGCTTTCCTCCACCTTTCCCACAATGGCTACTCTCAGATTCATTAATTTATACTTGACTGGTACAGTCCCCATGCTAGCCAAACCGTCCCACTCACAATCATTCACCAGGACTCACACTGATGGGCAGCTCCTCTCAGGAGGGTCCTAAGGGCAGCAGACCACAGAGCCATCCTCCTGTCCACAGGCAAAGTCCAATCTGAGGAGCAGAGGGCAGAGAAGGTGACAACTAATGGAGATAAGCCACTCCCTTGACATCTGTCACCCTGAGACTGTTCTGCAATCCTTGTGCATTGCACTCAGGGAAGGACCTCAGATCCAGAGGTTAGTCACTTCCTCCCTCAGAAACCTCCAACAGTCATCATCAATACACTATGGGTCCTCACTTTTCCCCCAAGGGGCTACTCTCTCATTCCTTCACTGAGTAAATCACAACTCGAATGAGGAGAAGCCCTCAGAATGCCACCCCACCAAGTGGGGACCGCTGCCTGCGACTCACACCTCTCTGCAGCCCCTGCCCGCCATGGGCTCATCACACCTCAGCATGGAGCCATCTTCCTGTCCATCGGCCTCGTCCAATCTGAGAACATGAGGGCAAAGAAGAGGGCAAAAATGGATGTGGGCCCCACTTTTCTCCTCTCACAAAGACCCTTTTGTGCCATCACCACCGACTGGAGTGACGGAAGGACCTCAGATCCAGAGGTTAGTCACCGTCCTCACTCAGACACCTCCAGCAGTCATCATCGAGCCCAACAAGTTCTCACTTTGTCCAACCTGTGCTACTTTCTGATTCATAAAGCAATGCGTTGACAGAGGGAATACAAGTTCTACAGATCCCACCCTGTCCCAATAAGGAACATGGAGAAGGACTCACACAGGGCTGCTGCTCCGCCTAAGCAAAGTCCTACGGCTACCAGAATATGGAGCCATCCTCCTGTCCACAGGACGCATCCATTCTGAGAAACACAAGGAAAAGTAGAACACCACAAATGAATACTTGCCCTACTGTGACTCTGGCACTCTGAGACTCTCCATCAATCATCCTTGGTGGGAGATACTGAAGGATCTCAGGTGCCACAGGTATTCACAGTCCTCACTCATACAGATCCGGATGTCATCATCAATCCAACAGCTTTCCTCCACCTTTCCCACAATGGCTACTCTCAGATTCATTAATTTATACTTGACTGGTACAGTCCCCATGCTAGCCAAACCATCCCACTCACGATCATTCACCAGGACTCACACTGATGGGCAGCTCCTCTCAGGAAGGTCCTAAGGGCAGCAGACCATGTAGCCATCCTCCTGTCCACAGGCAAAGTCCAATCTGAGGAACAGAGGGCAAAGAAGGTGGTAACTAGTAAACATACGTCACTCGCTTGCCATCTCTCACACTAAGAAATTTCTGCAATCGTCGAGCATTGCTCTCAGAAAAGCAAATAAGATCCAGAGGCAAGTCACTGTCCTCAGGTATACACCTCCAGCAGTCAACATCGATTTCTACGGGTCCTGATTTTTCCACAAAGGGGCTACGGTCTCATTCATTCGCTGAGTATATCACAACTCGAATAAGGTGATGCTTTCAGAATGCCACCCCCGCCAAGAGGGGACCCCTGCACGGGACTCACACTTCTCATCAGCCCCCGCCCGCCATGGGCTCATCACACCTCAGCATGGAGCCATCTTGGTGTCCATCGGCCTCGTCCAATCTGAGAACATAAGGGCGGAGTAGAGGGCAAAAATGAAGGTGGGCCCCACTTTTCCCTTCTCACAAAGACACTTTTATGCCATCACCACAGACTGCAGTGAGGGAAGGACCTCAGATCCAGAGGCAAGTCACCGTCCTCACTCAGACACCTCCAGCAGTCATCATCGAGCCCAACAAGTTCTCACTTTGTCCAACCTGTGCTACTTTCTAATTCATTAAGCAATGTGTTGATGGACTGACTACAAGCTCTACACATCCCACCTTGTCCCATGCAGGAAAACAGAGAAGGACTCACACATGGCGCTGCTGCTCCACCTCAGCATGATCCTTAGGGCATCTGTCCATGGAGCCATCCTCCTGTCCACAGGACGCATCCATTCTGAGAAACACAGGGCACAGGAGAACACCACAAATGGACACGTGCCCTACTGTGACTCTGGCACTCTGAGACTCTCCATCAATCGTCCTTGGTGGGAGATACCGAAGGATCTCAGGCGCCACAGGTATTCACAGTCCTCACTCATACAGATCCACATGTCATCATCAATCCAACAGCTTTCCTCCACCTTTCCCACAATGGCTACTCTCAGATTTATTAATTTATTCTTGATTGGTAGTGTCCCCATTCTAGCCAAACCATCCCACTCACAATCATTCACCAGGACTCACACTGATGGGCTGCTCCTCTCTGGAGTGTCTGAAGTGCAGCAGACCACAAAGCCATACTCCTGTCCACAGGCCACGTCCGATCTGAGGAGCAGAGGGCAGAGAAGGTAGCAACAAACGGTATATGCTCCCCCTTGACATCTGTCACCCTGAGACTGTTCTGCAATCCTCGTGCATTGCACTCAGGGAAGGACCTCAGATCCAGAGGCAAGTCACTTCCTCACTCAGACACCTCCAGCAGTCATCATCAATACACTATGGGTCCTTACTTTTCCCCCAAGGGGCTACTCTCTCATTCCTTCACTGAGTAAATCACAACTCGAATGAGGAGAAGCCCACAGAATGCCACCCCACCAAGAGGGGACCGATGCCTGCGACTCACACCTCTCTTCAGCCCCCGCCCGCCATGGGCTCATCACACCTCAGCATGGAGCCATCTTGGTATCCATCAGCCTCGTCCAACCTGAGAACATGCGGGCAAAGAAGAGGGCAAAAATGAAGGTGGGCCCCACTTTTCTCCTCTCACAAAGACCCTTTTGTGCCATCACCACCGACTGGAGTGACGGAAGGACCTCAGATCCAGAGGTTAGTCACCGTCCTCACTCAGACACCTCCAGCAGTCATCATCGAGCCAAACAAGTTCTCACTTTGTCTAAACACTGCAACTTTCTAATTCATTAAGCAATGCGTTGACAGAGGGAATACAAGTTCTACATATCCCACCCTGTCCCAATAAGGAACATGGAGAAGGACTCACACAGGGCTGCTGCTCCGCCTAAGCAAAGTCCTACGGCCACCAGAATATGGAGCCATCCTCCTGTCCACAGGACGCATTCATTCTGAGAAACACAGGGCACAGGAGAACACCACTAATGGACACGTACCCTACTGTGACTCTGGCACTCTGAGACTCTCCATCAATCGCCCTTGGTGGGAGATACCGAAGGATCTCAGGTGCCACAGGTATTCACAGTCCTCACTCATACAGATCCGGATGTCATCATCAATCCAACAGCTTTCCTCCACCTTTCCCACAATGGCTACTCTCAGATTCATTAATTTATACTTGACTGGTACAGTCCCCATGCTAGCCAAACCGTCCCACTCACGATCATTCACCAGGACTCACACTTATGGGCAGCTCCTCTCAGGAGGGTCCTAAGGGCAGCAGACCACGGAGTCATCCTCCTGTCCACAGGCCAGGTCCAATCTGAGGAGCAGAGGGCAGAGAAGAAGGCAACTAATGGTATACATGCCCCTCCCCTTGGAATCTCCCACACTGAGACTGTTCTGCAATCCTCGTGCATTGCACTCAGGGAAGGAACTCAGATCCAGAGGCAAGTCACCGTCCTCACTCAGACACCTCCAGCAGTCATCATCGAGCCCAACAAGTTCTCACTTTGTCCAACCTGTGCTACTTTCTAATTCATTAAGCAATGCGTTGATGGACTGACTACAAGCTCTACACATCCCACCTTGTCCCAAGCAGGAAAACAGAGAAGGACTCACACATGGCGCTGCTGCTCCACCTCAGCATGATCCTTAGGGCACTAGTCCAAGGAGCCATCCTCCTGTCCACAGCACACATCCATTCTGAGAAACACAGGGCACAGGAGAACACCACAAATGGACACGTGCCCTACTGTGACTCTGGCACTCTGAGACTCTCACTCAATCGCCCTTGGTGGGAGATACCGAAGGATCTCAGATGCCACAGGTATTCACAGTCCTCACTCATACAGATCCGGATGTCATCATCAATCCAACAGCTTTCCTCCACCTTTCCCACAATGGCTACTCTCAGATTCATTAATTTATACTTGACTGGTACAGTCCCCATGCTAGCCAAACCACCCCACCCAGGATCATTCAACCGGACTCACACTTATGGGCAGCTCCTCTCAGGAGGGTCCTAAGGGCAGCAGACCACGGAGTCATCCTCCTGTCCACAGGCCACGTCCAATCTGAGGAGCAGAGGGCAGAGAAGGTAGCAACTAACGGTATACGCTCCCCTTTGACATCTGTCACCCTGAGACTGTTCTGCAATCCTTGTGCATTGCACTCAGGGAAGGACCTCAGATCCAGAGGCAAGTCACTTCCGTCCTCACTTTTCCCCCAAGGGGTTACTCTCTCATTCCTTCACTGAGTAAATCACAACTCGAATGAGGAGAAGCCCACAGAATGCCACCCCACCAAGAGGGGACCGCTGCCCGCGACTCACACCTCTCTGCAGCCCCTGCCCGCCATGGGCTCATCACACCTCAGCATGGAGCCATCTTCCTGTCCATCGGACTTGTCCAATCTGAGAACATGCGGGCAAAGAAGAGGGCAAAAATGAAGGTGGGCCCCACTTTTCTCCTCTCACAAAGACCCTTTTGTGCCATCACCACCGACTGGAGTGACGGAAGGACCTCAGATCCAGAGGTTAGTCACTTCCTCACTCAGACACCTCCAGCAGTCATCATCGAGCCCAACAAGTTCTCACTTTGTCCAACCTGTGCTACTTTCTAATTCATTAAGGAATGTGTTGATGGACTGACTACAAGCTCTACACATCCCACCTTGTCCCAAGCAGGAGCACACAGAAGGACTCACACATGGCGCTGCTGCTCCACCTCAGTACGATCCTTAGGGCACCAGTCCATGCAGCCATCCTCCTGTCCACAGGACGCATCCATTCTGAGAAACACAGGGCACAGGAGAACACCACAAATGGACACGTGCCCTACTTTGCCCCTGGCACTCTGAGACTCTCGGTCAATCGTCCTTGGTGGGAGATACTGAAGGATCTCAGGTGCCACAGGTATTCACAGTCCTCACTCATACAGATCCACATGTCATCATGAATCCAACAGCTTTCCTCCACCTTTCCCACAATGGCTACTCTCAGATTCATTAATTTATTCTTGATTGGTACAGTCCCCATGCTAGCCAAACCATCCCACTCACGATCATTCAACCGGACTCACACTGATGGGCAGCTCCTCTCAGGAGGGTCCAAGGAGCACCAGACCATGGAGCCATCCTCCTGTCCACAGGCAAATTCTAATCTGCGGAGGAGAGGGCAGAGAAGGTGGCAACTAACAGAGATACGCCCCCCTTGGCATCTCTCACCCTGAGACTGTTCTGCAATCCTCGTGCATTGCACTCAGGGAAGGACCTCAGATCCAGAGGTTAGCCACTTCCTCCCTCAGACACCTCCAGCAGTCATCATCAATACACTATGGGTCCTCACTTTTCCCCCAAGGGGCTACTCTCTCATTCCTTCACTGAGTAAATCACAACTCGAATGAGGAGAAGCCCGCAGAATGCCACCCCACCGAGAGGGGACCGCTGCCCGTGACTCACACCTCTCTGCAGCCCCCGCCCGCCATGGGCTCATCACACCTCAGCATGGAGCCATCTTGGTGTCCATCAGCCTTGTCCAATCTGAGAACATGAGGGCAAAGAAGAGGGCAAAAATGGATGTGGTCCCCAGTTTTCTCCACTCACAAAGACACTGTTATGCCATCACCACCGACTGCAGTGAGGGAAGGACCTCAGATCCAGAGGTTAGTCACCGTCCTCACTCAGACACCTCCAGCAGTCATCATCGAGCCCAACAAGTTCTCACTTTGTCCAACCTGTGCTACTTTCTAAATCATTAAGCAATGTGTTGACAGACTGACTACAAGCTCTACACATCGCACCCTATCCCATGCAGGAAAACAGAGAAGGACTCACATGGGCCTTCTGCTCCACCTCAGTACGATCCTTAGGGCATCAGTCCATGGAACCATCCTCCTGTCCACAGCACACATCCATTCTGAGAAACACAGGGCACAGGAGAACACCACTAATGGACACGTACCCTACTGTGACTCTGGCACTCTGAGACTCTCCATCAATCGCCCTTGGTGGGAGATACTGAAGGATCTCAGGTGCCACAGGTATTCACAGTCCTCACTCATACAGATCCGGATGTCATCATCAATCCAACAGCTTTCCTCCACCTTTCCCACAATGGCTACTCTCAGATTCATTAATTTATACTTGACTGGTACAGTCCCCATGCTAGCCAAACCATCCCACCCAGGATCATTCAACCGGACTCACACTGATGGGCAGCTCCTCTCAGGAAGGTCCTAAGGGCAGCAGACCATGTAGCCATCCTCCTGTCCACAGGCCAAGTCAAATCTGAGGAGCAGAGGGCAGGAAATGGGGCAAAAAATGAAGTTTCTCCCCGCATTTTTTCTGTCATATTCAGAGTGTTATATAATCTTCTTGCTTTTCTTTTAGTGCAGAATCTCAGATCCAAATGCTTGTCTCTTTCCCCACTCATATACCTCTGCATCATAATCCAACAGGATATGTTCTTTTTACTTCCACCCATTGCTAATGTAATTTAAATTCATTATTTCATTAATTTGCTAATTATAAATGTCATTATTCATCAAGTCTGATGTGTCTTGTTTTCTTTATTCTGCATTGGAACCTTTGTAATTTGACACCTCAGTGCTAGTCAAAATTCTCACAGATACACAATCAATCTTCAACTTTCTGTTATTTCTTTAATTACCCAACTTTACATTTTTCATTTTGCTTTACATCTTTTAATAATTCTGTCAATAATTTTATGCATACTACTCCATATCAAGCAAGAATTCCTACCACACCTCAGATTGGTGTATAACTCCTCCTCACAATGCATCGTCTTCCTGTCCGCAGGCCATGTCCAGTCTGAGGTGGAGAGAGCACATGAGATGATAGCTGTTTGTATGTGTTCACTACTGCACTCTGCTTTTTCCTACTATTTGTTCCTTATTTAGATATTCATTATTCTACCTTTCCTCTTCCAGAAAATGTATGTCTGAACTTTTGAGTGAACTAGCTATAAACATTGTTGAATAATGTCTATGCTGAATTTTCTAAATAGATGTTTATTATGTGTCTTTTATTTTTTTAGATTGTTTTAGTGTACGTTAACAGTATACATTGCCTCACCAGGTTTTACTGATACGGCATTTTTTTTACATAACCTATCTTTATATTCTTATATTCTTATATATTGGTTCTTTTATTAATCTTATTACAAAGGAATAAAAATGCATGATATGAGGTACAAGGCAAATACAGGCTATTTCCCTTATCTATCTGTAGGATTTTCCAGATCGAGGGCATGGACCATTTGTATTGATGGGCCTTTGATAAATATTTGCTAATTTTTTCTTCGTTGTACTAGTGATGGCTCTGAGGGCATCACATATGCAGGTAAGAGTTCCATCCCTGAGCTGTATCCAACCCTTTATTGAGGAAGGGAGCAGGGGGAGGAAGGGAGGGAAAAGGAGAGGGAAAAAGTAAGTGGTGGGGATTGAAGTGAAACAAATGATATTCCATGCATGTATGATAAGGGAAATGAACACTGTTATGTGTAACTCAAGTGCTCCACGAAAACATAAAAAATAATTACAACACTGAATATTGACATGTGACAAATATTAGAAGGTAAATATATTTCCCAATCCTTTTTAATTAGAAAAATATACTCACCAATGTAGTACTTTAGACAAAAATAAAAACAGTAACTTTTATTTTGAGATAGGTTCTCACTAAGTTTCTGAGACTGACCTCAAACTTCAAGTCTTCTTGCCTCAGCCTCCGGAGTAGTTGGGAATACAGGCATGTATCACTGTGCATGGCTTGTCTGATATTTTTTAATGATGCTATGTGGACTCTCAAGAAGTTGACTGTACCCAATGATGGGTATATAGCTCAGTGCAGAGCACTTGCCTAGCATGTGCAAGGCCCTGGATTCTAGGATATCCCTAGTACCATACAAACAAGAGAAATAAAATGAAAGAAATGACTGAACTCAAGACAAGAACACTGTCTATATGACTCTTTTTGTATAATCTAATTATGAAAGTAAAATAAAAATCTATGAACAAAAGATAAAAATCAAATACACTCTATATTTCCTACCATCTGTGTGCAGCATCCTCCAAACAGAAAGATTGATTCAGATTTCATTAAGAAACAAACAAAAAAATGATCTCCTCAGAAGAAAGAAGTAACAGGAGAATGTGATACGGCACAGTGCTTAATTTAGCTTAGCCAATCTCCTCTGCAGGCTACTTCAAGGAGATAACAATAAAAAGATTGGGACATTCTGTCTACTGACCCATAATTTCTATCTCCAATTTACATGTCACTTAGATATTTATTAATTTAGGGTAATATTTGCTTACTTTTCTTCTTAGAAAGCTTCAAACATGGACAGAACTCGGGGCAATCACTGTTCCTTAGTGCATACACCATTGTTAGTCAACAAAGCTATCCACCTGCTCCATCTGTCATCCACTCCAGCGCGCACTGGCATTCCCGCTTGCTACTGCTTTAGCCACGAACAATGTTTCACCTCTTCATTTTTATTCACTTATACGTTTGTTTTCATACTACCATTGATATTTTTTGGATGACATTTTCAAAGCTCATGGACAAGACCACGAACCAGCCCTTGGGTATTCCTGTCCCCATCTATGGCATCACACTGAATATGGGCAAGGACTAGATCCTGTGTGAGTGGTGTCCAGTGCTTCACATGGAACATCCACAGCACAGCCTCCCCTGTCTTCTGCATCTCAGGACTGGCCCTCTTTCCCAGCATGCACATCTACTCTTCTTTATGGAATTACCAAACCACTTAAAGCTGGGTCAAGTGGAGGCACCCCCAGTCCCAGCTACTCAGGAGGCTGACGGAGAAGATTCCTTGAGACCAGGAGTTTGAGATCACCTAGGGCAACATAACCTTGTGAGATCCCAGAGGGCAGAGGTTGAAGAGGGGGAGAGAAACCAAGAAGGAGACACATGCAAATCACAAAAAGAGCAAGCTCTTTGATGTCCCTAGAAGTCAATCACATTATATTTACAAAAACCTAAAATCTTTCATGAATGAAACTTAGGCTTCTTTTATACATTAAAGTAAGATTTCATATTAACGTGAAATATTAATCATTGGCATAAACCAAGCAACCACCAAATATGACCCATGCTGATGTCTCTGTTCGGAGCCTGCTGAGGCAAGAGCTCACCACCATAGGGATCACCCTTGAATCAGCACAGGTGCATCCACTCCAAGGAGCACAGAGCAGAGCAGAAGACTGAAAACACTGAGACATTCTGTCAACTGATCCCCAGGCCTCCCTCTAATTACCTAGTCTCCCAGGTTATTTGTGATGATATTTATTTTTCTCTTAACAAATCAAACACTAAATGTATAAATATCTCAGATCAAACAGTATTATGTATTCCCTTTCCATTACTATTTTAGTCAAAGACAATATACACAGGAGGAGGAAGTACATTTGTTCCATTATCATTCATTCCACTTTATGATTAATATTATTTTACTTATTATATAGTTTAACAATGAACACGGTTACCACCTTTATGCATCATATGTTCGATTATGTGGCCACTGATACCATTGATTCCTTGTAACACCACCATGATGAATTCATCAACACAACAGCCTAACACAAGATCCTTGTATGTTCCTGGCAACACTTTTTAGGATGGGTCACATGGAGGGAACAGACTGTCGACTCACCTTGGTCAACATGTTCCGAACACACAGAGAGAGCTGCAGAGCTCCTGCCCCAGAGAGAGTGCTAAAGTCAACTGGAGCATGTCCATCCTGGAAAGTAGAAAACAGAGGAGGGGATAAAACCGGGGCATCCTCCCCAGACCCCTGCTCTGTGCAGAATCTATCATCTAGCCAGTCACACGTGCAAAATCATTCCTTAAAAGGTTGGCATTTCATTTTCTCTTAAGAAAGCGAACAACTTTGAAATTGCCATTGGCACAAGAGTACCTTATAATTCATTCTGTGTTAAGCACAAAAACCAAGCCCATAACTTCTTGCCCAGCATCTCCCTATGGGACCCCTCTGAATGGGGAATGGACAAGAGTCCTTGGCATTGGACCTCAGAGTTTCAGACACATGTAGTCATCATGCTTGACTCACACACCACCAGTCGTCATCATCGGTCCAGGAAGGGGCCATTTGTTCTTGACTTATTTCTAGATGATTTGTTGATTAATTCAGAAATTCACTAATAATAATTTTAAAGCACTATGATCCACAAAACCCATGAGGAATCCTAATATCCCTAACTTGCATATGAAATCATTCTCTGATCAATATCTCCTTTACTGGGCGGGGGCTCTAGTTCAGTGGTAGAGTGCTTGCCTTGCAGGTGTGAGGCCCGGGGTTCGATCCTCAGAACCACATAAAAATAATTAAACAAATAAAGATAGTTTGTCCATCTACAACTAAAAAAAAAAAAATTTTAAAAGTATCTCCTTTACTAAAAATCCTCACTTTTCATAAATGAATTAATAAATAGAGTACTCTGTGTGCACCCTGTGCTTGTCATTGGACCCTAGCGGGCCCTCTCCATATGGCACAGCTTTAATGCTACAGTGAACATCCTTAAGCCAACACAAGGGCACCATGACTCACATCAGTCTCCAAACCCATGAAGGATGCACGAACCATCCCGAGGGAGTTCCTTCCAATGTGTACATCAGAGCTGTAATCAGTGATTCTGAGTACATCATTCCCTTTCTCTCAAGAAAATGAACAACCTCAAACTTGCCACTGACCCAGAACACAAACCCTGTCTGTAATTCACACTGTATCATCATCAGCCAAAGAGCTGCCACTCAAGTGCCATTCATTTCTTATTGCCTTTCATGTTTCCAATGTACATTAATCATTCTTCTGGCCTCATCAGAAAATTCTGTACTTCAGCAATGCTTCATCTATTTTATGTCGACTTATTTATCTATTTGTTCACTGATTCTTTCATTGATCAATAATAATGATAGAAAGACAGTGTGTGAAAACAAAGACAAGATTGTCTTTATGTTGGGCCTCAGAGTGTCATACATACATTTTTAATCTTTGACTCACACTAGCATGTCTTGTTGGCCTGGGGAAGGCCCACAATTTCTTCATTCATTTCTGAATTATTTAATTGATTAATTCAGTAATTACAATTTTAAAACACTATGAATGACAAAGGTCCAAGAAGAGACTTAAGATCCCAAATACTCAACTAGGATCATTCCCATTATACTACATCCCTCTCACTCATTACCCTTAGTATTTCTGATATACATTAATCAATAATACCTCATATGAATCCCTTATTTGCCACTAGGCAACAATTTGCCTTTATTTATTATATTTCACGCTTTTTAATAATCAGTGCTTTCAATCTCCATAGTTTCAGTTACTCAGGATGGCAATGATCCGAGAATATTTAATTAAAAATTTCAGGAAAAAAAAATCATGTTTTAAATAACTTTTATTCCAGTATATGTGATAACAGCTCTATTTTATCATCAGTTATTGTGGACCACTAACTGCTCTTAATTTATAATCCAACTATTTTAAGTACATGCATACAGGGAAAAACATAAGTGTGTGTAGGGTTCAGGGCTGTATCCAGTCTTGGCATTCACTGGGGGTCCTGAAACACATCCCAGATGGACCAGGAGAACTATTGTGTCCTTAAATAAGTCCCTAAATCAGGGGTAAGAACATCAGCTACACAGTGCTCTCCAGGTTCCTAACATAACATGCAACCCAAGCAGAGCCCTTCAGCCCGGGGAGGGGTGCATTCTGAGGAGTGTGAATGAGAGCAAGTGCTTTTTAAATGAGGACATTCTGTACCCTGGTCCTTGTTTTTTACCTCACATTTAGCCACTCACTGAGGTAATCAGTAATTTGAAATATACATTCCATATGAAAACGAACAATTTTGCACATACTCCTGACAGAAAATGAACCTTTGTCTATAACGTACTCTCTCTAAATTATCCTTTGCCAAAAAGGTGAGCACTCGTGGGGCTCTCCTTAAACTGGACTTGGGGTTCACATTACTTTCATAGTTTTCTGGAATCATCCATGTTTTAGTTCATTCACGTCTATTTATTTATATTTATTGATGGCTCGTTTCATAGGTATAAGCATGACAGTTTGAAGACACATGGCCACAGGTACGAGACCAAGGCTCCGTGAACCCTGACACCTGCCTACAGGATCCCACCCACAGGAGGGGATGCGTTTTCCACTCTGACCTGAGCTCCAGGCACCTCTTCCACACACATGACGTATATGGCCCCTGCAGTCATCACTGGCCTAGACTGCCATCTTCCACCACTGTTACCTGACTTCTTTCATGATTCATTTGATCATATTTGGTAATGAAAATTTGAGAATATAAATTAAAAATTTTTAAATGCTACCATTCAGAAGAGTTAGGAACGTCTTTTTGTATTAGAAGAGGCTTTATAACCCTGATCTGCACACAAAGAAGTACTCTCCTATTATTATGTCCTTTGTGTGTATTATCCTGTTTTGTGGCTACATTCACTAATACAAAGCTTCAATATCCATAGATGTCACAAGAAACAATTGTGTTCTTTAACTACTTCAATCTCTTTTACTGAAAAAAGTAAGATTTTATTTATGTAGAATTAAAGCAGGCAAAGAGTTGAAAAATAAGCAAATAGAGGATTTTCTTTTTCTTTTTCACATTTATATTTATATGGGGCTTAAAAGAGCAACTTAATTTAATTTCTAAAATTTTTATTTGTACAAGTTAATTATCACAATTAAAAGCCTTCTGTAATCCTGAAACTCACCCATGAACAGAATCAATTGCAAATATTTCTCTATGTTTTTAGGTATTGTTTCTATTTCTAAAACATATGTTTCCCAGGGCTAGGGTTGTGGCTTACAGGTAGAGTGCTCGCCTAGCATGCATAAGGCACTGGGCTCTATCATCAGCACATAGAAAATAAAGATGTTGTGTCCACCTAAAACTAAAAAGTAAATATTAAAAGAAAACAGAATATGTTTCCTGTACCTGCCAAACTCATTTTCTTCTTGTCCTTCCAGGTTTTGCTTTCAATTTTAAACACTATCGATTACCTGGGTCCTAATGTAGACATTTCTCTATGAGAAGATTGATACTAAATGCTTTTATCTCCTACCAAACTCCAAATCAAAATATCACACTTTTAATAATACATTCATAATTGTAGGATGAAGAAAGACCCTGACCTGAGGGAGAGAACTTTAACCATTACTCACAAGAATCCCAGCACTCTTAAGCAACCACAGCTAGTGACCAGGGAAGAATGTAAGTCACCTCAGTGCCTCATTCCAAGAGTCAAAAGGAAGCTCTGTGTGCACTGATTTCTATGTTCTTCATTTCATTCATGCAGTCATTCAGCTGTTTATTACTATTTCATTTGTGCTGTGTGTGTTTGTGTGTATGCATATGTATGTGTATATTTTGTGCTTCTGTATGAACACATATGCGTGCATGCACACACATCTTACAAAAGGAATATCTCCATCTTGAGCCTGACCCAGAATAAGAAAACTGACTCTTATTTACTGTCTATACAATTCTTACCTAAAATGGTAACATTGTTTCTAAATAGCCATAAAGTGTTATATATTTTAAACAATATTTCTATTTTAACTTAAATATCTGCACATATAACCAATATTTCCTGCCTCAATGTAAATGTTCATAAAGAATACATCACCTCTTCTCTATGAATTTATTACATTAGCTTAATGACACATTAATAATGAACCTATTGCCATAAATGCAATGACATCAAGTGTATACATCCCTGATTTTTTTCTAGAGTCAATTCCAATAGAGAAAATGGACTAATTCTGCAGTGTGTTGGACCTCAGAGTTTCAGACACATATTATTCATAGTCTGTAACACAAATTGTCATCATTGCTATCACTGGTCCCTGACTGGATAACCTTTTCTGCATTTGTTCTGATGTTCTGATCAATAAAAAGGTTATAACATTAATAACAACAAAACTGCATGGTTTACAAAAACCAAAAAGATCTTTGGACATCAGTCTAAGAAACAATTATCAACATAAGAGTAAAATTAAACTGAATAACTTAATGTTTAATCTGATACTAATAATTAGGTCATGGTAAATATTTTATTCACTTAAAACTTCTTAAGTTTTTAATTGAGAGATAAGATTCCTTCAGTGGATGAATGGATAAAAAAAATGTGGCATGTATACACAACAGAATATTACTCAGCAATAAAAGAGAATAAAATCATGACATATGCAGGTAAATGGATGGCGTTGGAGAAGATAATGCTAAGTGAAGTTAGCCAATACCCAAAAAAAACAAATGCCAAATGTTTTCTCTGATATAAGGAGGCTGACTTATAGTGGGGTGGGACGGGGAACATGGGAGGAATAGATGAATTCTAGATGGGGCAGAGGGGAGGGAAGGAAAGGGAGGAGGCAGGGGAATAGATGAATTCTAGATGGGGCAGAGGGGAGGGAGGGAAAGGGAGGAGGCAAGGATGGTGGAATGTGATGGACATCATTATCCAAAATACATGTATGAAGACACGAATTCGCTGTCAACCTACTTTATAAACAAACAGAGGTATGAAAAATTGTGGTATATATGTGTAATAAGAATTGTGATGCAAAAAAACACACAAGTACATGTATAAAGACATGAATTGGTGTGAACATACTTTATATAAAGATATAAAAAATTGTGCTCTATATGTGTAATAAGAATTGTAATACATTCCACTGTCGTGTATTTAAAAAAATAAAATCCATAATAAAAAAAAAGAAAAAAAAGACCTATGTATTCCTCATGTATAACATTGTACAATCTATACAGATTGTACAATGACTAAATCTAGCTAATCAATATATGCATTACCTCATATATTTATGAATTTTGAGGTGAGAACATAGAAGGTCTCCTTTCATATATTTTAAAAATATAATATATATTATTAACAACAGCATAATATTGTATAACATACCTTTTGAATTTATTTTCCTTATTGAATTAACTTAATAGTATTTCATTTACCATGAACACACTCAAATGAGTAAAGCTAAGAAAGAACTTTGGCAAAAACTCACCTTAAGTCTTTCTTAACTCAAAGGAAGAATGACATTTTTGGTCACAAGAGAAGCTTCAATCAGGTGACTGCGTCACTTCCAAAGAGTACAGAGCAGGGGACATGATGAAAACCTTCTCTCCATTGTCCATGTTATCTACTATAAATGAGAAATTTAGACATTGATTAATCTATTGTAATTAGATTTCTTTTCCTCTTAATAAAATCTCAAATTTGCCAAGAGTAATGATTAGCTATTACTTATCATGAGAATTTTCATCTGCATATTATATCTGTGTTGACAATCATTTAGCTAACTATATATTTTATTAATAAACAATGCTTGACCATCTTCATCTTTCTTAATTTACATCTTTAATGATACATTCTTGATCACTTACATTATTTTCAAAACTCATGAACACAAGGATCAAAAATAAGACCCTCCAACACTGATATTGAAAGATAAAAGATCAGAAATGAAGAAGGGACCTCAGAGTTTCAGACACCAGGTGCTCATCGCAAGTCACTCACATGCAACCAGATGTCATGATTGGTCCAGTGCTAAGCCCCCTTTCAACTAAAACTAATAGAAATTGATTTGTTGGACAATTCATCGATAATTATACATGAATAACAAAACACAAGAGTACTATCATTCACCTATTAATTAGCCGATAATATTTATGAGAGCCTATGATTCAAAACACGTAAACCAAGACAGGAACAAGGACCAAGACCCACACTGACCTCCAGATCTGCTGGAGAGTCACCCATGGAGCACCTGGCCACGGAGGAGTTCCAAACCAGCTCCAAGAGGGTCCACTGGGGACAAGTGCACAGCAGACCCAAGGAAAGAAAAGCAAACAAACAACACACTGAGACATTCTCTCCACTGACCCTTGCTTTTCACTCTTCATTGAGAAACTCACTCATGTGGCCTCTGCATGTTAACTGAAAGGGTATTGTTTTAGCTCTCAGCAAAAGTAGCTAATTCAAAATGGCCCCAGACCACAGCAGGAACCCTGCAGGGTCCCTGCACTCACTGTGTCCTCTAAGCCACGAAGGCTTGGCCATGGAACACCAGCACAGATTGGACTTGTGTGCTGACACCATGTGTTCCCTGACCCACCACTGAGTTCTGTCATTAAACAATGCCTCGGTGCGCCATTGTCTGGCACTTTCTCATCTAACTATAGTTGTAGGATTTGCAAGTGTAACCACACAGGGGAAGACCAAGATCCTTCCATGTTCCTGCCTGTGTCCTGAGGATGGTGCCTACCAAAAGACTTCTATTCCTCTCATGTTGGACATCATGTCCAGACACGCTTTCTCCCTCATATGTGGCTCATGTGACACCAGCCAAGAGCACAAGGTCATGTCTTGGTCTCTTCATGGATCATTCATTTGCTCCTTTGTTTTGATTAGGTAATTAATTAATGTATAAGAATAAAATGAAACATGATGTCCAGAACCTAAGCTGCTGGACAAATCCAACATCTGTCTGTAGAATCCTCTGTCAAACATACAGCATCTCTCAATATTCAACCTCCGTGTGGCTCATGATCAATTAATAACTGCAAGGTTCCTCATCATATTCATTATTTGGCCATGGTTAGTTTTTATTTGTTTAAGAATTTTAAGGATGCTATGATACCTCTATACCATCCCCCAGAGAAGGAAAAACACCTTGGCTATCACTCACAGTGGTCACCTCCTTAACACAGTGACACAACAGAATGTCTCCATACAGCAGGGTCCTCATACCAGTCAGGGACAGCCACTGTAAAGCACCAAGCAGACAAGATCACACTAAGCCAGGGACGCCCTCTCCACTGATGGATGCATCCCATCCTTCACTAACATCCTTCGCTTGGCTTCCATCAATTACGGCAATATTTGTTTTTCTCAAAATAGGATAAACTCTAACTTGCAAAAGATCAAGAACAATGCCCAAGTATAATTTTTCACTGTGTATACCTTCCTGACCCCAGAGGAAATACCCTTCATGTACTTTACCAGTGGACAATGCTGCAGCCCCTAAATGTGTTTATTCTGCCACCATTAATCAGGTTATAAGAATACACATGAAATACATGGAGAGAAAGATCCATGCATCCTACCATCACCTGACATTGCACATAGGATCCATTCCATAGCAGGTATGAACAAGGGTCTGCTTCTGTTGGACCTCTGATTTGTTTATTGGTCCAAATAAAATAATAGCATAAAACACTTGAAAATAAAGATCTTATCTGTTGTGGGATAGCCCTCAAGGGCACTTGACCACTGAGCCAAATCTCCAGCCCTATTTTGTATTTTATACAAAATAGCTGCTTAGTACCTCACTTTTGCTGAGGCTGGTTTTGCACTTATGAACCTCCTGCCTCAGCCTCCTGAGCTTCTGGTATTGCAATTGTGTGCTATCGTGCTGGCTCTAGACACTTTCATAGTACATGAGGCACATACCAACAGTGACCTACTGATTTAATCATTGATTCACTAATAATGCGTGAAATCCTTCTTATTCCCAGAAAGCCCACAGATAGCCCTGGTGGTGGTCATCTGTATAGGTATCATCTTACCACTCTACTTCTCCAACCACCACCCTCAGCTTTGTACACATGTATTTTGGTATACTACTTCCCATTCATCTGATCGTTGGCCTTGGGTGTGCCTAATGTATTACAGTTCACATTTTCTACAACTTAAGCAAAGACCCTTCAATGATCCAGCAGAACCACCCAAAGAACTCTAGCTATGACTCACATCGGTCCCAAGTCCTGATGCAGAGATGCAGCCCATGGTTTGGCGACCAGGGAGGTATGGCTCCATCCCCTCGAAAGCATCCATGCTGAGGAGTAGAGAGCAGAGCAGATGGCAAGAGTGAGACGTCCACCCACCCACCTTCGCTGATCCCATTCCCTTTGGGGTTGGACCTCAGAGTTCCAGAAACGTATTATTCATGATCGGAGATTCATACGCCGGCAGTGATCATCAGCAGTCCAAGGAAAGACCCACCTCATTCAGCCAACACCATTCATCTCTACATTTAGTGTCTGCATGAGTAGATCCAACTTGACCATTTGAGCTGTGTACTAATTTTTATTCCAGTTGTACAAATTAATGGGAAGCACTATGGAAAAGTGACCCACGTATGCAGTGGCAAGTACTAAATGAGGAGCTTCACACTAGCATCACGGGAAACGTTCTTCAGACTCTTTGATGAGTGTGGAATAACTGCACACAGGTCTATGCACAGTGTGCTATCTCAGAGCACATCTCTTCCTACCAAGGTCACTAACATTACCATCATTACTTTCTTTTTGCTCGGGGGGCGGGGGGGTTCCAGGGACTGAACTCAGGGGCACTTGGCCACAGAGTCACATCCCCAGCCCTATTTTTTTTTTGTATTTTATTTAGAGACAGAGTCTCACCAAGTTGCTTAGCACCTCGCTTTTGCCAAAGCTGGCTTTGAACTCATGATCCTCTTGCCTCAGCCTCCCAAGCAGCTAGGATTACAGGCGTACACCACCGGGCCTGGCCATTACTACTTTAAATTTGGAAACTTTGTGCACAGCTCTTATAATTGTTCATAAAACATATAACAGGTTTATTGAACTACAGTCACTGTTAATCTGTTAGTTCACTCATAATGTTCCTCAAGGACTGTGATTCACAAACACCCAACAAGGGCATAACTCTGCATGATAAAGATCTAGCAAGATCCTCACCGCAATATACATCTATCACTACTCATTCACACTTTTTTATATCTGGTTTACTTCTTATCAAGATTCATCTTACTCCAAAATTTAAAAGGACTACACTAAGCTTCATGTGGTGGTGCCACACACATTTCAAACATACAAGGAGTTCCCCTAAGCACACCACCCAAACCAAGACAGGAACAAGGACCAAGACCCACACTGACCTCCAGATCTGCTGGAGAGTCACCCATGGAGCACCTGGCCACGGAGGAGTTCCAAACCAGCTCCAAGAGGGTCCACTGGGGACAAGTGCACAGCAGACCCAAGGAAAGAAAAGCAAACAAACAACACACTGAGACATTCTCTCCACTGACCCTTGCTTTTCACTCTTCATTGAGAAACTCACTCATGTGGCCTCTGCATGTTAACTGAAAGGGTATTGTTTTAGCTCTCAGCAAAAGTAGCTAATTCAAAATGGCCCCAGACCACAGCAGGAACCCTGCAGGGTCCCTGCACTCACTGTGTCCTCTAAGCCATGAAGGCTTGGCCATGGAACACCAGCACAGATTGGACTTGTGTGCTGACACCATGTGTTCCCTGACCCACCACTGAGTTCTGTCATTAAACAATGCCTCAGTGCGACATTGTCTGGCATTTTCTCATCTAACTATAGTTGTAGGATTTGCAAGTGTAACCACACAGGGGAAGACCAAGATCCTTCCATGTTCCTGCCTGTGTCCTGAGGATGGTGCCTACCAAAAGCACTTCGATTCCTCTCATGTTGGACATCATGTCCAGACACGCTTTCTCCCTCATATGTGGCTCATGTGACACCAGCCAAGAGCACAAGGTCATGTCTTGGTCTCTTCATGGATCATTCATTTGCTCCTTTGTTTTGATTAGGTAATTAATTAATGTATAAGAATAAAATGAAACATGATGTCCAGAACCTAAGCTGCTGGACAAATCCAACATCTGTCTGTAGAATCTTCTGTCAAACATACAGCATCTCTCAATATTCAACCTCCGTGTGGCTCATGATCAATTAATAAATGTAAAGTTCCTCATCATATTCATTATTGGGGCTATGGTTAGTTTTTATGGGTTTAAAATTTTTTAGAAAAGAAACATTAAATCTCACTAAGCTTCATCTATATTATTTGCCAGGAAGAAGCATCTGTGACATCCTGAGCTTTCTGCTCATGTATAGCTGGCTGGTATAACATTATACATTGTATACTTCATGTGGGAACATTTTACCTTCTTGGGTTATATTTAATTTTTTAAAAGTAGCAATACTTCTTTAAAAAAAAAAGCAGATAAAACTGGAACATCAGCTATTACTCACGTAATCCAAACTCCATGACAACATGATGGCAGCATTAATGGGCTCAAAATCATCCAGTCTGCGGAACAGAGAACAAAGCAGACCATTGATACAGGACACCTGTCCCCTGACCCTGGCTTTTCATATTCCCTGTACTTGTTCTACTAGGAATTCATTATCTGGAGGATATTTGTATCATTTTTTTGTACAAAAATGAATAACCAGAAATATTGTTTGTCCCGGATGCTGAGTAATACCTATCAATCACACTGTGTACAACACTCTTAGCCAAGGAAGGCACAGCAGTGTGACATTTACTTACATTGCTGTCAATAGTTGTAATACGTAATAATGACTGGTCAGGCCTCTTATAATAGTATTTCCATTATACAGATTTTTCATTGATCCAAATATAATTATAGAATAAAAATCAATGAATACAAAAAAAAAAAAGAAAAAAAAAAATCAATGAATACATTGACCCAAAATAAATATATTCTATATCACTAATGCCTGTTTAATAACATTATTTCAAGAAGAGAAAGCCAGACATGCGTTCATATTCTATGACTCATACGCCACCACTAGTCATCATCCTCTGTTTGCCCAAAGAGTTCTAATTTGTCTATTGATTAATCCATTCATTGCCTATTGATTAATTCATTAATGGAATAATTATAATTATAGAACCTTGATTCACAAAACCCACAGAAGAGCCACATTATTCCTAGTCTATTATGGAATCATTCCAGTGTTAGTATCTTGGAATTAATCCATTAATAACCCTCAATTTTTCATAGACACAGTATCAATACTTCATAGGGCACGTATACCTATCAAAAATACACCGTCTTTTTTTTATCATATTTCACATTTTTTTATAATTCAGGAAGTACTCAAGAAAACCATCCAAACCAAGACACGAACACTCCTATGACTCACAGTGGTCAGCAGCTTCTTCCAACCATGGACATGGAAGACCCTTCTGTCCACAGGTCGTATCCATTCTAGGGAGCAGAGGGCAGAGAAGATGACAACAAATTGAGAGGCGCCCTAGAGTCCACCTGTCACAGTGAGACCCTTAAGCAATCAGATCTGGTCGGAGTTGGAGAAGAACCTCAGATTCAAAGGCAGTCACTGTCCTCACTCGTACAGCTCCCAGGATCATCATTGTCCCACAGCGGCTGCTCGCTCACTCCGACCACCTCCTTTTCTGGATCATTATTCATGCATTAATTGAATGATCATAAGCCCTGTGCAAGTCACCCCGTCCCAAAGAGAAAGACTAACCACAACTCACACTGGGCTGTAGCTCCTCTCAACAGGGTGCTCATGGCTCCTGACCATGGAGCCGTCCGCCTGTCCACAGGCCAGGTCCGTTCTGAGAAGCAGAGGGCAGAGAAAATGACAACAATCAGAGAAGTGCCCCACTTTTAATCTGTCACAGGGAGACATTTAGACAAACACCCTTGGTGGGAGATAGGGAAGGACCTCAGATCCAGAGGTCCTCACCCATACACCTCCAGCAGTCATCCTTGATCTGTCTGACCATGGCTACTTTCTGATTCATTAATTTATACTCGACTGACACAAGCCTTATGCAAGCCAACCCATCTCAAACAGGAAGATTGACCAGGACTCACACTGATCGGCCGCTCCCCTCAGGAGGGTCCTAAGGGCACCAGACCACGGAGCCATCCTCCTGTCCACAGGCCAGGTCCAATCTGAGGAGCAGAGGGCAGAGAAGGTGGCAACTAATGGAGATGCGCACCCCCCCCCCCCCGGCATCTCTCACACTTTAATGCGATCATTGTACATTGCACTTAGTGAAGGAACTCAGATCCAGAGGCAAGTCACAGTCCTCACTCAGACACCTCCAGCAGTCATCATCGATTCACTATGGGTCTTCAATCTGTCCAACCATTGCTACTTTCTAAGTTATTCATTCATTAATTGATAAATTATAAGCCTTTGATTCACTAAGTCTGAAATGCCTGGTTGTTTTACTCTGTATGTGTAATCATTCAACATTGACACCTCTGTGTCATATGCATAATCAAGGCAATGCTTCATGTCCCTCCTGTTATCTATGGGAGGTACAGAACGTCACATCTGTGCCTATGCTGTACACTTCCTGTGAATCAGTAAATGGTCTTAAGCCTGCTACCCATCCGAAGTAGGAACGCTAGTTATGACTCACACAGGTCTGCAGCTCTTCCTCAGAAGGGCGCTAACAGCACCTGACCATGGGCCAGCCCTCTTGTCCAAAGGCAATGTCCACTCTGAGAAGAAGAGAGCAGAGATGTTGACAACAAATGGGGTGTGCTCACTGTTCATTCTTGATTTGTGCCAATTCATTAATTTGAACTTGCCATTGACCCAGAACACTGTCTATAATTAGGTCTACACCACCATTAGTCAAAAGGAGACATGCACACACCAGTTATTTCTCTTTGAACTGCACTATGATCTGTATGTGTTGATATGTTTCCTGCTTTACCACAAAGTTTCGGAACTGTACAATGTGGAACATATGAACACAAAGTTGTGATTCCTCTTTGGGGCCCCGCCTTTCACTTGGCCCTTGCTCAGTGTTATACTGCACAGGGAAGTAGGACATTCACTGTTCTTCTCTGGAGAAAACCAACATTACAGAACTTGATTATTGGCTGTAGATGTCATTCCTGTCCAGAGAAGGATGAGGGTGGAGACAGTTATATTCCTTGATAGATGTCTGTATATTTACTGTGTTCATGGTTTTAATTACTTACCCATGTACAGGACTGGTGGGAATGTGAGACCATCTTCACCATATTTTATCTGTACACTAATTCTTTCTTTGGGTCATTCCAAAAAGTGAGCCTTTAACTTTCCTGATATCAGTCTATGGGGGCGCTTTAAACAGAGGTGTAGACTACACCCACTTTTTTATTGGACCTCAGAGGTTCACACACAGAACACTCATCCTGTGACTCAGGATTACATCCCTTTTTCTTTATTCTCGTGTGTATTTGTTAATTGATCAACTTATTGATGTAAGTTTTAAAACTAGGTTTCACAAAAACCTGAGAGGCAGGGCAATGAGTGTCGTGCATGTCTGAAGGATCACTCGGCGTATCCATGTATTTTTTCCATGAACTTTCATCACTTGGGGATTCATAAATCTCATTAATTCCACCTTAATTGTTGTCCATGGTTGGCCTTTTGGATTATGTTTCACATTTTTAATGACACAGTGACCACCTCATGGCAAAACTCTCAGAAGGATGTGAGCCTTCCTCACAGTGGTCCTCTGCCCTCAGCCTCGAGGGAACACGGAGCTCGCTCCATGGAGGAACGCACAAATGAGGGGGCGTGTGTCCTTCTTGAGGACAATGAGACAAAGAACATGAGTAAGAGGCTGAGGTGGTCCCTAAGGAGTCCTTATTGTCCTCCTTTGTGCCGACAGTCAGGTGTCGACTGTTTCATAATATAAACATGGATACAAACACAGAAACATGTTTGGGTGTGTTGGATGCACACCTACAAAACTGGATGCTGCCTACCCGTGTCACTGCCTAATGGTCCTTAGGAAAAGAAGTGACATCTTCAGTCCACTGATTGCTTGACGTGTTTCAATGTGTTGTTTATATTCACGTTATTCCATGCCTCACCACAGACATTCATGGCTAGACAAGGTTTCATGCACTTATTTATTGTTTGACACACCTAGTTATTTATTGTTCACCAATGAATTAATCTGCATAGGCGAAAGCATGGAACAGAACAAGGGCATCCCTCAGGATAGGGCCTTGCTGGGTCTGGCTCAGATGTCCAGACATGGTACCTGTTATCCGTGACTCAGGTGCCACCAGCTGCCCTCGCTGGACGAAGGTTGGGCCTTCCTCCGTCCTACCTAAACTGGTTTATTGATGACTCTGTGATTTTGCCAATAATAATTAAATACGTGTGAATCACAAACACTCAAAGACCACATAAGATCCATCTGTGTGCCCACCACCTGTCTTGGGAACCGTTTGCCTGATGGATCAGGCCTCTGATTGATCCCCTTGTCACAAAAACCAGTAGATGTGCTTCACTCCAGCCCAGAGTGGACCGAGTGCCTCAGCACAGAGAGGCAGCCTGGGCACCCAGAGTGTGGTCGGTGCTGGGGGTAGTTCAGCAGTGCACGTGCTGAGCAACTGACCCCAGATGGAGGTGCTCCCTCATCGAGCCCTCTAGGTGCATATGAATTTGAGGTGATACCTATTAAGTTTTCTCTCAAGAAAATGAAGAATATCAAAATTTCCACTGATCCATAGACAATCTGAATTGTCTAAATCATCCTCATTCAAAGAAGTAAGGCACTTTTTTTAATAGACTATTTTTAATTTTTAAGAATAAAAAATTCTTTTTAATAAAATTTGGTATTTTCTTTTTTTAATATTTATTTATTTTTTTAGTTGTAGTTGGACATAATATCTTTATTTTATTTATTTATGTAGTGCTGAGGATCCAACCCAGGGCCTCACATGTGCTAGGCGAGCACTCTACCACTGAGCCACAATCCCAGCCCAAAATTCGGTATTTTCAATATATTTTAGTATTTTTATTGCCTCGCCACGGTTACGGAGTAGACACTTCTTATCTTCGCTTATTTACATTTCTCCAATGATTGTAACGTTGTTATCATTTATGACAGTAGAACACAACTATAGAAAAAGCAATCCAAGAAAATGGTCCCTTTACATTGCTAGAATCTGTACATAAGATCACTCCAACCCAAACGGATATACTTTGTTTTGTTATTATCAGGTCTCACTGAATGGAGCACGCAGTAGTCACTCACTGCATAGAACTCATACCCCAGGGTCATCGTCATTACCCTGTCTTGGGTCAATTTCTCTACACTCTCATCTACTTTTATTAACTAATTAACTTATAATTCTCCAGTAATAATAAAATAAATAGCCACTGATCATAAAAACTGCACAGGAGATCCTTAATATTTTTCTAGACAATCACATTCATCGACTACTCTTCCTTCATTATTCATCCTCACTGTGACAAGAAAAAAAAAAAAAGATCAATGGATCAACGCCATGTTCCATTTCAACGCCATATTTATCACGGGGCAACAGCTGCCCTCTCTGATTAGCCTTACTTTCTGGGATAGCACACTCGATATCCCGGACAAAACACTGAGCACACTGGCCATTATCCACACTGGTCTCCACGGTCCGACACACAGAGGTGACCGCACAGCCTCGTCCTACCCACCTGGCTCTGCCCATCCTGAGAAGGACAGAGTCGATGACCAAGACTGATCTGCACAATCCCCCTTTTGTTTAGTGAGCGATTAAGTTTATATGACTTTGGGTTCATATTTGTTATTTTTCCATAAGAAAATGAAAAATATCAAAATTGCCGTAGGCCCAGAATAAAAACTGAGCGTACTATCTATATCATCCTTGGTCAGAGATAAGACACGTGATCCACTGACATTCCCTCGAGGACCTTAGGTTTCAGCTTACATTAACAGTATTAGAGGGGTATTAAGAGTAGGCACTCTCCACCCTCCACGCCCTCTCTCATTTACTGTGCATGCAATTCTGCCATGGGGGCCACAAATGACACTAGGATCAAAATCCACGAAAATAATTCTTTCATACTTCTAAAATCTTTCTCATGTGAGAGTATCGGTCTAGTCAGGGTTTCTTTTTCCATTTTTAATTGACAAATAATTATATATATTTCCAGGATACAATGTGCTGTTTTGACATATGTTTTCACTGTGGAATGGTTAAATCAAGCTAATGAAACACATCTATCAATTCATAGCCTTGTCATTTTTGTACATATTTGTACATTTTTGTAAATATTCTTGTATTTAAAAATCTAGTCTTTGAGCCGTTTTGAGACAGTGCTACCCATTGTTAACAACCACTCTCACCAGGATGGGCGAGGCTCCCCTAAACCTCTGCCTCTCTGAATGATGCTTGGTATGCTTTGATCTGCCCCTTTCTCCCACTGCACCCCAGCGTTGGGCAGCTACTACTCTGTGTCTGACTTCGCATCACGTAGGACTCGCCTGCCGCCCCTTCCCATCAATGGTCCACGTGCCCCATGCATTTCATTCCCATCTACAATTCTTCATTGATTAATCCATTAATATTGCTTTTTAAAAATCCTATGAGAAATAGAAAGATCCTAGGAGACAAAAATTCCAAGGGACAAAGAGAAAACAAGAAAGAAAGACCTGACACCCACATGTAGCTACAGATTCACTGTCAACATGGGCATATCAAGACACGGTCCTCAGTGTTTCACGGATGCATTAAATATGATGATTCAAGTGTCCACAGAAATGTCTCCAGAATCCATGGCCCCACTTCAATCATCCTGATCGCCAGAAAAATGATTCATCAACACAACGTTTCATGTTAATCCCACCTTTTTTTTTTTGGACAACAATTGTTCTTTTTACTTTAAATATACTTCTTTTATTAACTTTGAATGTTCCAAACAAAATAAACAAACTTCCCAAAGATGGTAACTGACGACCACATGTTGATCTTTATGCTCCCGCACCCAGGGTCTGCCACAGAGGTCACAGTCAGGGCCAGATGCTTTGATCAGTCGGGGTGTGTCCACTCTAGAGAGAAAGAGCAGATGACAACATGACTGAGATGTTCCCTCCACTGATCTCACACCCACAAGTCATTATTCAGTCATTTAGGCGATACCTAATTTGGCTTGATATACATTTCACATTCCATTAAGAAAAAACAATGTGAAACTTCCATCAGTGCAGAACTAGAACACCGGCATTATCCGCATTATCTACGTCATCGGAAGCCAGAACCATTTTTCCTTACCAGATTGTTATCACTATTAATTAGTATTTTCTCTCACCTCACCTACTCCTGATAATTAGATAATGCTACAGTGTCTTCATTTTTACTTATTTTAATTGTGCATTGATTTTTTTCATTTTTAAAATATTCTGACTGAAAATTCTATACATTGAAACTGTGAAACATATTTTAATTTTACACTGATTCTCTTATTGATCCATTTATTACGAAAGTATCAAAAGCCACCAAAAAAAGAAGATCCTTATGAAATCCTAAGTCCGTCTATAGAGTCATTACCTCTACATTTTTTTAAAATGACACTGGGTTTTACTAAGTTGAGCAGGCTGGCCTTGAAATCCTCGATGCAAATGATCTTTCTCCCTCAGCCTCCCAAGTACCTGGGGCTACAGGTGCTTGTCACCCTGTCTAGCTCGTTTCTGTGTCCTTAATGATTCATTTATCTATAATCTAATAACAATAAAGTAAACATGTGTGACTGAAAAATTTACACAATTCCAAAAACCCTTGAAGATCCTTAAACATCCTCAATATCTGTTTATAGAATCATTCACTTCATTTTATATTCTCCTTAATCATTCTCAAAGTTGTAAATATCAACAACTAACATGTTTCTTGCCCTGTCTATATTTATCACTGGGTTATAGATAGCTTTTTCTTTAATTATTTTTTGATACTTCTTAATTATTACAGTGAACGCCATGAGCAAACCACCAAAACATGGTGAGAACATCACCCATGACTCACCTTGCTGCCCAAACTCCTACCCAGATAGGCAACCTTTGAACCCACGATGGAGGCAGAATGCTCAACACAGCCCAGGGGTCTCTTCAGGGAAACGAAAAGCAGAACAAAAGCAAAATTGACACCTTATCTCTACTGGTCCATGCAGGTCACCTGTCAATCATTAATGATTTAGGTATTTAATATTCGGAATTAATACGTGTTAATTTTTCTTTCAGAAAAACCAACAATATCAATCTTGACACAAATAAAACAAGAACATTAAAATACATATGTATGTGCACACATATATGTGTGCATATATTTGTGTATGTATATTTTTCTATGTCTTCCTTATCCCATAGGATAACACCCTTTAACTATTCATTTCTTTACAGACCTCACTGTTTTCAACGTACATTATTCCTTTCTCTCATCTCATGTGATTTATATCAGACAATATTTTGCTCATTCGTATTTATTCATTCCTGTTTGCCTATTCTCTCACTGATCTACTTGTAATGAAACCTAAGTCCATGAACACAAAATCAAAACCATGGTTCTTTTGTATTCCCCACATTTGCCAACAGGACAGAATAAGCAGTGGCCAGAGGCAACACTGCTCTGGCTTCAGTGCCCAGTGCAGCGGTCATCCCTGGCTCATGTGCCACAGTCATCACCACTGATCCTGGTTAGGCCTGTCTTCATTCTTATATACACCTCCTTATGACTGAATTCATTAATTCTCTAATAATAATAAAAGCACAGAAAAATAACGGGCTGGAGCCTTGACTAATGCTATAGTTTTCTGTAGACTAACTTCCTACACCTATAGGTACTTTTGCTATTAATGCTTCTACATGGATTTGTTCATGTAATACATCATGTAAATTTTTATTGCCACATACATATCACAAATATATATATATATCATCATGTCAGGGATGGCTTTCAAAGAAGACATTTCACACCTTTTAAATACAGAGGAAACACCTTAACAGCAGACTGGGCTAGCAGGATGAGTCTGGGGCTAGGACTCACACTGTCATCATGTGCCACACGGAGGCATCTGTAAGCCCACGTGCACATCCATCCTGAGGAGCACAAAGCAAAAATGTGACTGACTGCCGAGCCAGGGCCGCCCTGGCCAGTCTTTCCAGCTCAGGCCCTTAGATGCATGTTCATTTATATAACTGGAAAATACTTCACATATTTGCTTATCTTAGTTTATTAATTCTTCATTGCCCTATTTGTACTAATCATAATGATTATTACTTGTACAGTTTATATGATCATTAGCTAAAGTACCATTCTTAAACGATGCCTTTCTTAATAGACTTGAGCATTTCTAATTTACTTGTATTAATGGGCTCTCTTCCTTCCACACATTTTCATAATTGGATGATACTTTACCTATTTATTTATTTATTTACATTCATTTGTTGATACTTTTAATATATCCAACTATAATCCTGGAATTAAAATCCGTGAACGCAAAGATCAAGAACACAATACTCGCATCTTACAACCTCTCTGCAGGATCACTTCCTACTGAGGTAGCATGCTAGATTGCCTTTGTTTGGAACTTCCAGTTCCTCACATGGTGTTTATCAGCCACGCATCATGAATGGTGCTGGGCCAAGAATCATTAGGGTCCAGGTGGAGCACCACACAGTATTTCATATGAATACATAACTATCATCAGAGACAATTGGCTTTCTTTGACAATATTAAACCCATTATATTAATACATGGAATGCCTTCTTGAAAAACATTCAAAAAGCTATTTTCCTGAAAAACATTAAAAAAACTATTATCACTACTCACATTTCTATCAGTTCCCCAATAAGACAGGCAACTTCAGAAATCCATCAATCAAATAGAGTGCATCTGTTCTAGAAAGAAGAGAAAAGCAGGGATCAAACATTGACATGCTTTTTACACTGATCCTTCACTCTGCATTTCAGAGAGATATATACATGGGTTTTGATTTGGAGTAACATATTTCACATTTCCTTAGACCCTAAAAAAACTAGTTAACTAATCTTCAGAAATTCAGAATAAGAAGAGTAGCTCTTTGTTTTATCATCTGTATCAGCTTTAGATACAGGAGAAATACTAAAAGAATGTATAATTAATATATTTACATTTTCCATAAAAATTGGTGGCACATTTTACATGTCCACAGACTATAAAAATGCTATCATGCTTCACTTATTCATATGTATTTATTTACACTTAATTATTGATATTTTCATTGGAACTTTACAGCATCCATTCTAGAAAAAGACTCCATCCCATACCTTTCCTCCCAATTGGACCTCTGTGATTCATATTTATCAATAGTGGCACATGGTTTTCCCCACTGGAGAACACCTTGCCCACTTCTTTCCTTACTTTTATTTTCTGATAAAATTACAAAAAAAATGGAAGTTCAAGAACACAGAGACCAAGGGCAACATCCTTGACTCTTGCCAACATCAACCCCTAGGATAACAGAGTGAACCCTAGATGTCTTATGGTGTTGGACCTCAGACTTCCAAACCTATAGTCATCATTTTTGATTCATGTGCCACCAGTGGTCTCCATAGATCCAAGACATGCCCTCTTTCCCTCCTGTGTTATCAATGTTACTTGTTGATGAATTTGTAATGTCACGCATAGCAACTAGATAACCCGGATTCTCAAGCATCTGAGATCAAGATCCTGAAGAACGCAGCATGGCCTTCTACAGGGTCTTGAGGTTCATGGCCTACATCTCTTCCACTATGCCATGTTGATTTTGCAAACTGTGATCGATCAATGTGATCATGGCCAGGCCATATTTATCATTCAGCCATTGTTGTTTTCATAGATGTGTAAGGCTTTTTCTAGGACAGTGAATGTCCTGGAGAAACAACCTCAGTCAAGATAAGAGCTCTTGACTCTACTCACCTTTCTCACAATACTCCTAACACACACAGGAACTGTACATCACAGGGCCAGAGAAGAATGCTTCCATCATCTGAGAGTGTCCATTCTGAGGGGACAGAGCACAAGGGGTTAGAAAAAGATTGAACTTCTGTCCCTTGATCCTTCCCTTTCTCCTTCCATTTCATAATTCATTCCGTAGGAGTTAAATCACAGTTTTGCTCAAGAAACCAACAACATTGAATGTGGCCTTGACCCTAGCAAGGATTCAGAACCATTATTTTTTCTGCACATGCCATCCTCGTCCAAGGTTCTAAAAAATCACTACTATTTATGTCTGAATAGACTTGCATGTTTTTCAAACATTTTCAAGCTACTTCTGGCCTTGACATATACTTTCATAACCAGACAATGCCTCCCTCACTTTATCTTCATTTTTTATATATTGTATATATTGATGTACGGATTTCACCATTGTTCCAATTACAAAAATAGAATGAAAATTCATGAACCATAGGACAGAGAACAATATCCTAGATAATACCTAATATCTATCCCTAGGATTACAAGCTAGATGTCTTCTGGTGTGGACCTCAGAGTTTCAGAGACAGTCATCATCCTTGACTCATACGCCACCAGTGGTTATCACTGGTCCCAGATTGGCGCTCTTCCCCTCCCTTAATTTCTACCATTGTTTATTGACTTATCCATCCTTTCACTGATAATATTTATAACAATGGTCCAAAGGCCCTAGGGTAACTTCTTGATGTGTACTTTACAGCTCTCTACAGGAGCTTTCCCTACTTTGAGTATGACTCTTACTCGCTCAAAATAATATAGCCATTATTGAGTAGTCAACATAATGATTCACGGCCATGACATGGTCATTGTTTGGCCACGGTTGCCCTTCTGAGATGACATGTGCTGCTTTTACCAATACAGTGAACCTCCTTGTAACACCACACAACCCAGGGCGAGAAGTTTCACTCAACTCACATTAATCTCTAAACTGTGAACATAAGCAGGATCCACCGACCTTGTGGCCAGAGAAGAATGCTGTCGACATCTTGGGAGCACCCACTGTGAGAGTACAGAGCACAGCAGATTTTAAAGACATTGGAATTCTGTCCATTTATCCTTCCATTACTTCCTCATGAACCATGCATTAAATTATCACACTTTCTTCTTCATAAAACCAACAAACACTGAACAGAATTCTGTTCCCCACACTTTTTTTATAAACTGGACACAGCATCCATTCCAGAAAAAAAAACATAGCTCATCTGTTTCCTACCAGGTAGACTTCTGGTTTTAAGAATCAATGGTCTGAGGAAGCAGAGTACACGGTTTTCCCACTAGAGAAAGCCTTGCCCACTTCTTTCCTTATTTATATTTTTGATACAATTATAACAAATAGAACTAATGTTCAAGAACAACATCCTTGACTCTTGATATTATCTATCCCTAGGGTAACAAAGAAGACACTAGCTATCTTATGGTTTCGGACCTCAGACTTCCAGACCTATAATCACGATCCTTGACTCATACATCACAGTGGTCATCATTAGTCCAAGACCAACCCTGCTCTTCAATAATATCTTCAGTTGCTTATTGTCGAATTGTCACTCAAGCCACTACATAATTATGACTCTCAAGTATCTGAGATCAAGAACCTTAAAGATGACCTGGGTTGTAGCTTATGTGGTACATGTGAGGCACTGGGCTCGATCCTCTGCACCACATAAAAATAAATAAATAAATAACATTAAAAAAAAAAAAAAAAACTTTTTAAAAAAAGTAACCTTAGAGACACAGCATAGCTATCTACAAGATCTTTAACATCATGGCTTCATCTCTTCCCGGACGCCATGTTGATTTTACCAACTGTGATCAACCAATGTGACCATGGCCAGGCCATATTTATCATTCAGCCATTGTTGTTTTCATAGATTATGTGGGATGCTTTTTCTAGGACAGTGAATGGCCTGGAGAAACCACCCCAGCCAACACAAAAGCTCTTGACGCTACTCACCTGCTCCTAACACACACAGGAACTGTACATCACAGGGCCAGAGAAGAATGCTTCCATCCTCTCAGAGTGTCCATTCTGAGGGTACAGAGCACAAGGAGTTAGGAAAAGGTTGACCTTCTGTCCCTTGATCCTTGCCTTTCTCCTTCCATTTCATAATTCATTCCATAGGAGTTAAATCACAGTTTTGCTCAAGAAACCAAGAATATGGAACCTGGCCAATTCATGCCCAAGACATGTTTATTTTCTGGTCATTTTTGCCCTTCTGAAATTATATATATACTGCTTTTATGGATACAATGAGCCTCCCGAAACACCACCCAATCCAGGAAAGGAAACCTCACTCCACTTACATTGGTCTCTCCTCCAAGAACACAAGAAAGATCCATGGACCTTGCAACTCTGGTCATCTTTGGAACACTCATTCCGAAGAGTACAAAGTACAACGGATTTTAAAGACACTGTTACTCCATGCATTTGTTTCATTTTATTAGTCATTTGTGTTTGTATTAAACTATAATTCTTTTTCCTTGAGAAAATAAACATTGAATGGGGTTCAGCCCAGAACAAAGACATAGGACATTTTTTTTCATGAATATATGATCCTCATCCAAAGTTATAGCTCTTCTGATCCTTCACTTCCTAATGGATATCTGTGATTCAATATACATCATTGGTGTTTTGTGCCTTCACACATCATTTGTCCTTCAGAGAATACTGCTTACTGATTCAGATTTTTGAACCAATTATAAAAATAAAATCAAAATTCAAGAATCCAGAGACAGGGGTTGGGATTGTGGCTCAGTAGTAAAGCACTTGCCTAGCACATGTGAGGCACTGGGTTTAATTCTCAGCACCACATTAAAAATTAAAAAAAAAAAAAAGATATCGTGTCCATGTACAACTAAAAATATTTTAAAAGAAAAAAGGAATCCCGAGACAAAGAAAAACATCTTTGACTCTTCCTAACATCTATACCAAACATCACCCAGTATCTACTAGGTGTCATCTGTATTGGACCTCAGATATCCAGACCCGCAGTCATCATCCGTGACTCATATGCCACCAGTGGTCATCATTGATCCAACTTTGTCTCTTCTTTTCTCAATAATATCTACAGGTGCTTATTGACCAATTCATCTTCTCACTGAAAGTATTTATGTAACTATGAGTCACAAATCTCTGAGAACAAGATCCTTAGGAATAGGGCATGGCCCACTATAAGATCTTTCTCCAAAGTGCCTGCCTCTCTCCTTAACCAACGTTATTTGTATAAATGATGATTAACCAATATAATATTTCATGTTCATGCCATATTTGTCATCCAGCCACATTTGCTATGTTCAGATTGTATATAATCCATTTATCATATCACCAATATACTTGAAATACCACCCGCTCCAGGACAAGCAATTTGACTCAACTTACATTGGCTCCTGTGTTGTGAACAACATGGCAGTGACCACAAACCTCATGACTACAGAAGAATTCAGTCACCATCTTGGGAACACCATCTTGGGAACATCTTTTTCCTATAACAGAGAATCACTTTAAACAAACTAATCCAAAAAAGGAAAGTTGTACTACTATTCACAAGAGTCTTCATGCTAACAGAGAGAGTCAGGTTGGGAGCACAAGGCTGAAATCAGGCTGGAGACTCAGAATAATGCAAATTATAAAACTGGATGATCTGTCTTTATTAATCTGTTTATTGCCCTTTCCGTTTGGGTATTTATGAATCTGTGATAATATCTACATATTCCCTCTATGTTAAAAATAACGCTGTCAAACTTGAGCTAACCCAGAAAAATAACATGGACTATTCCTTCTAGTCACTACCTTAAAGATATTTAACGAGGCATCCTTAAATATCAGTCCCAGGACTTCTTGCCTAAACACATGGATTCAGAGTTGGACAATGCTTCGTCCTCTATAATTTATTTATAGATTTGCTTATTGGTTGTGAAATGAATCAACTTACAATGATAAAAATCACAACTCTCTAACTCAGAACCTCATGACAGGGGCCTGTGTTCGGATGGGAGAACGTTGACAGTTCCTGGGGTCAGCCTCTGCACTCCACGTCACACTGGCACATATCCAAGCCTCCATCACCAGAGACTGATGAAACCAGCTGTCAGGCGTTTAGGCTGCGGAACAGAAAACCGATGTCAGAAGGAAGGAAACTCTGTGGTTGTTTTCCGTGTTGTGGATGTCATGTATGACTAAACTAATTAAAGTCCTTGAGATGTGACAAGAGTTTTGTCACTGGTGGTTTATGATTCACTTAGGACCTTCTCAGATTTACTTTTTAATTGTATGATGAAAATGATTAACTGATCAGCAAACACAAGGAAAAGTGCTACATCTACTAGGAGCTGCTGTTTCTATGCCCCATCCTATGTAGATCACAATGTATGTCTACTTTAAAAATAGAATATTCTCCAATATAATTAATTTAAATGACTGTTTGATAGCCTCACCAATGGGCCTTGATTACCCCTGTGGATGTATGCATAAGTTGCTGAACATATGTATTTATTCTATATGTACTTCCTCATGGATTAATTTGATCATGCATCCACATTGCTTAAAAAAAATCAATAGAGTAAACAAACCAGCAATGCAGAAGTAAAATAAATGAGTGCTTCTCCCTGCATGTGTAATGTCCAAGGCACAGGCAGCCTGTGTCTCCTATATTGGGTAGAGGTTGCATCGAACAGGATGAACCATCATCCTTGTTACATAACCCAGACTTCCTATGCCATTTGGTCGTTTTTTGCTTATTTTCATTTATTTATTTAACATTTTTTCTTTTCCTTTTTTTTTGTATTAAATTGAACAACTACCAAATTACCCTATTAGAATAATAAGAACAATGCCTATTACTAGGATATGTTTATATGTTTCTAAGCCAGAGGGGTCGTCGTGGGAATGGAAAATACTGATTTGGCACTGACCAAATTTGGACTACCCAAAACCCTTGGTTCAAAGCCAACAAAAACCCAGCATGCTCCTTGCTTAGCATTCTTCGTCATCTTTCATTCATACATTTGCTCCCGGCTCAAGAATCCACTAAAATATAATCAATACTTATGGTTCACAAAACACAATAATAAGAAACTGAAGTTTCTTACAGGGCTGGGGCTATGCTCAGGGGTAGAGTACTTACGTAGCATGTGCAAAGCCCTGGGTACAATCTTCAGTAACACAAAAGAAAGAAAGGTGTGCTTAATACCTGTCCAAAGTCCATTTCTCACAGAGAAAGTAGATAGTTCTCTTTGAGTGACAGACTTAGTTTTGTAGACTAGTAATTAAGAGCAAGCACACTTGCTTTATGTTAATCCCATACAGGTCAGGGTTGGATCATCTTTTAGCTACTTCACCCATTTTTAAGGAGATGACAAAAACGAGCATGAACCCATCCTTTTACTCCACACATACAGTGCTGACGATATCTTACATTTTGGAATGTGACTAAACTATGTCTTCATAAGCAGAGGGAGAATAAATCAACTGACACTCAGAAATAAAACAGAATAATGAATGTTACATTAATTAATTCACGAATAAATTGAGTATGAAAATAGAATGGTCTTGCTTCTTTCTCTTTAATGGACCAAAGATATGATGAATTAGTCCACGTCTGACCTTCATTCATTTCACTTGTATACGTACCCACTTATTCCCTCTCAATGACAGAATTAACGTCCATGATAAACCATAAAACCAGAATCAATTAATCTATTACTTACATAGATTTCTAACCTCATTACTCAAAAGGATAACAACCAAAACCTTCCTCGCTAGAGAAAGATTGTATCTCTGTGCATCCATTCTGCAGAATAGAAACAGAAAAAGAGCAGATTAGATAGATAGAGGGATTTTTTTTTCTATTTCAGTTCAAATCAATATTTGATCAGCATAAAACTCAGTGCTTGTCATACATTTAAACATACCTATGGCATCCCTGTGGACTCACCGATTGGGCGAATATTAAATATACTATAATGAGCAACGGACAAAAGAATAAGAACTATCACATATGTCTATTTGCATGCCTCTACCCATGCAGGGAAGTGCTGAATCTTCTGAATGAACCCTGGTACAGGATGTGGATGGAGGCACACTCAGCTATATCCACATGCACATGAACACACAGGACCTCTCTAGGTACACATGGTGTCATTTAGCTATTCCATATTTAAGGACATTGTATCAACAAGCCAAAAAAGGGAAATTCTATTTAAATTCATAAATATAGCCATCATTCCAAAAATGCAAGGTCCTAAGTCTATTTTAACTATCTGGAGTGCGTGGGGAACTACACTGATCCATCTCCCTGTTTTAGAACCTGGGTCCTCCTTGGTCCATGATTTGCTTCCTTTTAAATGATTAACTGCGGCATTAACTTACTGTTTTTCAAGTTCATAATGAGACCATTATATATCTGTGACTCCACAGGAACTGCACAATATTAATGCCTGTCTAGATGCTCATTAGACACAGAAAAAAAAGATCCGATCATTTTTTTATTATTTTTTTTAATTAAACCCAAGAACTGACGTTAAGCACAGTGCAGATCACTGTATTAATCAGAACTGGCCATGTGACAGGCTCTCAACATAGATCCCGACCTATGCCCTCTTTCAATTAATCAATAATGAAATTAAGTAAATATTTTGCCTTTTTAAAAAATAAAACATAATTAGAACAAAACAGTGTCTAGCATCCACCTATCTCAATGCTCCTTCACCAAGAGGGGTGGCTCTGATCACCTATGTCCCTGGAACTGTCCTCTTGTTGCCTTATCAACCCCCATGCTTAAATGGGAGTCATCCATTCTCTCTCATTTATAGGTTTCTTGGTTTATTTATGACCTGCTCTACTGAAAACAATATATTCCACACTCAGAAGCCCCCAAAACACTATCCCTATTATTTTTAACTCCTAGAATCAGCTCATTTCTTATAGAGATAACAAATCTCAATCTTATTGCAATGAACCTCCCAGGCATAGGGTTTAGTCAAAAATCCTTGATGCAGACACCCAGGGTACTGCTCATCATTGATTCAGGATAGCAATCTTGTTCTTAATTTCTGTCTTTATTTATAGATCTATGCACAGCTTCACTAGAGTAAAAAACATCAATAATCATGAATGTTTTTTAAAAGCCAAGAACAATAACCTGGATTGCTACCAGGATCTGGTTACAGGTTGTTTCCCTACAGATAAGGCCTCCTCCCTCCACAGGACCTCTTGACAGAGTGGCCCTGGGTGGAGCAAGCGTCCTGCTCCTGGCCAACCTGTCCTGTCTGTCTCTCACCTTCCCCTGTGCTCTTCCTCAGGGAGTTTGTATGATGACGGACACGTGCTACCAACTGCCCCACAACCCCAGGCAGCGACCAAGAGGACTATAGCAACTGAACACAAGAATTCCTAAAATTCCCATCATTTAAAATACAGACAGCCACGGACGGATGGGGCAACCCTATTGGACATGGCGACCCTAGATTTTGTGACTGGATAAATTTTGAATTAAATGTAGAGCAGAAATTAGATGAATGATTAGCTCTGAAAATGAGTGGAATATCTTCTATGCTTTAACTACAACTGTGCTTAATCGGACGAATCTGAGTTTCATAACACATGTCCTTTTTCCATATATGGCTTAATTCAAGCAATTCAATAAGCAACTAATGAAAATATCAAGCAAATTGACAAAACTTGAGCTTTTACTTACTTTAGTCATTAGGTTTCTTACTCACAAAGGCAACAGCTAAGATCTTCGACAGCAGAGACTAAATAAATCAGCTGTGGTCTTCATTCTGTGGCATCAAATACCAATGTTTAAAAGAATAAACAGTACAGGGTCAGATATTTTAAAAGACATTGACTTGCACAGTAGGCTAACCACATTCTAGATTTGAGTTCAGTTTCCACCATTGAAGGACTTCTATTTATTTACTTTATAGAAAAAGAACTTTTCATTTATTTTATTTACTGGCCTATTAATTTCAAATAATAGAATGAACATTATTAAATTCATCAATCAAAAGTAAGAACTAACACTTTTGCACACATATGTTTACTGACCCCAGCCCACAGATAATCTCTCTTTTTTTTTTAAGTAGTCTTTTAAATAAATAGATGAATTTAAATTCATGATTCATTGTCAGTCCTCACCAATAATCTGCATTTGACCCTACAATGTTATCATTCACTGTTTTATTTGTTTGCTGATAGAATGTTCACTCATCTATTCCCAAACACACAACAGGCACACATACACACAGGGGTCAACTCAGGACCAACCCAGAACAGAGCTGACTTTCATGGTCAAGGACCTACACTCCCACACCTGATTGATTCACTTCTTCCTTGGCCATGTTCTGCCCACTTTTAAAAACTTAGCTATGAGCCAGGTGTGGGGGCTCATACCTAAAACCCAGCTACTCTAGAGGCTGAGACAGGAGAATCACAACTTCAAGATCAGCCTGGGCAACTTACAGTGTGTACAATTAGCACATGAAAATAGGAATTAAAAAAAAAGATGTTTTGCTTATTTATAATATAATTCATAGTTGGATTAATAATAATTCTTTTCATTGGTATATCCTCAAGGTGAACAATGCTCATTCATTTCGCCAATTACATTACTACTTCATCTACTATTTATATAATTTTCCTTTTGCTAATCAAAAATAATTAGGAAACAAACCCTTTACATCAAAATATTATATAAAGTCTTACATACACCTGTCACATACTTCTTTCCAAAAAAGCAACCACCTTTATTCATATGTAGCATTGGAGTTCAGTACTCCAGAAACATGCAATAATAATGCACGGTGCATCACAGAACTGAACCACGCTGGGCTCTCTTTAGATTTGCCTATCTCTACATTCCTTTATTTATTCATGCACTGAATTACTTATAAACCCAGTCTATTTCCATAAAATGTGTACTCTGCTGATCAAGATATCGAGAAAAATGGGAAACTAGTGTATACATCGGACCTCAGAGTTCCAGATGGCTTTAATCAAAATCTTTGATTCAGACACCCTCCAATCTCATCACTGGCCAGACTCGGCTCTCTCCTTCTTCATTCTCTTATTCCTTTACTTCCTCATGAGTCACAGGCTCAAAAGAAAAGACCCTTGATATGACTACGATATGTCCCTACACTCAGCCCCACAAGGTGTACATACAGGAGCTCAGAGCCGTTCTCATGACCTATTCAGTGAATCTGGCCCATGAGGGCCACATTCATTGAATGTGTTCTTTTTTTTTTTTTCTTAAAGAGGGTATAATGAATAATCAAAATCCCCAACAACTAGGACACAAGTGATGTGCCCTCCACCACTGTGGAAGTTCCTCAATCAACCACAGTTCGGGAACAATGCAGAATGTCACACAGCTCTGGAGATTAAATTCCTTCCACTTCATTTCTTAAGTTTCTTTTTTTAAGTTGAGCTGTCCTTTCACACATCTCTACGACAGGTCCATACTTCCTATGTTTAATTTTTGTGCAAGATCTTTGGTCCTATACTTCAGTGGCCACATATGAACAGAGAATGGAGACTGCGATTGTTACTAACATGGCTCCTTACCCATGGAAGCAACTGTCAAGGTCTTCATCATGAAGAATGACCAAATCCAAGGTGCTGTGCTCATTCAGGAGGAAAAGACAGAGTTCCAAGAAAATGAAAAGTATAAAATTTTAATATTTTTAAATAAAGGTTAGTTCTGCATTATTTGATTAATCACAATCATTGGCTTATATCACACAATTATCATCAATCCAACAGTGATATTATCTTCATCTACTGAAGTACTTTAGTATGAAAAGATACCACATAATTTTTTGACTCTATCACCCCCCCAAAAAAGATGATTAATATATATCTAGATAATCTTACCTTACAGCAAAAAAGACCAGATTACTGGGGTTGGAGGGAAGCTGGAAATTGAATTCTGGGGTGCTTTACCACTGCGCTACATCCCTAGACCTTTATTTTTGAGACAGAATCTTCCTAAGTTACTGCAGGTCTTGTAAAATTGCTGAGACTGGCCTCCCTTTTACAATCCTCCTGCCTCAACTTCCTGAGTCGCTGGGATAACTGGTGTGCACCACCATATCCAGCAAGTCCAGAGAATTTTTTTAATGAAGAAAAATTTTGCAAAATAGAATGAATTTAAATTCATGTTTCATGACACAATCTGGTCAATGGGCCACACTGTAATTTAATTCCTATATTTACTGGTTTATTAATTTAACAATAATGAATAATAATATTTATTACCTAAAACTGAGCACCATTTCCTGCCACTTGTCTCTACTGTCCCTCTCTCCCCCAAGGGAACAGGGATAACAGATGTTCTCTATCAGTATCATCTAATATGGTACCATTATCCACACGTGACTTGGAAAGTGGCCGGTGTGACTGAGGAACCGAATCTTTATTTTTAAGTAATTTGAATTTGCATGCGAATGGCAAGTTGCATCTGCAGAGTAAGGTCTATACCACCCTTCCATCAAGGTGCAGGGGCCTCAGCCTTGTGCACCTGAATTTCAAGAGGGTCCACATAATAAAAGATGCCACTTCACAAACCATATATGTCTTTTAGTGGTCCTTCTTTTAAATAGTGAATTGTGATGTTATTCTTTTACTCATTTGTAAAAATAGCAACGGTATTTATAAGCCCTGAGAGCAATGGGCAAGCGTCTGTTTATACACTCACTTATTACCAGAAATCATACAAAAATGCATTTATAATTTTCTTCTAAATACAAATCATTGAATAAGAGGATTTGTAGTAATTATGTTCATACTCAAACTTTTCTTGCTTAAGCTTTTTCCACATTTCAATAACTATCTCGTCATAGTATTTCAGTTTTTAATTATATCAAGTTATTTAATTATATCCAGTTATTACTACATTGATGAATTCAGCACAACTATTAGTTGTATTGTTATTATGGAATATACATACAAATTTTATTAGTTAATTGATACGCATATTCCATAATAACAATTCAATGTATTTGACATAATAAATATATTGTTATTATGACATAATAATAAATATGACATAGTAAATATGATTACAACATAATAAATGTTATTATGTCAAATATATAATTTAATTATATAAACTGTATGCCACTTCTAAAAATAAGAAATGCAATGAGCAACTCACCACTAGTCCAAAACAAAAACACAGAGAGCAACTCTGTCAACACCCACTTTACTGAAACTCAAAATTTCAGAAATGAACAATCCTTGATTAATTTGTTCCCCTCATATTATATGAGTTATGGCCCTCCTTGTCTTTATTCAGGCATTGATTTACTTAAAATAGCGCAGTATAAACCTATGAAAAACAAAAGAGCAAAAATGCATTCCCTCTGCCAGGTGCAGTAGGACGTGCCTATAATCCCAGCAACTCAGAAGGCTGAGGCAGGAGGATGTGAAGGCCTCAGCAACTTAGGGAGACCCTGCCTCAAAATAAAACATTTTTAAAGAAAGGGCTGGGAGTGTAACTCAGTGGTAAAGTGCCCCGGGTTCAATCCCCAGTGTCAAAACAAAAACAAAAACATGTTCCCGCAGATATTTCTAATGTCTATAAGCACATTTCTTTTAAACAGTGAATTGTAATGTTATAGACAGAGCAGACCTCAGAGTTACAGACTGGGTTTAATCAAAATATTTGATTCAGATGCCCCACGCACACTCATCATTGATCCAGACTTGGTATTCTATGCTTTTATTCAATGTTAATATTCCTGATTTATTCATTGATTCCCCAATAATATGATCAACAGCCATGAATTAAGGGCTCTGAAGATACAAATATGGCTGTCAAAGTTCACACCCCCACAGAGCTGAGGACCTAAATCTCTGCAATCTCCAGACATGCGGATATGAACTAATCCACCTCCTAGCACCACGTCAATTTGCTATTAGTCACTGGTCCATGGTGCCGCAGTCCAGCTGCAGCAAAATAACCGGGGGGGGGGGGGGGGGGGGGGGGGGGTGACGAATAACTTGTGTACGTTGATACAGCAGGAGTAGGAACCGTTTATTGCAGGACAGGAGCAGTATTTATACATTCCACACAGCTTACCTAATTAGCATAAACTAGATACATCAGTCAACCAATAAGGAATCTCCACACTTAATGGCTCGCTTTTGTTACTTCTCAAACCACTCCCTCTGGCATTTTGCCAGGCACCATCCAGACTTGTTTACAAACTCTAACATTCCCCTGGCAAAATGCCAGGTGTTATTTTGACTTGTTTACAGACTCTAACACATGGTTGGGCCACCTTCATTTAAAGTGCATCCATATTTTCAAGATGACGCAATGAACTGCCATCTTATACCACAGCTAAGGAAAAGGTCAGAGTCTCCATTTCCTCCTCTTCTCACCTCAATGAATTAAGAGTCTACAACAATATCACTGGAGAAGTGTTAAATCCACTGGGCTATAAAAACAGAGTCACGTATTAAAAAATCCTTAACATGACAGAAATGCCTTTCATCTTTTTGTTCTAAGAAATTCAATTGTTCTGAATTGGATTAAACATGATTCTTAATGTATAATGATTTCCACCACTGGTCAAGACATGACCACTTTTTGAACTGATCCCTTTGAAATAATTCAGTGAATATATGATTAAGCCCTACCATCAGCAAGAACATGAACTTCGATCTTTACTTACGTTGACATCTTCTCTTCTTATCCAAAGAGAGGAAAGGCCAGGTCTTCACAGGAAGACAGTGATTGAATAGGTGAATGTGTTCACCTGGAGGATAAAAAGCAAGTATTCAAATGGATTGAATAGTTGGATTAAATTGTTTTAAATGGACCATACTTGTGTAGTAATCAATTAACCATAAACCTTGGTTTGTGTTCTATACTAAACATTTGGGAAGAGAGGAGTACTTTATATTTATTAACTTCTGTGATTTAGAAGAGAGGACAATACTTTATTAACTAATATAATGTATTTTGGTGTAAATAATATAATGAACACCATTGAATCCAGCATTGAAAACAACAGAAATAACTATTAGGATTGCCAGTCTGTTATTGCTACCCACATGGGCAAGAGCAAGATCCTCATTTTGTTGAATTTTGTGCAAAACTGGATCCACTGGAGATTCAATTCATGACACAATCTTGCCAATCGTCCAAGGTGAACCCCTTTAATATACTTATTAATTCACTAATATCTCTATTTACTCATGTGATAATTGTCTAAGAGAGCTTTGAAGTTTAAACAACCATCAAAATAGAACTGAAACACTAATATAGCAAATGGAAAGGTCTAGAAATCTTTGCCTTGAATATGAATACAAGCTTGAATAATAAGATGATCAGGATCTTTATACACAACTGCATGTTTTCCATTGGCACTTTGATTAGTAACATTTTCAAAAATTAAGACACAAATTTATGAATTAGCATTATAATTCATTATATGTGAGCCCACCTACACCAGATAAGTACCCTGAATAATATTTACATTTTTCTTGTGTAATTACCCCAAAGAGTAGCAAATTGGTTCAATTTGTTTGCTTAAGTAAAACTGCACAGAAAATTTGCATTAATTGTACATGCAGTTGAATAAAAGTCTCATCATTGCTCCATGCTCTCTCACTCAAACATTCAATCAACGATTCATTTATGTAAATGCATTCCTTCTTTCTTAATAAAATGATCAATGGGCACAGAACAAAATCACGCCTCTTTATATTCAGATGACTATATGGTCTGAGAGGGCAAACAGCCTCAACTATTAATTAATTGGGACTAAGAATCTCAAAATGGTTTTAATAATGGCCCATGTTTCATTATATGTCTTAAAAAATAATTACATACATATATTTCTTATTCTTCACTCATTGACATCCATTCATGGCTAGCTTGGTTATGATAATGTCATTCAAACGCCCAAACCAAAAGAAGAAGACTACACAGATGCTTCTCCCTCCCAGGGATAAATACCGGTGCCTGCCGCTTGGCAATGGACCTCAGAGTTGCAGATGGGTTTAATCACTGTCCTCGTGTCAGAAACCCCATGCCATTCATCACGGGTCCATCTCTGGTCCATCTCTACTCACAAATAACAACACAGTCACAAAATCCTCAAGAAAAGATCTTATGCGTTTTTAGGCTCTTATTCCTTTAAACTGTGATTAAAGTTCTTCAACAGCACTCAAAGGTTTTATTTTATTTAATCTGTCCATATGCAAAGATGGCTCAGTGAAAACTAATGACCCTACTGTCCTCCATCACCTGAGACACTCACAGATCATCCATGTTCTTGTGGACGGTCCCAAAGGCAGTACCAGCCAGGATCTCCACACATGTGGGAATGCTGAAATCAATTATGGTACAGAATGAAGAATAATATTAAACTGTTCTGAGAATAATTTAAATAATTTCTGTTTTTTTTAAAATAACTTCAGTTGTGTTAATGTGGAATATGTTCCTAACACATTCCATTACTGCTCCATATTTGGAGAGTTTTACTTATTTTATGTATGAAGACATTTATTACTTTGAAATTCTTTAGCTAATAACCATGAAAAAAAATGAGCCAAGCAGAGATTATAAACCAAGGGGCTTACCTTTATCAGCATCTCTGCTCCTCATTCAGGACAATAATTCTTGATTAAATGATTAAATCAGCTGCCTGGTGTTCACTCTGGGGAGGAAAAAGATTTAGAATAGATTTAGATTTATTTTTAATGGATTATTCAAGCAGAACTAGGTAGCAATAAACTTTGACTCAAAACGCAATTTTTCATTAGTCAGTATTGAACTTTTAATTTTAAATAATGTGATAAATACTATTGAGTACACCACCCATCCCCCAAAAAAGATCTATAACAATTACAAATACCTGCCTAGATAAACATCTAGTAAGTAGATGGGTATTCAGAGGATTACTGGTTGATACAAACACTTTCCCTTTTCTTAATTAAAAAAAAAAGAAGCAAATTGAAAAAAAAAAGTCTTGTAACTATCAGTATTATGCTCCACATTAAAATAAAGCATTATAGACTCCGTCTGTTCATTTTACTTCAGATTAATAATTGCCCTTCTTTATGGCAAGTAATAATGCTAATAATATTTGTTTTATTGTCCTCTACTAATTGCTCTGTGAATAGGTCTGTTAATCTTTCATGTATATTTCTCAACTCACGAAGGTATTGATTTGCTTGGTATAATACATTCCATATCTTCAAACCACAAAATCCCAGGGCCAAGTTTATTGAATTTTCCTAACTTCTGCTCTTAGGTAATTTCTACAGAACATATTAGCTGCTTCTTATTCTGTAACAAACCCGAGTTAACACAGAGGGCTTCATCAGAAGGTTGATGTGGACACCTCAACCAATGCTCACCATTGATCCATTGGCGTTCCATCTCTTCAAGCATTTATCCCTCCTTGAACCAGTTCAACCATTCTCTGATTCATGAATAATAATTATACATTCAGAACCCCATAATGACAAGAAGACCAAGAACAAATGAGTTTAATGAAACCAAAATCTGTTCACTGTTCCCCTTCACTGAGAGCAAAGAGATAAGACATCTTATCACAGTGAGCCCCTGGTCCAACATACGGACCAATCAGCACAACATGCTTCATGTCAATCCTAACTTCTGATTGGCTGGTGAAACCAGCAGCCATGGACCTAATAACAAAGTACATGCCCTTCAAAATTACCTTTCAAAGCACTCCTGCCACAAGGAGTTAGCAACGTTTGTAAATAAGGGACTACACTAGGTCACGGTTGGAAGAGACATAAAGTAGAAAGTTAAATATGTGAAGTGCCCTCCATCTCTTCAGTCTTGGTCCTTAGTGGGAATGAGTTAAATTACTTGTAATTTTTGGTTCATGACACATTCCAATCAACAATTATTTTATTGAAATAATTTAGTGGGTTCCCTTGAAGGAGGAAGGCCATCTGTGCCCAGAACAGCCATTCTGAGGCTTCCTCACTTGGGTCTTTATGCTCCTTGTAGAGAAGTAACAATGATGGTTACTGATCATAGAGCAATAACATCTCCACTGTGGTTTGCGTTCTACAGTGGGGAAAGAAAGCCTACTTTTAAAAATGTCCTCATGCTTTAAAGAACCAGATTAAAACTCCATGTACATCTTTCTAAAAAATACAAGAGACCCTGTTTAATGTCATGGAAAAAAAAAAAACAGGGATCGGAATCCTCATGACTTGTTCCTAATTGGTCCAGTTTGCTGACTTAAAAAAAATAAATAAAGTCATAAAATCATGTATATTCATAAGAATGGGATCCTAACTAGAATAAGATAGATCCCATGCTTGTATAGTCATATCAAAATAAATTCTGCTGTCATGTATAACTGAAAATTAAGAAAAAAATCATGCCTTGCTTTTCAAATATCAAGACACTATAATCTGTAATGTCACAGCACCGGGCCATGACACAAAATAGTATTTACATGTCCACAGACATTGAACTCAGGATAACAGATCCATTTGGTTTTATGTTGTTTTAATAAAAATTAGTAAAAGTGAAAAGATGAATGGTTGGATCATTGACCCTGTTTGCCTGACAATTATGTGGTTATTTACCAACAATTTATATGAATATGCACTTTGTTTCCTTAACAAAACAATCAATCAGTAACCATCACCACAACTGATCACAAGCTTCTGTATACAAATGACCACCTGTACCTTCACCAAAATGGCAAGAGCCTTGACTATAAATCTTTTGGGAGACTCAGACACGTTTTAATAATCCATGTGGCATGACATTCCTTCATAATAATTGCATAATTTGCCTTCTTTTTTCAGACTTTTTAAAATTAACAGGCTGACTTTATAATTTAAACAAAAAGTAAAATCTGGGCTGAGGGTGTAGCTCAGTGGTGGAGCAGTTGCTGGGCTTGATCTAACTAGCACTGTACTAAAAAAAGTGTGGGGGGAATATATCCCCCAAACCAAGGAAACATTACCTTACCTTAACTCACGTCCAAAGGAGGAATGATTATGTCTCTCTCTGTGGACCTCAGAGATACATATGGGTTTAATCAAAATATCCTGTTTCAGATACCCCATGGTACTCATCACAGGTCCAGCACATTTTCTTCCTTTGTTTATTGATTAATTAATTAATTAACAACAATACAATCACAATGTTTTAGCAACAGGACCTCCATGGGAGCCACCCTCTCCTCATAGACAAGAGCCCTTTAACATTGGACCTCAGGGAACATGTGTGACCTACTGGCGTCTGTGCTGCACACCAAGATCTGCAGGGGCCACGGGTCCTCCGTGACCTTCTTGGACTCAGTTTGCCCACTTTCAAAGGTGGTTTAATGAAAAGCCATGAAACCACCATCTTGCTCTACTCGCAACGTCTTCCCCATCTCCCCAGTTGCCATGGGCAGACGCCTCAGTCAGTACCACACAGACAGGGAAATGTTCCAATCATGTGTGGTGGAAAGTAAGCTACAAAGCTAAACAGCTCTGAAAATAACCGAAACAACTACTACCTTTTAAAAGTCACCTCCAAAATTAAAAATGAAAATAAAGTCACCTTCATTGCATCAAATTAGATTAAACCTATTTTTTGGTTCGGGACATATTCCCATCACCGGTCCGTTCTTGGTGATGTTTCTTTCTCTTGTGCACATGGGTTCCTTTGCACAACCACTAAACACAGTAAAAAAGCAGCACAGGCAAGGACAGGAGGGTGAGGTCTCACTTACATTGTTCTCTATGTTCGTTACCCACAGAGCCAACCACCCAGGCTTTGTTTCTCAGGAATAAGCCACTCTCCAATGGTCCCTGTGGGAGAAACATAGACTTAGCCTGACTTAGATTCTGCAAGGTGTTATGTGGAACTACATAGTAGTGAACAGTGGTCCTTTACAATTAATTCAGTATTTTATTTTTGCTTTGAAATAATGTTATCACCACTGTTGCATCTGTCACCCAAAAATAAGATCTACCCCTATGACCAACACCTGTTGTGTAAATACCCGACTCACACAGGTAAGCACTGCCTTGTGGGGTAAATATTCACCTACTTCTTTCTTTCTTTTTTCGGTACTGGGAATTGAACTCAGGGACACTCAACCACTGACTGACATCCCCAGCCCTATTTTGTATTTTATCTAGAGACAGGTTCTGAGTTGCTTAGTGCCTCGCCATTGCTTTTAACGTGTGATCCTTCTGTCTCAGCCTCCCAAGCTGCTGGGATTACAGGTGTGTGCCACCTGTAATTAGATGAGTCAATAAATTAAGATGTTGTAAGATAGAATTATGCATAGGCCACCGAAAGTGGAATGATGATTACTCTTGGATGATTCGCTGTTTATGATCTAAAGAATAACCAAAATTGTAACTGAGCCAGTAATTCACAACTGAAAAAAGTCCCTGTGCAATAATCTACATGTACCTTATAAAAAATGGCAGTAGGCCAGGTGCCATGATGCACACCTGTAATCCCAGTGACTTGGGAGGCTGAGGCAGGAGGATCTCAAGTTCAAAGCCAGTCTTAGAGATGTTGAGGCACTAAGCAACTCAGTGAGACCCTGTCTCTAAGTAAAATACAATAAAAGGGCTGGGGATGTCGCTCAGTGGTCTAGTGCCCCTGAATTCAATCCCTGGTATTAAAAAAATAAAAATAAAAAGTCCTCTGTAAAAGTGGCAAAAAGGGTGGTTGCTTATGGTAGAGTGCCTGCCTCCCATATGCAAGACCCTGAGTTTGTTCCTCAGAACCACATAAAAATAAATAGGTGAAATATAGGTAATGTACAACTAAAAAAATAAATATTTTGTTTTTTAAAAATGGCAATAGCGGGCTGGGGATGTGGCTCAAGCGGTAACGCGCTTGCCTGGCATGCACGGGGCACTGGGTTCGATCCTCAGCACCACATACAAATAAAATAAAGATGTTGTGTCCACCGAAAACTAAAATATATATATATATATATATATATATATATATATATATATATATAAATCTCTCTCTCTCTCTCAAAAAAAAAAAATTTAAAAAAAAGATGGCAGTAGGGTGTTGAGAGCCACAGCCAAAGGGGCCCCAGCAAACTTCCAGCTGCCAGCAAACTTCCAGCTGCTGGCTGATGATTGGCTCACAGCGGCCCCAGCAACATCTAGCTGATTGGCTCCTCGGCCCCAGCAACATCTAGCTGATTGGCTCCTCTGCGGTGATGCTCATTGGGCTGTTTCCCTGCCCTTTCAGACCACGGAGCTGCTCATTGGGGGACTTTTTTGGCTCCGCCCACGTGACCCAGCCAATCGGCCTCAAGAGCAGGAGGATTGTGGGAGGTGGGGAGAAGCTTGTGGTGGAGAGAGAGGCTTGGGGAAAGCCGGTGGTGGCAGTTGAGGCTCTGAGGGTTTTTCCTGAGAGACTATTTTGTTTGTCGTGTGTGGTTCTAAAAATAAAGTTAGTTTCTTTTGACAAGTGGCTCCTGATTGTGCCCAGCCAGACTGCGGCATTTGGTGGCTCGCACGGGGAGCGACTGAGGGTAAGTGAAACTGCTCGCCCCTGAGGGCAGGGCGAGAGGATGGGTAGCCATTTTAAGATTCTTCTTTTGTTATTTTGTTTCACTTTTGTTTTAAGTTGCCTGTCCCTGGAGATGAGTGAGACGGAAGAAAAACTGCTCACATCTGAGGAAAAACTATTTACGTCTGAGGAACAGATAGGGAGAAAGGACGGATGCCCATGTCAGGAGGATAGAAAGGCTATAATGACTTTTTGTTGTTCCCTTTTTATTTCATTCTGTCTCGGTTTTGTTTGGCGTCATCTTGTTGGGTTGTATTATAGTAGAAATATGGGATCAGAAATTAGTAAAAAACAAACTGAAAGAGTGTTAAGTAAATTGTTAGAGGAAGGAGGCATCTCAGTAAAATCAAGAACAATCAGGGCATACGTTGATACAATACAAAAATGTAGCCCATGGCTTTTTAAGGAGGAGTTGTTAAATGTATCACAATGGAACCATCATGGTGAAGATTTAAAAAGAATAGAAAAGAAAAGCCCAGGGACTCTGCCAGTTGGCACATTGCCATTGTGGACATTCGTATCTTGTTTGCTTAGTCCAAAGCCTTCAGTTCAGACAATGGTAGAGGAAGGAGAAGACATAATGATTCAAGTAAAAGAGAAGGTCTCTCAAGTTAGTCAGACAGAGGAAAAGATTCAAGTAAAAGAGAAGGCCTCTCAAGCTAGTCAGACAGAGAAAGAAAGTGTAAAACAGAAAAAGCCATCAGGGGGAAAGTTACAACAGGAGACTGCTACTAACACCTTTCTATCACCAGAGGGTGTAAGTGTCCAACCAACAGCACCACCTCTACAGGAGACTGCTACTAACACCTTTCTATCACCAGAGGGCGTAAGTGTCCAACCAACAGCGCCACCTCCATATGCTGGGAGGCCCCCAACCCCCGCAGTTGATAGTTGGGATCCTGAGACAAGGTCTCAAATATTAACATGCCCTGTATTTGAGGCAGGAGGGCAGCGATTTTACCAAGTTTTAAATTTCAAAACAGTGAAGCAGCTAAAAGAGGCTGTAACAACCTATGGTCCTCAAGCACCCTTCACTGTAAGCTTGGTCGAATCCATTAACAACTTGAACATGACGCCAGCAGATTGGGCTAATATGTGTAAAGCTGTGCTAAATGGAGGACAATACCTGTTATGGAAGGTTGCCAATGAGGAATTTTGCAAGGAGACGGCTAGGCGAAATGCAGCAGCTGGTTATCCTCAGAGAAATCTAGATATGTTGTTAGGAAAGGGACCTTATGAGGATCAGCAGCAACAAATTGCATATGATCCTGGCGTATACGCACAAATTGCTGCAGATGCAATTAAGGCATGGAAGACTTTACAAGGACATGGAGGTTTACAAGGTCAATTATCTAAGGTAATACAAGGAGCTAATGAACCTTATGCTGAATTTGTAGATAGGCTTATTCAAACAGCTACCAGAGTTTTTGGGAATACAGAACAAGCAATGCCATTACTAAAACACCTGGCTTATGAGCAAGCGAATCGTTGGTGCAGAGATATCATTAGACCATGGAAACATGAAGATTTAAACACATATATTAAATTATGTAGAGACATTAATGAACAAGAGCAAGTCGTGGCAGCTGCAGTAAAACAGGCTTTAGATGCCAGAGACATTAATGAACAAGGGCAAATTGTGGCAGCTGCAGTAAAACAGGCTTTAGATGCCAGGCCAAGAACATGCTACAATTGTGAACAAACAGGACATTTTAAAAGGAATTGCCCCATTGGAGGAGGGTTTAACAAAACTAGGTATCAAAGGAGTAGAATACCAGGTATTTGCCCACGATGCCGTAGAGGGAGACATTGGGCTAATGAATGCCGTTCTCAAACCACCATAGAGGGTACTCCATTATCAAAAAATGAACAAGGACCAGGTGTTTATCCACAATATCGTGGAGAAAGGCATCAGGCTCCATTGCCAAAAAACGGACAGGGGGGCCCAATGCTCCGGGGCCCAAAACCACAAATATACGGAGCACTGGAGGAACCCAGCAACCCCATCAGGGTAGTGCCCAGGACACATTGTCCATCAGATCCCTCATCAGACAAACCAGAGGGAGCGCAGGGTTGGACATCTGTGCCTCTGCCAGAGCAGTACTAACTCCAGAGATGGGAGTTCAAATCATTCCCACAGGGGTGAAAGGACCTCTTCCCAAAGGAACAGTAGGCTTATTATTGGGACGCAGCTCTTCTACTCTAAAAGGACTTATGATAAGTCCTGGGGTAATTGATCCCGATTATGAAGGTGAAATAAAAATTATAGCCAGTTCTCCAAAGGGTATATCAGTAATTTCACCAGGAGATAGAATAGCACAGTTACTAATAATACCCAGCCTACATGATAAATTTTCCAGTCGTACTGTAGAAAGAGGTTCCAAGGGATTAGGCTCCACAGGTGTAGATTGGGCTATGCTTTCTTTAAATTTAGATTCTCGCCCCATGCTAAAACTAAATATTCAAGGACATGAATTTAATGGGCTACTGGATACAGGTGCAGACCTTAGCATCATCTCTCGTCAAGAATGGCCAAAACATTGGCCATTACAACAAGCCACTCAAACGCTTCGAGGCCTAGGAGTGGCGACTAATCCCCATAGAAGTGCAATGGTATTAGATTGGAAGGATCCTGAAGGATGTGAAGGAACTATACAGCCATATGTATTGGATCATCTTCCCGTAAATTTATGGGGACGAGATGTCCTAGATCAATTAGGTTTGACATTAACAAATAACATCAACCAAAATGCACCCACTATTATGACTAGACAAGGTTTTAGGAAAGGAAAAAGATTAGAAAAACAAGAACAAGGTATAGCAGCACCAATACAAATAGATCAAGGAACAGACAGACATGGGTTGGATTTTCAGAAAGGGCCACTGAGACAATAAAAATTACTTGGAAATCAGAAAGACCAGTATGGGTTCCTCAGTGGCCCCTGACTAAAGAAAAGATACAAGCAGCCCATGACCTGGTCAAACAACAATTAGCAGAAGGACATATACAACCTTCTGTATCTCCCCATAATACTCCCATTTTTGTCATCAAAAAGAAATCTGGTAAATGGAGATTATTGCAAGATTTAAGAGCCATTAATAATGAGATGGTTATTATGGGACCTGCTCAATCAGGGATTCCTCAGTTGTCTGCTTTGCCAAAAACCTGGTATGTTTTAGTTATAGATATTAAAGATTGTTTTTTTTTCAATTCCAATTCATCCTGAGGATAGTCCACGTTTTGCATTTACTATCCCTGCACTGAATCATGAAGGTCCTGATCAGAGATATGAATGGAAAGTACTCCCTCAAGGGATGGCTAACAGCCCAACTATGTGTCTTGGGTTGTGGCTCAGCGGAAGAGTACTTGCTTAACACAAGTGAGGCTCTGGGTTCGATCCTCAGCACCGCATAAAAATAAATACATAAAATAAAGGTATGTGTCCATCTACATCTAAAAAATTTTTTTAAGAAAATGGCAGCAAGCTAGGTATTTTCCTTTGAATATCAGTGGTGGAACTCAAATAATTATCATCTTCTAATAAAACCTCATTCTCATTGATCTGTGTTTTATCTTATTTTATAAAATTTTATTTATTTGACTATAATAATATATCAATATACAAATGCAAACACACTAAAAATGAATCCTGAAAATACTAACCTCTGTCTATCCTTCTCTTTAGTCAACAAAATGATGGTCAAGATCATTTTGGGGTTGTTAACAAAATTCTTTATTCTTGGCAGCACTATTCCCAATAGACAACATATGTAATCCACCTAATGTCCATCAATGGATGAATGGGTAAGGGAAATATGGTCCATGCACCCAGTGGAACACTACTGAGCTTCCAATGTTGTGTTGATAATTGTGAGTCTGTTGTCTATGAAAAAATTAGAATGAGTTAACATCCCCAGAAACAATTTTCTGGGATTTTTATTGGGATTGCATTGAATGTATAGATTAAGATGGGGGAAAACTAACATCCTAAAGCCAAGAGTTACTAAACAACACCACACATACAAAAAAAATCCAGATCAAAATATCAATACTGCTAAGGTTAGAAAGCACTGCTTTACCCTCTCCAAAATAATTGGCCGAAAGATGAAGATATTTATAAATTCACTCACAATCTCATCAGCATCTGTGAGCATGGAATTAAAGGGCAGGAGAAGTCTGAAGTGGGTCTGGGGTGGAACTGAGTGCTGGTACTTAGCATGCATGAGGTCCTGGGCTTCAATCCCCAGCCAAAAAATTAATAAAAACAAGGAAGGAAGAAATCTGAATGGCATTAACAGCTGTCCATGTGTTTATTATTCCCAGATATAACCAAGTAGATCTTATTTTCAACAAGCAACCAACAACCTACATAATGTAAGACAATAACATTAATTTCTCAGTATTTAATCTCTAGCTGCTCCTTACCCAAACAGGCATGAGAATTAATCAATTTGTGTTGGAACTGACCACTTCAAATGTAAAATAATAATAAATATATGACGCAGTCTCATAATAAAGCTGTGTATGGTTATCCTTTGTCTTCACTCATTTACGTATTTTCCTTGTTATTCTTTCATTAATGTACTTATAGTAATAACATCCAGACCCATGAATCTTGGTAGCCTGAGAACAAAATCCTGAATGTCCCTACCTTCTGCTGTGAGACAATTTATCACATAGGGATTAGTAAAGGCAGCTCTCATAATGGACCTCAGAGTTACAGGGTTTAATCAAAATCACTGATTCAGACACCCCAGAATACTCATCATTGTCCAGGCTCCGCACACCTTTCCTCACTCGGCCATCCCTCTGCCCTTCACTCCTTAGTCGTCAATGCTAACAAAGTCGACACCCCTGAAAATGCCTAGGTGGACCCCACCATCGTGCCCACCCACAAGCAGGGGGTCCTAATCAGAATACGATTTTTCCCATGCTTGTACAATTTTGTCAAAAAGGATTCTACTGTCCTACATAACTAAGAAGAATTCATAACTAAAAAAAAATTTTGAAAAAGTCAACATCCATGAAATATAAACCTCTGAACAAGATCCTTAAATATTACCAAGATACTTCTACTGGGTTAACCGACACTCGACTTCCTTGCTTTGTGTCACCCTGCATCTATACTTCGTCTGTGCTCGCCCTCCTTTTATGTAACCTGTCTCCATGGTAAAAACAGTACATGACTGCCAGGCACAGTGGCACACACCTGTAATCCCAGCGGGTCAGGAGGCTGAGATAGGAGGATCACAAGTTCAAAGCCAGCCTCAGCAAAAAGTGAGGCACTAAACAACTCAGTTGGACCCTGTCTCTAAATAAAATACAAAAAAAAAAAAAAACAGGACTGGAGATGTGGCTCAGTGGTCGAGCATCCCTTTGTACCCTCCAAAAAGATAGCACATGTAGTAGGCAACCTCCAAGATGGCACCAGGGACCCCAGGGTGAACAGAGTCTCGTGTCAAATCCTCCACCTGCATCTTTGATTGCCTTTTCTGACAAACAGGACACTGCAGGACTGATGGCTCTACCTTCTGAGGGAGGGTTCCACCTTTCTGTCTTGGGCTGGCTGCTCAGGGGAGTCCTAAGGAAAGCTCCCTGCAGGAGGGAATGTGGCTCCCACCAACAAGCAGCCATGTGTGTGAGCCAGGAAGCTGACCCCACAGCACTATCAGGTCCCCAGCAGAGGTGACTCCACCTAACGTCTCACCTGCAACCTCACAAGAGACCACAAGCCACAACTGCCCAGTAAGCCTCTCCTGGATTCTTGTTATACAGAAACTGAGCGAAAGATCAAAGTTTATTGATATTTTTGATGTTTTAAGCCATTAAGCCACGGGATGATTCATTATATGGCAACAGATAGCTAACACAACACAGGTAGGGTGTCCCTTGTCCACAAATGCTTGGGACCAGAAATGTTTCAAGATTTTGGATTTTTTCTGGTTTTGGAATATCTGCATATATGTAATGAGACATTCTAGGGATAGGACCCCAGTCTAACCATGAAATTCCTTTATATTCCATACACATCCTATATGCAAGGCTTGAAAATAATTTTAAATAGTATTTTTAGTGTGTCTGCATTTTGACTGCAACCCATCACAGGAGGTCAGCTGTGCTCAAAAAGTTTCAGAATCAAGAGCCTTCCAGATTTTGGACTTTCAGGTGACAGATGCTCAAACTAGCCCAGGAACATCCATGAACCCCCATCTCAACTCACACCACATCCCCTCTTCTTGTCTTTACCCACTTGAACAAATTCATGGTCTCAATATTTATGATTGAAGAAATATTAAATCAATGATGGTACAAACTGAATTTTAATATTCAAAACTTCTAAGAATGCATAAAAGCCCCCTAAGTTGTGCTAAATTGGATTCATCACAAACTTTGTTTTGTTTTCACTATTGGTTCATGCACGACACAGTTTTATCTATGTACTTAGTCATTTATTCACTTATTTGATATAATTTAGAGATAAAAGAACCACGTAAACCCAGCACATAAAATTTGACTGTTCTCTCTGTAATGGTCTCTAAGCTCCTTACCCACAGAGAAAAAGCCAATGTCTCTATTATGGCTGAATAATTAAATCAGCTATGGTTTTCTTATTCTGTAAAGTAAAATGCACATTTTATAAAAAATGGAACAGGGTAGACTTAACTCCTTTTAATAGACTTGAGTCGTGAGGGATTAGATGGATCATGAGCCTTGGTTCCTATCACATTCTCATTACTGACTTAAGAATAGTGCTACATTTTATGTACTGGCTTATTTACTGTTTAATTTTTAATATAATAAACACTTAAATCTACCACCCAACACAAGAGAATAAATAAAACTATCACGATTATCCACCTATATACTTCCTAACCACATAAAGACCCTAACCTCTTTAATCTTTTGTGTGTTGCTAAGAATGTATCTTTGAAGCATTGATCCGGGATTTACCCTAATTTATGCATTAACTGACTCACTCATGATTTTTTTATTCAAATAATAATTTGCTTCTATTCAATTTTTAAAGAAGAAAGAATAAAACCCACCAGTAGTTCAGGATTGAAATACCACTTCATGCAACTGCTGATTTTTGGCATTTTTTCCAAAGTAGGATAAGTCTAGATTTCTTTTTTCTTCCTATGCAAAAAAAAAAAAAAAGTATTAATCATAACTTTGTTTCAAGACCCCTGCTCCTCACCAGTTCACGATATGCCTTACTTTAAGTAATGGAATAAGATATAAACTCATTCATTCTTTCACTTTTAATAATGCAACAAAATGAATAAAAATCAAGGTAAGATAATGTCATCAACTAACATTACCGGGATCTGTCCATAATCTCATTGCTCACAGATATCATCAACTGGGTCCTTTTCTTTTTAAATAGTGGGCAGTGGACAGAATTAGATTAATAATATTAACTATCACATGCACAACTATAGTCCACTCTTGGCCTTCTTTCAATTAGGCAATTACTCCAACAATCATTTCTAACATGAATGATTTGCTTCTTTTCCAAATAAAGCCAACAACCAGCTACCCAGCACCAAACCACAAAACAACAAGGACTCCCATGGAGTAAGTCATGCCCTCTGGGGAAAACACTAAGAATGACTTGATCCATTCATGAGACTCATTGCTTCAGAAAATGATAACAGTGAATAATAGCTTGTTTGCTGCAGACTTGCAAAGCAGCACTGTGCACTTACACATCTTGATCTATACAATTCACAAACCTGAAGAACTGGATAAACGTAAATCTTTATTTCATGGGTTGGCCTCACAAATAACAACAGGTTTTTCTGATTTCCATGGCTAATGGCTCATGTATTTACCTGTGTCTATAATTATGCATGGAATGAAACAATCATGCATTTCCCTACACTTTACCCAGGACTTCGACTATTCTAACTTTTGTATATTCTCCCCACCACACAAAAGAGGAAGAGATTTCCCAAGAGACCTCTAAGTTACAGAATTCAATCGAAATCTTGATTTACACATCTCAGAACACCTATTGCTCAAGGCTTGCTATAAAAATCTTCTTCCTTTGTTTATACATTCCTTATTCTTTAATCCAATGATCCACTAAAAACAGGATAAATTCTCATAAATCGGAAGTCCAAAAATCAACATCCCTTGAATGCTACTTATAACTGTTTAAGTGCCTATTTCCCATGGAGCTAATAGACGACGTCATGTTTTGCACACATAAACTGACATTCTAGCAGCTCCATACCAGCCACACTTGGCCCCTTTTTATTTAAAGATAATGCAACCAATAGCCACAGAACCATCATCTCACTCCATAAGGAACACTGACAATATTGCCCATCCTCCTTTGTGCTTCTCATTCAAGGAATTAATCGTCAGAACCTTTACCAGTGGGGAGTACTTCAGTGAATCACAAAGCAAAAATAAAACAGAGTAGGAAGCAATGAATGTAATGTAACATCCGGCATCATTTTTATTGGATACAGTTAACCCTCAATTCCAAATCTAAGCACAAACTCATCAGGGGTCACAGCTGATGTTAGTTAGTCTTATTTATGAATACATTCATTTATTACTTTGAAAAATGCAGACAATAACGATAAACCAACCGCCCAAGCAAAGAACATGAAACTATAGCTATTACTGACATAAATCTCTTCTCTTCCTCCCTACAGAGGTGAGAACCAAGACCTTTAGCATGAGAGAATCACTAAATCAACTGGGGGATGTTCATTTGGTGAAGTAAGACATAAACTTTCAAAAGAAAAAACCTACACTCAGGTAGTTTAATGAAGTTTATCTTGCAGTATTAGTCGAACGTGTCATCTCATAATTTCATCATTTCCCTGAAGGGTACTTTTTAGCTATTGATTTACTTAGTTTTTATTTTTAAACAGAATAATAAAATATCACCATGTGAATAAGAGTCCTATCTATCATAAACATCTGTCTCCACACTCTCTACCCATAAATTTGAGAACTAAATTTATTGATTTTAATGGACCTCACTTGTACCAAATTGGATAAATGTAAATCTTTATTTCATGGCATGGCCTCACAAATGATGAACAGGTTTTTCTGATTTCCATGGCTAGTGGTTCATGTATTTATCCGTGTCTATAATTATGCATGGAACAAATTAATTATGCATTTTCCTGCACTTTACCCAAAGGGCTGGTGGGAACCTCAAGTGCTATTTATTAATCTGGTCAGTCATTGGGGTGTAACAGTAATAAGCATGGTCTTTGGTATTTTGACCCTTCTTTTGTGTAACTGATCAAGATATAAACACATTCCTTTGTTCTCTTAGGAGCAGTTAAAGTCAACACAAGAGACAACAAGTTGGAATATCTACCCACATGCTCACGACCCACAGATGTGACCAAGTAAACCCTCTCTGGACTTTTTAAAAAATAAAACTCAGTGAATATATTTGGATTAATCATAACTCTAACTATATATCCCATTCTCAATATTGGCTCATGTTTGGCCCTTTCTCAAATTTAAAAAAAAAATAGTAAGCTCCCTACAAATTAGAGGAGACAGTAGCTCAGCCCTCCTCATCTGCCACGTGTTGCCCAGTGGGCCTTCTCTTAGGTAATCACCGGATGAGCACCTTCCTTAATGTTCTACGTTATCTTGGTGCCTAAGGACCTGTGCACTCTATACCTTTCTTTTTCCAGTACTTGGGCTCTAGCCCAGTGCCTGGCACATGGTGGGGGAGCACAGGCTTTCACTGAGCTACACCCCCACCCCTTTTTGGACATGGGATCTCACTAAGTTGCAGAGACTGGCCTCTACCTTGTGATCCTTCCACCTCAGCCTCCCAGGTAGCCAAGGCACGCTCCACCACACCCAGCCCAGACCTTACCCTTGAACACCATAAATGTGAACAACTGCCCACCTGCTCATTGACCACAGGAATACTTGACTATATACCTCTTGTCAATTTTTGTTGTGGTTTTTCATAAACTTCAGTGAACATGAATTAGTCATGATTGTTGTCATATAATATGTTCTCTACAACTGGCCCCCGCTTGGTCTCTTTTAATCACAAAGAACATGAAACTATAGCTATTACTTAAATCTCTTGTCTTGTAATTTTTTTGTCTATGGAAATGCTTTCTCTGTCTTCTTAATAAAACCAACAAGTAGCAAACTCCTACAAATCCAGAACGTCGGCGTGGACATGTAGATGCCCCCGTGTCTGTCTATTTGTGTCTGGAGTTCCTGAGTGCACTAAGGAGTCAACGGTTTCAACCTGTGTTACGTGGGAACTCAGTATTAGACAAATTCATTCCTAATAAGACTTCTTTCAGGACACACCCTCATACATGACCCACACCTAGCAATCTTTATCCTTACCTACACACTCATTTACTCGTGAATTCACGTACTCACCCAGGACCCACCGGAGCCCAGGCCACTCATGACTGGGGTCTCCACACCCCCACAGGAAACACCTGGGTTCTAATGGCCTTCAGTTTCAAGTTTAATCAAAATTCTTGATTTGTCTTCCCTAGAACTTATCACGGATCCAAGCTCAGCACCTTTTCTTCATTTACTTATTCATACAGTAGTGTTTACATATTATCTTGTATTTTACTCCTGGCTTCAGCAATTAAAAATATTAATATCCAGGAGACACAAAAATGCAACGACAGATCTTTGCCTACTGCAGAAAGCTGCTTGTGGACCCACTTCCCACAGAGCTGAGAGGCGAGATCTGCTCTCAGGCAGACCGCAGTGCTGCACGTGCAGTTCAATCCACGGCTTCCCACCAGCCCCTGCGCTTCACTGCTGTCTGCCTGTCAATCATTCAACTTCCTCATAACTGAAGACAGTACAGTGACCAACCCAGTGGCCACCTTCACTGCTACAGCAAGGACAGCACTGTGCACCCTGCCCCTCAAACCCAGATCTTTAATTGCAGATATATTTTCTTAAAACATGAGACAAAAATAGAGTGGGATTTTGAGCACCTGTGGAAATGAGTGTGACACCCTCTTCTTTGTCCCCAGTGGACTCCAGTTATGGGAAATGGCCTGATCCATGGTTCAATGCACATTCCTAGCACATTCCCAGTGTGGTGTTCTTGGATTATTTTTGTTTTACTTTATTCTTTAATTGAAAGATAAAGACCTGTGCACTACTGGATGTTTTCAAGTATACGAGAGGCGGGGTGACGAACTCTGGCTAATTAATGTGTGCGTTACCTGGAGCAGTTGTCGTTCTGTGGTGAGAACTCCGACCTCCCCTCAGCTCGAGAGCTGTGATGCTGTCTGGTTGCAGCAGCCACCAGTTCCCTTGCTGGCAGCCCCCAGATAGTATGACTCGCCCCTGCAGACCCGGAGCACAGACACTGGTACTTACCCAAGTCCCTTTGCTCCTCAGCCACAGAAACAACAGCCACGGTTTTCAACAATGGATAATAAATAAATCAGATTTGGTATCTTGGATCTGTGGAGTGAAAAGCAGTTGTTAGAAAATTCAAGCACTGCAGATTTAGGTTTTGTTTGTGGGACTTTAATCCTGCTGTACCCAACGTGTTAAGTACCCAAGTTTTCCCAAGTTTTCATCACATTCCCATTACTAGCCCAAAATGTCCCCCACTTTATTTATTGACTTCAATTAGTAATTTATGTGTTACAATAAAAACTGCTAATTCTAAACACCCCTGTAGGCAAGTCACAACTATGCACATTTCGATTCTGTCTGGATATGCCCCACACACAGGCGAGAACCTGGGTCTTCTCTCATGGGTGCTCCTGGATCATAACTCAGTTTACCTTCTCATTTCCTCCCACATCTTCTCCGATTGCATTATGATTTCATTCAATTATTCATTTATTTTCTATTTACCCACAGAATAACTTTTTAAATCTTCATAGAAAATGCAAAACAGTCTGCAGTATTATTACAGGTAATAACCTGGGCGGAATCTCAGGCTCCTTTTATTGACATGGGCATCAGTAGATCAGAACAAGAGGAACGTTGAGCTTTTCATTCCTTAGTTCATTCGATGACTTATTTACTTACTTGCAGTACTAGAGATGGAACCCAGAGCCTCACACATGCTAGGGAAGTGCTCCGAGATGCATCCCCAGCTCTGCAATTAACTTTTCAAATGACAGGTGGTCTTCCATGGTCCATGTCTGCCCTCTTTTAAATACTCCCTTCCTTCATTCACCGATAAGAATGCCATCACTGTTTGTGAGACTGCATACCCAGGGATAGAGCCCTAAATAATGCCAACACCTGCCTATGGTCTCAACACCGACACATACACTAGAAACTTACTGAGTGGGCCTCGCCGGATCATTGCTCCTATCTTATAACACCTCTTACTATTGGCCAGGACTTGATCTTCTATCAGTTGGGAAGTTCTGATTTATTATGTTTTTCTTTTTTCCCTTCTCTTAAAAAAAAAACTGATTCTTGGGGCTGGAGTTGTGGCTGCTCAGTGGTAGAGTGCTCACCTAGCACATGTGAGGCACTGGGTTCAATCCCCAGCACCACAAGTTGATAAATAAATAAAGGTATTGTGTCCAATTACAACTAAAATATATACATTTAAAAAAAACAAAAACGATTCTCTCAGTGCTGGGGATGGAACCCAGGGCCTGTACAACTAGGCAAGTGTTCTACCTGCACTACACTCAAAGCCCCTGATAAAAGTCTTAATAGAATTAGCTATCGCCAAGCAGGAAAGAACCTGAAGCTCACATACATCCATGTTTGCTACTAACCACACGGCAGCACCCTTGACCCACGGACTCACTGCAACCCAACTTCTCAGAGATAATTTAATAATGATTAATATCCAATACCTACTGTCATGATTAATGAATCTGTAACCGCCATTGTCCTGACTCACTGGGGGCAGACCTAAGATCTACAAAAAACCCAAACCAAGATGCCCTTCCCCCTCATGGGAACTACAAACTCATGTCCCACCAGGACGATGGATTAGGTGTGTGTGCACAACGGTCCTTGGGTCACGGGGTTCAATCGAAATCCTTGATTCAGACACCCTAGGGTGCTGATCACTGATTTAGGCTGGGGAGCAATGCTGTATATTCATTTCCAGATTTGTTATTGGTTTATTCATTAATTGGCTAATAATTATCACAACAAAGCTAGATCACATGACCCACCTCAGTCTTTGTGCTGGTTGCTCCAGTTGCTACCACACTGGACAGTTTGCCCCAGGGGACAACCACCATATGAGGATGAACCAGTGTCCCTTACACAATCCTCTCATCATCAGGGCATGGACTGGCCCTCTTCCTTCAATCTGCCCAAACGTTAAATATTTAACAAAACACATCCAGAAACCTCTCGTCTTACCTCACTAACAATATTTCTGCCCTTCCTCACATTTTCCTTCTCTTAGGGGTAAGGCAAATGAATTATTAAGCTACAGTTTTCTTCCTCTATCTTTTTTAATTGATCCCACCTGTTCACAATTGAAGGAATATTAATTTTGTTCCATGGAACATTGGTCATAATGGTACGTCCTTCAATTACTATTTTATTGTTAATTGGCAAATCATTCGACCCTCTCTGTAACTGTTTGTTTACTGCTTAATTTAATGTCATATAAAATCTGACACTATCACTGTCCTTTCACATGAATCTACACGGAAGCCTTAAACACACAGAAGCCTAACTTGATGCCATCTACAGGGACAGGAGCAGCATGCGAATGCCCGGATCCTAATATGAGCTTCATAATTTATTCTCCTGACTGACCCATCATCTGCTTCTCTTAACTAATCGTGACATAAACTTATTCACTCCTTCCTTTATAATTCATAGCTGGGAATCCAAAGAAACAGGACAAAAATTCCATATACAACTAACATCTGCCAATGTGTCCCCGACCCACAGAGATAATCAATTATATTGTCACTGGATTAATAGAAATTCTTATCCTGCAATTCTCAACACTGGTGCTCTTCCACTTTCCTATCTATGTAAAATTCCTCTTTTTAGAGACAAGAGCCACTATCCACCAGTTTGTGTGTGTGTGTTTGTGTACATAGTTTAATGGACTTAAGTGCTTCAAAAGCATATTAATAACAGTTCTTGTTTCACTACATGCACTCATCATTGGTCTTTATTCACTTTATTCAATTTTTAGTGATTTACTCATTGATTGATTATACAATAAGGTAATCAATACCCATGAGCCAGACTCTTAGGTGTTCATAACCCTAGCTGCAGAGTCCCTTCCCACACAGAGTCGGGGCACCCTTGGGATGCACTTCGGGGCTCCCTGACCCTGCCTTGGCTCACTGCTTGGTTCTCTCCACCTTGGCCACGGGCTCCTCTTTCCTAGAGTTCTCCTTTACCAGACATTTGTTCATGTACGTCATCTTCTCCAAAAAACAAAACAAATAAATACTCCTGGCAGACATCACCACGCCCAAGCCTCTGAGGAGTGACCAGGTGTCCTCATGCTAGCAGAGGCTCTGTGGCTCGGTTCTGTACCCAGTTTATTCCTACCAAGTCAGCCATTCTCCAGGACAGCCCCGACATGGACCAAAGTAAGCTTCGGGCATTAGTCAGGTGAAACACGCAGGTAGCAACTCTACAGAACAGGAAATACCAGAAGGCAGCCTGCCTTGGAGAGCCAACAGTTCACCTGGCAGTTGAGAGCAGTCGCCATGTGCTCATGGTCTATACACAGGGTGTCAGTGAGTGGGAGAGTCAGGTGGGCAGTGCCGCCAGGAGGTACTTGTACAGGGAAGACCCCGAGGAATGGCAAGGAGGTGGGACATGGGAAACTGTCAGGGTGAATGTTTTAGTCAGCTTTTCATCACCCGAAAGACCTGACAAGAGCACTTAAAGGTAGAAAAGTTGATTTTGGCTCACAGTTTTCAAGGTCACTCCATAGTCAGACAACTCCTTAGCCGCAGGTCCAGGGTGAGGCAGGACATCATGACAGATTGTTGAGGCAGAGGCGAGCAGCTCAGGACATGACAACCAGGAAACAAAGAGAGCTCCAGTCACCAGGGACAAAATATATACCCCAGAGTCACACCCAGTGACCCACCTCCTCCAGCTACACCCTACCTGCCTACAGTTAATCCACACAATCAATCCACCTAGGTGGGTTAATTCCACTGATGAAGTTACAGTGCTCATAATCTAATCTTTTCACCTCTGAACATTCCTGCATTGTCTAACATGTGAGCTTTTGGGGGACACCACATATCCAACCCATAACCGTGACTGAGCCCTGTTTCTAATCTAAGTTAAACTCACGTTCAAACTAGATACCAAGACAACAGAAAATTTACTAAAGTAAGATTTGATCATCGTTATCCCATTTTTCTTTCTCTCTTGATGTCTTCATTGATTTCTTCACTCATTCATTTACTTATTTCTGAATACCTTTGAACAACTGTCCAAAGATTTCAAAACACCAACTATTACTTACATTTTCTTTACGAACCTAACCTACCCAAATAAGAGTCAAAGCCCTCATAAATAATGCATGATTAAACTAGTATGTGTCCTTTCTGTCCAACAAGAAGCAGCTATTAGAAAACTAAACATCCTGGATTGTTTTTAGTGGCACTCACTTGTATAGAGTTGAATTAATAAGCCTTGGTCTGTGCTTAGCCCTTTTCAAATTTATTTATCCCTTAAAAATCAAGAAAGAGGGCTGGGGATTTGACTCAGTGGTAGAGTGCTGACCTAGGCAGTACTCAGACCCTGGGTTCAATTTCCAGCACTGCAAAAAAAGAAAAAAAATTATGAAAGAGCAAGGTGCAATGGCATATGCCTATAATCTCAGCAGCTCAGAAAGCTGAGGCATGGGGACTGCAAGTTCAAAGCCAGCTTCAGGAACTTAGCAAAGCACTAAAAAGCAACTTAATTTTCAAATTAAGCAAACTATGTTGCTTATTAGTCTCTAAATAAAAGATAAAAAAGGGCTGGGGCTGGGGCTCAGTGGTTAAGCACCTCTGGGTTCAATCCCCAATACTAAAAAAATTAAAATTAAAATCCTTGAAAGAACACTCATATTATCACACCCAACAAACAAAAGACTACTGATACCTTTTTCCTGACTGAGCCTCTCTCACAGATAATATCCCAGACTTCACTAATAAGGAAGTGTTTATATAAACCATAGTGCATAAATAGTAAAATGCTAATAAAGTAAATGAAAACATTCATTATTGTGCTGATGCCTCTCAACTTTGGAGAATTATATAGATGACTTAAGGTTTATAAGTCATTAAATATGACCTTCATTACTCTATCCTTGACCCTCTGATTTTATTTATGTAACCATTATTTTTAATAAGTCCATAAACATACATGAACCCACCATCTAACCCCAAAACAAAAAAAGCACTTACATCTCACATATTATCTGATATATATTATTTATCTATAAGTAGACATATTCCATTTTTCTTTGCTATTTCCTACACAGAGAACATCCTAATGTTTTTTTTCTTTTTAATTTGGTGACAGTTGTGCCTACTTGGACTTATCACTCTAGATTCATGACAGTCTCATCACTGTCCTGTGCATGGTCACCTTTGACTTTACTTACACATCATTCAGGTTTAATAATTCAGTAAATATCCACCCACCAACCACCCAAGCCCCAAACAGTAGCACTAGCCACAACTCACATTGGCTGGTCCGTGGCACTTTTCCACAGAGGTCACCTCCAAGGTCACTGTTGGTAAAGTGGCATCACACCCAAAGTGGGGCCTCCATCATTCTGTGAGACATAAGGAAGATATTAACATGATAAAGCCTACACTTTTTAATGGCCATTGGGGAGCAGAACAGGACAAGTCACAATCTTTGGTTAATGATACAGTCTCACCCACTGGCCCAAACGTGAGTATCAGTATTTGTATTTATTCATTTTTATTATTACAATAGACAGGCATTAATTTACCACCCAAATCAAAAATATGTACTGTTACAAGAATCTGCCCTTATGTTTCTTCCCCACAAACGAACCCACAGACATCATTCCTAAAAAACAGGCATGCAGAGTTACAGTCATCACGACCCTCGACGCCACAATCTCATCATAATTTCCTACTCATCCTTTTATTGCTTTTATTTATTTTTTTAAATACAATAAATACAGATGAACCCAGTACTAATCCACAACAAATTGATTAGTCAGTACATCCAAACGCTTCTTAACCACAGAGGTCTTATTTTTTTTAAAATCATTTTAAATGATCAACAATTGTAGATGAATAGATGAATCGTAATCCTTAGTTCAAAATACATCATTTTTGATGGTCCATTTTTGACCATCTTGCATTTCTTACTTTATTTATTGATTCATTTTATTCATGCTTAAATATACAACAGATACACTTGAAGTCCCCTCCAGCCCAAAGTCAATGTCAGTTCTATACACTGTTGATAGCTTCTTGCCCATAGCACCACAGCCTAGAGCTTTGGGGGTTGGGGTTTTATAACAGCCTTACAGAAACACAGACGAGGACGTGGTTAACAGGGGTCAACAAGTGGGAAAACCACACAAAGCTGGTCAAGGGGTACAAGCGTGCAGTTGTGAGAAAAATTCTGGAGCACGGTGACTTGAGCTAATAATTCTCGAAATTTGCAAAGAGTACATTGTAAGTATTCTTGCCACAGACACAAAAGAAGTCACTGTGGTGTGGATGAAATGCTGATTGGCTTGGATCTGGAGACCAATGCACAACGAGATACCTAGGTACATCAAGACATCATGATTTTCAACTGAACCTCACTAAGCTGGAGGGGAAGAGCCCATTTTCGTCACTGGCCACCTCCGGCACTCTTCACTTTTATTTACACAGTCGTCATCATTTTTGCCTACTGAGAGAACTTCCATTAAGCCTGGCTTTTACCTGTCCACAGTCTCCTCTCTGGCAGAGGAACCCCAGCGAGCCCGTTTGAGGGAACACAAAACCACTCTGAAAGGAAGAAAAAGGCCTGTGGACCCTCCTTGTTCATTAATGTCAGGTTAGCAGGCCTGAATTAGTCACAATCTTTTGTCCAGAGGATTCTCACAACTGTTCCATTCAAGGCCTTGATTACATTATTTCGTATTCTTTTATTATTCTTAATAATAAAATTAACAGCCACAAACCATTCTGAGCTCTTTCCCCATGTCCCTCAGTTGTGGTGAATAAGTCACAGTCCCTGCTTTACGACCCACTCTGCCCTTGCCCCCTGCATCCCTCACTCTCATTTTATTGATTGCTAAAAATAGTTGTGGCAAACCACACAAGGCCCCACCTCCATCTTCCCTTCCCCGCTGCCTCTGTAAACCTTTGTGACCACTCTGAAGTCTCCTGGATACCATCCCCTTCCCCTTGTTTATGTAGAAAATTTTAACAGATATGTATATTCATAAAATCCGTCTTTGGTGGGTCACGTATGTGTTCCTGAAATCTGTTTCCTGTGGGTCCATGGCTTGCTGGGCCTCTACAGGTTTCTGATGAACATGCAGGAATCAACGGGGAAGGAAATCCTCCAGCCCCTCCTCCAAGCACGCCCTCCCTCCTGCATTTCCTCCAGGACTCAACCCCACCCCACCCCCATTTCCTCTACCACTTGTCCTGCACTGTCCTGAGGCAGGGTCTCCCAGGGGTTGGAGCACAAAGGCCCACACAACTGTGCCTGTCCCTTAAGCCCAGCCCCAAGCTCTGACTAAGTTAAGTGACATTAAGAAAGCTCACTAACCTCTCCATGCAACATAGTCACAAAACCAGTGCCCCAGCAAAGTTAGTTATCATGTGCATGCCAAGTCAGCCAGGTAGAAGCCCTTCCACCCATCTCTGAGCCCCTCATCCAAATCTGTGCTCCCACTGCAGCAGCGCCCGAGCTGTGGTGCTAGACAGACAGACAGACCAGGTTCCACCCCAGCAGGCACTCATGAGCTGTGTAACTGCAGAGACGTGACCTGGCCTCTCTGTCTTGTGCCCCGAGTTGTGCGATTTGCAGATTGAGGACAGCCATACCCTCCTGGGTCCAATGTGAGGGTGAAGGACTACTGAGCGATGGACGGGCCGATCCTCACGCAGCTCCCGCCCTGCATACACCTGCTCACAGCGTGCCCTCCCCTGCCCCACACCACACACCCCACACCCCCACCCCACACCCCCACCCCACACCCCCACCCCACCAGTGCAACAGGCTCCTGTTGGATTAGAGAAACACATGGTCTCAATGCTCAGGCCAAGCTGAGGGTCTCAGGGAGGATGGGCCTCAAACTCAGAAAGGAAACTGTGGGATCTGTTCTTTTTTGGACATGGCATCAAAGCTTAAACAAGGGCCCTGGAAAGCAGAAACCCACCCAAGGAATGCATTTTGGGAAAACAAAATCCATTGCATGTAATGGGGCTGCTCTCTGGGGAGTCTATGCCACAAGATTCTTGAAGGTCAAATTATTTCCCAGGAACCAAAGCAGTTCTTACTGACAATACACAGCCAGTCTCCTCCCAACCCTCCCAGAATGGCCTGGGCAGGTACACAGCATACTGACCTCAGAGCAAGCGAGAGACATGAAAGTCATTCTGTAAATTACGTGTTTGAGTAGAATGTCATGTAAACACAAACATATCCATTTGAGGATTTCCACAAAAAAATCCTGGAAAGACCACCAGGCGGGGCTCCCCCCTCCTGCCTTTGCCTTCAAGACAAGGCCTGCCCCCTCACTGAGCTTCAGGGGGCAATAATTCAGGCAGCCTCCCTCCCTCCCAGGTGGTGTCAAGACAGAAGGCTCAACAGAGAGGTGCAGACTCCCTCCAAGCACCAGGGACTGTTAACATTGTACCTCTGCACCCAGCACGCAGCGTTCACAGCATGGGTTAGCATACATTATCCTGCTTGATCCTCACAACCGTCCTGTGAATTAGACATAATAATCATAATTAGCCAATATTTATTGAATGCATACTCTGGACCCAGCACCCTGCTGCCTGCTTTGCATACATTGACACTAATGCGTGGATGTGATTCAATGGCACCAGCTCCCCTCACCCTGCTACTCCTCAAAGTCTTTTTAGCCCACCTGCACTCTTTCCCAGGGGCTAGATCCAGGTCCTAGTGGAAAAAATAGACAAATCCTCTAAGAATTAATATCTCCACGGGTAAAGACAGGAACAGAGAATACTCAAAATAAATAGGTGTAATACATGTGGTAGGGGACAGTAACAAGAACCAAGGAAAAAAATAAATCAGGAAGGGATGAGGAGAGAAAGCCTCCCGAAGACGGTGACACTGGAGCAAAGCAGAACCTTTGCAACTTGAGCCGAGGTGGCATGTGACTGTACGTGAAGTTAGGGGCAGTTACCATCGGACACCCTACAGTCTGGTAGGGGAGACAGGCTTTGTGTTGGTGCTGACTTACTCACATGCCACCTAGGCTCAAGTTGCAAAGTTTCTGCCCCAAAATAGAAGGAGGTTACCTGCCCTCATGCCCCACATGATATAAGACTCAGAATTGTTCTGACAAGTGACCTTCAAAAGATCAGCCAAATTGGCTGCTTTCTAAAATAAATAAATAAAAATAAAAAGAGGCAAAGAAGGTTGGTGGGAATGCATGTCAGAACTGGGTTCCCCAGAAACTTCAACTAGGACAACTGGCATATGCATCTTGCCCTTCACCTCCTCCCCAGCTTCCACCCAACCTCTAGCAACACCCTGCACTGCTCAGGATTTCGCCTCATCTATGGCAGAGTCTCTGTAAATGGATCATGTGCATTTGGTGTGATCACATCCATTTGATCTGCTCACTTCCATAGCTAGAGCTAGAATATTTTAGTCTTAAATCTGTGTTTGTGTTTCTATTTCACTAATTCATTCTCCAAAAGAAAACTCACACACCTGTCTGAGTACTTGTTTGGGTATCTATAAAATGTGAGTAATAATTCTTACCAAAGGGATTAAATGACATCTCAATGAGAATGGTTATAAAATTATAATGAAATATTTATTGAGTTCATTGAGTGCCCACCATGCGGGAATCACTGTTTTAAGCACTTGATTATGTTTGACTCATTTAATTTTCAAGTACCCATTAGTATGGTTGTATTGGTACTTTCATTTCACAACTGAGGAAACTGAGGCACAGAAGTTAAATACCTTGCCCAAACTCACAAAACCACTAACTGGCAGAGATGAGTTGTTACCTCAACATGTTGGATGTGCATAACTGAGCTTGGCCCATAAGCAGACTCCCAAAACATATCTGGTAAATAAAAGCCAATTCTGGTGTGTGGCGGGGTATTTGACTCACCTTTCCATCCTCTGTTTGGTCCCCTCCCTCCTTGCTTTGAACCCCTTTAGGCTCTGGAATCATTTTCACATCTGCTTCTATTAGCATTCAGTGACAAGGTGAAATGCCAGCATCGTACATTGACTAAATTGTGGCATGAGAGCCACAGTGTGGCCCCTGTTTCCATGATAATTTCAAGTAGAGTACTCTAGGGAAGTCGTTACTTGAGAAATCTAATAAAATTTGATTGAATAAGGAGTTCAACTGACTGACAGGACAGCGGGGTGAGCCTGACATGAGGGAACCTCTGAAGAGTGCAAACTTTTTTCAGGAATGGCCATTAGGAAAAGGAAATAGGTTAAGGGTGTGTGTGTTTGGATGGAAAAAAGACTATGGTTCAGATCCTGGGCGTGCATTTGTTCCCTGTGCATCTTTGGGTATGTTCTATACCATTCCTAATCCTCAGGTTCCTTTTCTTTTAATTAAGGATGGCAGTTGTGTCAGAAAGTGACTGTGATCATAAAGAGGAGACAAAATAATGCCTAACACCAGGGAAGGCCTCACCAAGTGGTTGGGGTCAGAACTTAGTGGAAAGCCAGCTGCCTCTTGCTCCCAGCATTGTGTGAAAACATCAGGCTCTGAAAACTACCATGGAACAGCTCTAGCACCAAAGCTGAGGCGCAGATCCCAAGATTGGCAGCTCACCTGTTGTCCCACGGCCATCTGAGCTAGTCAGTACACCAAGAGGCAGCACACAAGTGAGGAATTTCACCAGCAACTCCATTCAGAGGAAGCCTACCTTGGAAGATCAAGTAAGCATTTGACCTTGGTGAGAGACTGCCTATTCTCTCATTCATCTTTCAGTCCTCCTTCTGCACCTGCTCATTCACCTGAATTACCAGCATTCATCAGCCAGACAACCCTCTTTCCACGTACCATCCACCCATCTGATCTAAACCTCTGTCCACATCTAAACCTCTATCCTTCCGCCTCTCACTTTGGCAAAGGATTCAGACAAACCTGGGTTGGAACCCTGGGTCCCCGTGTCCTAGCAGAACTTGAACAAGCCACTGACTTCTCAAAGTCCTCTCATCTGTAAAATAAAGAGAAATCAGATGTAGCTGGGATGAAAAAATGTAGGAGCGAGAGACGTTCTAGGGCCTGGCCTCAGCAAATTGTCGTTAAACGTTCATTCTCTCTGCTTCTGCTGTTGGGCTGGGAGTTAAGCAGGGAGAAAAACCACTGCATCTTGCATGTCATGTTGAGAAAAGTTTTTTAGAAAATATCTGCAATGTTTTAGCAGTGTGCATACTTCAGCAGCACCCAGGGTTGGAGCCGCGGTCAGAGGGGTACTGGTGTATCCTGGGATCACAGAAAAGAGTGCCACCTAGCAGATAAACACCCCTCGGGGTCCCCTGTTGATCCCAGGTCTCAAAAGCTGCTGTCAGGCACCAAGTTGTGAGGTCCAAAAGGACCAGACCCCCAGACTGCAGACTGCCCTGCTTGTGATGTGGAACACGTACTACCTTAATCACTGAGGGCCCTGGACTGCCAGGAGCCTGTTTTGTGGATGATGGCCAACTCTATTTTGCCTACCCCAGCCCAATTCTCCTCCAGAGGCTTCCGGGAAAAGGAATAATTCAAACAGTTACTCTTTGCTGATGTCAACTGTGTATAAGACCCAGGACTTAGGGCTTCATATGCGACATCTCTAACCTTCCCAGTGCCTGTGGAGGGGTTAGCCTGGGTCGTGTTTCTGCCTTGAGCTCTGGCAGATGCACAAAACCCTGGACGCATAGCTGCACCAATCTTCTGAAACCCCACCTGTCCCCTGCAAGTACAGGAAATCATTTGGACACAGATCTGAACAAGGAGCTGCAAAAGAAATTTATGGGTGAATCAGGAATATTGCAGCGCTGGAGAGAGGTTGGCTGGCATTAAGGATACACTAATTTTTTAATTGTGATAATGGTATCATGCTTATATTTTTATGAAAGAAGAGTTCTTTTTCAGAGATATATGCTCAAAAATGCTCAGGGGAGATGATATATGTTATACAGAATTTGGGCTCAAAATAGTCCCGAGGGTTGGGGTATAGGGGTTAGGAGTGGAGGTACAGTTTGGGGTTTGGATGAAACAGGAGAATCCTGGATTGGATGACAACTATATCTGGGTAATGGCTATAGAAAAGTTAAAAATCATGATTTTTTAAAATGCATTATTTTTTCTATATTTGTGTCATTTGAAATTTCCCATAATAAAACTTTTTTTATTTTTGATTTTTAGGTTTTGTTTTTTTTTAATCTATAAGTAAAAATTAAGCAAAGGAGACACTGAAAAACATTAAGGGCCACTTGGGGTCCAAACTAAATCTTGGGGAATATCAAGGGACTGACTGACAGGGAAAAAAATGCCTCAAAATGGAGAGGGGGCTGAAAGAGGCTAACTGTTCAAAGGTGGGTGGACCAAGGAGAATGGGCAAAGGTGCGCCCATCTCCTGCCACGCCTGCCTCTTCAGCGTCCCTGGGGGCCCTCCCTTGGCTCTAAAAGGACAGTGGGTGTCTCTTCCCTTCAAAACAGAACCAGCCACCTGATGATGCTGGCCAGTTTGGTTACTGGGACAACGCTGTCACCCATCAGACAGGCTTTGAAGGAAGACCCCCAGAGTGGCCAGCTCAGCCATGCTGGGAGGATTCAGCTGTCAGCTTTCAAAGGCTTGTTCCCCTCCCTCTCCCTCTCCCTGTCTTCCTCTCTGCTCCCTCTCACTCCCTCTCTCCCCCTTCTTGAAAGAGCAAGATTTGGTGCTTTCCTTTTCACTAAAACTTGTGCCAAGTACCCTGGGTCCACTGCACAGCAGACTGACTCACCCTGCAGCCCCATCTCATCTACTCCCCGACCCCCCAGCCCTCCCACCCACAGCCCTCTACAGCCCCCAGGCCCCTCTGCAGCAGCAGCCGGAGACTCTGGCCCCTTCTTCCCTTCTCCCATCAGCTTCCTGGGCGCACGGCCACTGCGCACTCGGGAGGCTCTCCCCCCCGCGCTTTCGCTCCCACTTTGGGAAGCTGCGCGCCGCCGGACAGCGCCGGACAGCTTCAGCTGTGACCCTCCGCAGCTAGGCTGCTGCACTGCGGCACAGCCCGCAGCCCGGGGCGTCCCTCCTCGCGGACCCTGGCCCAGGGCACAGTCCACCCGCCCGTGCCCACCGGCGTCTGCTGCCGCAATTAAAAGCGCCACTGAAAAAGCAGAAACGCCGGTCCCTTTTGACCGTCTCCCCCTCCTCACTTTTCGGACTCAGAAATGTGGCCCAGGCAGCCCCCTTGTGGCACTTGGGGGCGCCACAGATTCTTGGCTGGTGTCTGAAGAATTCAGACTGTCTGATTCCACCGCACCGTGAGTTGGCACAAATCTTAAGTGGCCCAACTCCTACCCGACGCAGAACTCCTCTGGCTGCTGCGCTGAGTGGGGGGCTCCTCTCCCTCTCCCTCCCGGGCAGCATCCCTCCCTCCTTCTTCCCGGAAGGGACCTGCGCTCTCCTGTTGAACACTGCTCTGACAAGCAGACAGGTGTCTGGCAATCGTGGCAGTGGCCAGGGGATGTGGTGGGAACAGGGTCTTTCCTTGCAATGAGGTTGCTTTCCATCTCTCTCAGAGATGGGAAAATGAGGTGAGGGGAAGCGTGGGGTCCCTGTCTGTGTCAGAGTTAGGGCTGGGTACCCCCCTCAGGGGTCCCAGCATCGGGCACTTCCCTAAGGCGAGGGGCTACCCTAAGAGGCGTCTGCTCCCAGCTGTCAAGCCCGAGCCTCTTAAAGCTCGTTCTTCCCATCAGAAGCCCTGGAGGGCCCCTAGATGTTCTCTGTCCTCTCTAGCTCACTGTCCACACAAACAAACCCCAGCCCCCTCCATCTCTATCTGCAATCTGCTTGCAGACAGGCAGAGCCCTCTGCACATCAGGTTAATAATGCCATTTTCATAAGCCTCTGCCCATAGGTGCTAACACCTAATTTTGAATCTGCCCTTCAAACGGATTGGGCCACAGAGGAGCTGGGATCTCAAGCACCGCTGGGAGGTGCTTATAACTAATCAATCCATCCCCTGCCCACCCACACCCCCCCAGCACTCGGCACAGCCTCGCTGAGCAGTCTTCAGCAGCAGGGTGTGGTGGGGAGCCTCGGAGAGCCTGGGGTTCCATCCTGACCCAACCTCACACCAGCTGAGAGGGTGAGTATGGGACTTCCCTTTCTGTGCCTCAGTTTCTTCATCAATCAAATGGGGATCATGAGATTATTGCCCAGTGAGTCCTGTGCAGGCAGCTCAGCTTGGGGCTCTTGGATGGAGTTCCATGAATGCCAACTGCCCTCACTCCCCTTGATCACCTTGATTTATACTGACTTGTTCCCTGTTTGTTTCCCCCACCAGACTGACTGAGCTTCGGGGACAGGAAGCCGACCGGCATCACCTCATCCCCAGCCTCACTCTCGGGTCAGGTCTGGGCCCGGGGAAGGTAGGTGCACTGTGGGGTTTGGGAAATGAGTGAGTGGAGGGATGGCAGCTCCCCAGTCTCTGGGATGCCTGGAGCCTGCTGGCTTCTCCTCCCCAGACCCCTCTCTGTGTAAGCTGGCCCTTCAAAAAGTAGCAGGGAAAAATATTTTTTTATGCCTTCATGCTTTGCCTACGGTGCTGTTATATATGATGCAAATTCTGAGTCCGTTAAATGCAGACGAGGGCTCTGGTGTCATTTCTGCTGCCTGCTGCATCTACTGTGAGTCCCGCAGGCCGGGGGCTGCCTGCATCTGACTTGATTTGTGCGATTAAGCCGGCAGAGGGGACTCTGCCAGGAGAGGTTCCCATCTGAATGCGGTGCAGGGTCTTGAAAGGCCAGATTGTTTTCTCTCTTAGGACACTTGTTACGTGTATCCCTCCGTCCCGGGTTCCTACCGTTGACTCCACAAGCATTTATGAAGTGTCTTATGTGTGCTAGGCTACTCTTATCTCATTGAGTCCTTTCTTCAAGCTGGTGAGAGAGAAACTCTCATCTCCGTTTCACAGGGGAAAAACTGAGGCTCTAAAAAGTCAAGGGAATTGCCGTGGCCTCATAGCTGGAGAGCTGGGGTCGAGTCGGTCAGTCTGCTCAGGGAGCCCCCCAGTTCTGCCGCAGCTGCTGCTGCCGCTGCTGCAGGGCTGACCAGGGCCAGCCAGCAGCTTCCGCAGGAAAGGCAGGGGGCTTTGCCTAGAGATCTTTCTCCCTGGCAACTGGCGAAGGGGCCATAAAAAAAAAAAAAAAAAAAACAAGAGGGCTCAGAGCTGCTTAACAGATATACGTGGAACAGCCCCTTGGGAAGCATCACGCCCTCCCCTGGGCTTCTGGCAGAACAGCAGGGCAAAGGGCTCTGTCCAAGGTGCCAAGAGGCAGAGAGGAGGTAGCCCAAACAGGTGTAGAGGCCCCCAAACCTGTTCAGATGTGGGTAGGGGTTTCTCTTTAGCACAACACTGACAGGAAAGTGAGCTGGCAGCCTGCAAAGACCCGAGGACAGAGGGGCTGGGGGCTGCTGCAAGCCGCAGAGGCAGCAGGCAGTCGAGGGCTGAGAACAGCAGCTCAGCGTGGCAGCAAGCTGCTCAGGGAGGAAGGAAGCTCCCTGTTACAGGAGGCATCCAAGCAGAGACGCAGGCCAGTGCTTGCTGAGGAGGCTGCAGTGCAGCTTCCTGCCTGGGCTGGCGGTCCTCGTATCCAGGCCTTGGAGAAGCTCCCCCAGTTCTAAGTGCTGAGCAAGTGAGTGGGGCTGACCTGCCAGGAGCAGGCTGGGGTCAGGGCAAAGATGCACAGTCTCTGTCATGTCATGTGCCCCGGGGGCTAAATGGCAAAATTGTAGAGACGGGGAGGGGGACACCTCTGTCCCACTGAGGCAGTGAGGGAGGGGCACAGAGAATGACGGTGAGTGCTTGGGCCTGTGGGGGTTGTGGAGGCTGTGCCAACTGTAGTGACCAAGTGCCAGCACAACCCCCAGACCCAGAAATGCTGGCCAGGGTCCCCTCTGGGCAGTAGGGTGGCTAACTATAGAGGGAGCAGGGGTTGGGGGATCTGGTTAATTGAGGTGCCAGTCAGTCATGTAAAAAGTCTGTTTTGGAGGCTGGGTCATAGCCACAGGTCCATCTGGCTGAAAGATTGTGATTTGGATCTCGAGAGGGACTCAAGAAAGCCCCCTCACCTGCACTGGAGACAAGGGATCTGCATGCACATGATGCAACTCATGCTGGGGCCCAGAGTTGCCCCTCACCACATTCCCAGGGGCTGTGGGTGGACAGGGCCTTCATCAGAGGGCCTCTGCTCGACATGCCTGTGTTCCGCAGCCTCTAAAGGAGTTCCTGCTCTTTGTTTCCAGGGCAGACAGTCAGCGTGTGTGTGTGTGTGTGTGTGTAGTCGGGGTCCCTCACGTGTGGCCTGACAGGGGGCCTGGCGAGTTCTCGGGAGGCAGACACGCACCTCTCTGAGGCAGGAAGATTTCAGACAGGGCAGAGCATTCAGGATAAGCGGCCCCGGGCCGCTGCCTGTTTGTCCTGCTCCTGACAGCCCAGTCTGTTGGCCTCAGGGTCGCACAGCTGCTCTAGCCCGCCGTGGGGGGGCAGCATCGCGTTGCAGGTGAGAGCGCAGGCTGGTCCGCTCTCTGCGGGCCTAAGGACAGACAGACTGCCCGGCCGCCTGATTGAGCGCCGCACGCCGGGGAGAAACGGTTTGCTCTCTCTTGTTTTTTGTTGTGCTGTTGTTGCTGATGTTGTTTTCGCCTATTAAAGGATTGATTGGAAACTCTCGATGTAAACACGTTTTGAGATGTGACGTATGCGTGTTTGTTGCAGCCCCTGCGGCAGTACACGGGAGGGGGGACAGGGAGGGGCCTGGAACAAGGAGGCACTCACACGCAGAATTTTGTGAATAAACCTTTCTGGCTGGGTGTGGCTCTGAGGAGCTTTGGTGTCAATCTGGAAGTACCTTTACCCCAAGACCCTCGGCAGGACCAGAGACTGCAGGGCAACAAGCCCTCCAGCCCTTGCCGGGCAGGGAAGGAACACTGGCCATGTTCTGCTCTCACTTGTAATTCCTTTTGCAAATAGGGCCTGGCTCCCTCCTAACACACGAGGAAGGTAGGAAAGGGGGTCTCCGCAGAAAATCTGAGGCTACACTGCAGAGACCTGAGCCAGTCTACAAATAGCCACGGAGAAATCTCCCCCGCGCGAGGCTCTTGCTCCAGAGTAAAGAAACAGAAAATCTAGGAGAGGAGCCTTTGTGCCCCACAGAGGGCTGCAGAGGGTCACCTCTGCATGAAGGCAGCATGAAAGTCCTGCCTCACAGCCACCTTGTCCAACACACAAAACGCTCATTTAGACTGGGCCCGGCCCAGGGGGAATTTCCTGTGAAATTGAGGAGAAGTCAGGCTTAGCCAGGGCTTTTTCCAGGAATTCCTACCTCTGGAGACAGCGACCACTGTTCCTTCCGAGGCACCCTTGCCAAACTCTGTAAAATATGAGCCTAAAAAATCTGCCTGAGAGCAGTCTGACTTTTTATATGTATTTATATAAAAATAAAATAAACTCTCACCAAACTTTTCAGGAGAACCCAATTAAAAGCTACAGGGGGCAGCCCCTTCCCTAGACTCAGGTGTTTGAGAAAAAGGACACGTGTCCCCTGGGGGGAGCCTGCAAGGGGTGCGGGTGACAGGGGGGACAGGGGGCGGCTTTATTTTCTGGCCGGCATTCTCTGGGGACTGCCTTTTTGTTCCTCTGTTTGGTCTCACTCTGAAAAGGAGCGGCTTCGGCTCCAGGGCGGGTTAAGCACTTGGAATGGATGAGCTGGGGACCGCCGGGGGTCTTTGCTGGGCACGCTGCGCCCTGTGCTGGCTACTGTGCTGGATGATTTATCTGCGTTATTTTCTCATTGAGATCTCAATAGCCCTGTGCGAGGGAGATTATGGCTCTTTTTTTTTTCTTCTTCTTCCTTTTCTTTTTTTTTTTAATATCAAGAAACCAAGGCACAGAAACAATTGGGGATTTGCCAAGGACACACAGCGCTGCTCTGTAGCTAGGTCTGAGCTCAGGGTGGCTAGCTCCTTAAGATGCCTCCCTCCCTCCCCGCTCCCTGGGAAAGAACATTCTGGTAGCTCTTGTTCCCCTGACATGCAGGCAAAGACCTGTGTCCTCAAGGGTGGTGCTGATGCCCATCACGGCCCCTCTCCCCCTGCTTTTCTAGAACATTCCCAGCGGCAGAAGTACCCACTCTCAGCCCAGTCGTACCCTGTCCTCAGAACCTTCACTCTAACCCAGCTATCCCACATCCTGGGACCAGACCCCTTTGCCTCTGGCAAGGAACACGCTGTAAAGATGCAATCAGCCGTGTCCAGGCTGTGATTACACCCGAACACTCATCACAGGATCTCAGCCTGTGTCCCATGCCGCGCCTTGGGTCCCGGGGCCCTGCACAGAGAGGTGCAGAGGGACTGTAGGGGGTGCAAGCATGGCCCCCTGGCATGTGTGTGCAGCTTTATGGTAATCTGCAGACTCACCCGGCACCACAGAAAAGGAAACACGACCCTCTGACACTGCCCATCAGACCCAAAGAGAACATGACGTGGTCTCAGTAAGGGGAAGTCAGACCCAGCACACGGTGGAGATGGGGGCTTCTGGAAAAGGACAAAGGAAAGGGGTGATTAACATCTGGCCACTCTTTGTCAACTCTAGAAAAATGTGAAGACCCTCTCCCACTCGCAAACAGTGTCAATGAGGCATGAGGTTTCCAGGGACTTTTGAACGTGTGGAGGGGAGCCGGGTCTAACTCTGGGGGTATTTCACGGCTGCCCTTAAAGGTCAAGGACAGGCTGGCTGAAAGACCACTCTGCGGCATCGGCAGAGCTGAAGTGTGCCTGGCAGGGAAACGGGGTGGGGCACAAGGTGGGAGGGGGATTTTAGCCAGACCCCGAAGGAGCTCTCATGCTAGACTAGTCTAAGGTTCTCTTTTCTTTTTTTCCCTTTTTTTTTTCTGTTTTGGACCCTGTCCCGGAAGCTCCGGGAAGTCAGATAGAGGATTGAAGGCAAGACAGAAACAAGGTCAAAAAGGCATTTTAGAAAGATCGCTCAATGAAAATGAACTTGTGTGAACTGTTTAACCCACCTGTCCCACCTCTAGGAAGGTGGGGTAAACGCAGTTGGGGATGTGTTTACAGATGTAGCTACAAGAGTGCTCTCTGCAGTGTCATTAGTAATGACAAAAGGGGGGAACCTAAGCTGGTCTTTTTTATTGGGCATCAGTTGAGCAGAACCCTATTAATTAAAATGTCGGCTTGTGCCACACCCTCCTCACTGATTCCTGCAGAGCATTTTTACTTACATACACATTTTTATTTTTTTTTAATAACATAGTGGGCACTCACAAACCCGTGACCCACCTTGACAACTCGGACTTTTACCAAAGAGTCTCTGCACATATTCTCCTGCCCCCCAGAGGAGGTACAGCTGGGATTCTCCACAACGAGGAGGGTGTAATAAACAAAGCCCCCCCCAGCCCGCCAATACCCCAGAATATTAAATAGCTCTTAAAAAAATGGAACAGTGGAGACCTATTGTCTTTTAATGGACCTCAGTATTTTGCGCAGAACTGGATTAATCACGATCCTTTGTTCATAGACACTTTCTCATCATTGGCCCAAGCATGTCCCCTTTTATTTTGCTAATTTATGCATTTATATATTCATTTGTAATAATGTCATAAACACTCGTGAGCCCACTCCCCAAATCCAGACCTCAGCAATTACTTACACCTGCCTCTGCAATCCAATCCCCGGGGGGCGGGGATTGGGGGGGGCATAGAACCTCAGGTTTTGTGGCAGCAGTGAGATAGTTAAATAAATCCCGAGTATATGGATCAGAGGGTACCAAGGTGCTATTATAAAGAATGGCGTTGATCTTTATTTCCTCCAAGCAGATTCTGGAGGGAAGAAAAACAAGCTGATGCAAACCTCAAAGGGAAACGTACACTGAGATACAGTTTATGTAAAATAGAAACAAAGTAATATATTGTAGAGGTATATTTACATACATATGCAAATGCACAGAGAACTAGCTGGAACAATACACCTGAAACTGAGCATGGAGGTTAATTTGAGGAGAGGGAGGGTTAAAGATAACTTTAGCTTTATCTGCATGTTTGAGGTTTTTTTACTAATGAGCATATTAATCATCAATGCATTTCTCGTATAATTAAAATAGACATGTCGTGTGGGTTTTTTGGTTTGGTTGGGTTTGCTTGCTTGTGGCGTTTTCTGCTTTTGTTGTCGTTACTAATGCAAAGAGCACTTGGCTGATGAACTGGAAGCTGGTTACATATGCCCAAAGCAAGCGCTACAGACACAGGGGATTCACGCTTTATCATTCTTTTCTTTTCTTCCCCCCCCCCTTTTTTTTTTTAATTTTATATGCACTAACGCGTGAGCTGGAGCCTTCCGGCTGCCTGTCAGTGACAGGAGCCAGCAGGTGTGTGCCTGCCTGTGGCTATGATTTCACCACCCAGAGCCCCAAATCCCTCCGAGCCGCTGCCCGGCAATGTCCGCAATGCACCCATGGGGGAGGGCTTTCCTTTTTGGTCTTTAAGAGGCCCCGAAAGCTAATGCCCTGGCCCATGTTCTCGGGGATTAGCAGAATGGAATGAGAACTCAGGGGGAATGTGACATGAGATAGGTCCTGGAGAGGAGGACACAGGCCGGAGAACAGCGGGTGCAGCAGCTCGGGTGCATCAATAGCCAGGCCTGCCTGCTGGCCAGGAGCCGGGGCCGCACCACAGCCCCTGACAGCTCCATCCCCACAGCACACAGCTGCCACGCCCCCTCCCCATTCGGATCCAGAGGGCCGCTAAAGGACGTTAGCATCCTGTCAGCTCTGTGAAAAGGGGAAGCAGTCTGGCTGGCCTTTGCCCACCTCTGTGTCCAGGGTACCTCACTGCACCCCGCCCCCATCAGAAATCCCCCTTCCCAAGACCCCCCCCAGGCTTGCTTGCACATATGAAACCCCTCAGGCCCCTGCAGCTGCTGCAGGCTGTCAAAATCCTTGAACACTACAGGCTGTGACCAGGCTGGGATGATCACACTCTGTCTGCAGCTTAAGACTAAAGACCCCTAAAAAACAAAACCAGACAACTGCAAACCCAGATTAGTTCTGAAGCCCCGGGCAGCTTTGTCCTGGCCTCCACCTGCACGGACCGTGGGTAGAGAGTTGGTGAGAAAGACACTACTCTGAGTAATGGGGGTCCATGGGGCCTTCAGGGAACTTCTCTCCCCTATGCCACCCAGAGCCTTACTTCCAAGCACGACTTTGTGCAGAAGACGTGAGATAGGTCATCTGGCCCTGTGCCTTAACCCCCTTCCCAAACGTGGGACCCTGCCATTGATTACAAGATAATAGGCTCTATCTTTGGGAATACCTTGAAGTGACTGTCAGAGTTTTGCAAATATTTTTATGATAAAAATAAAATGCAGTCCCCAGACTAAAGTTCCCTGCTTCCAACTTCCAGGCCGGGATGACCCTAGGGAACAATAAACATTCCTCACTGATTCATAAATCCAGGAAATGCCAATAAAAAAGTTAGTTGCTTCAAGAAAATGCCCTCCGGAAACCAACACTGCCCTCCCTCTTGGCCCTTATCTTCCCTCTGAATTCTAAAAACTTACAAGTGTTTTCAAAGGGACCCCTGAGGAGACGCATCCCCTTGAGGAGCCCGCCGTCTACACGTGAGCTGAGTTGCCACCGAGGGTCAGGCATTTTCTATTTCATTTCATTAAGGAATCAAAAGAGCACTTGAAAATTGCTGCCCACCACACAGAAGGGGAAGGTGATCGCTGTTACGTGTCCAGGGTCACCTAGCTCCTCCAAGGGCAGACTGCTTTCTCCCCCCTGCTCTGTTGTGGTGATAGATCTTAGGAATCCCGGGGTTACACATAACAAGATTAGCAGGGTTATTCTGCTTCCCACTCCTCTAGAATTCTACCTCCAAAAAGAAGCTTTCAGTGTAAGAGAGGAGGGCGACGTACCTAGCAGGCCGTGGATGCTGGAATACTGATTCTCCAAGGTCAGCCAGGAGGGTGGCCATGCTGGGACAGGACAGAGCTGCCTCAGGAACCCGCTGACTCACTGCCCACTGGGGGCAGTGAGCCCCAGCTGCAAAATGGAGGCTTAAGTTAGTTCCATTCTAAGAAGTTTACAAATTTGCAAATTGTCTAAACCGATAAATTGGGGGGAACAGGAATCATTTTTCAGACCTTTTGATCCGATCCTGGGCCAGGCATTTGCTCGCTGTGGGGAGAAAGCAGCCATCTCACCTCCAGGCCACCTGAGAGGAAGAAGAGAGATTGCTGACCAGGTGTGATGGATAGGGCCCTCCTGCCTCCCTGAGTCATTGCCCCAGGCCTTGCTTGCTGCCATCAGCCCTACTATGTGCAGGGGAGGATGAGAGTAGGGACAACAAACCCAGACTGACACCAGGGGACAGGGCCCAGAAGGTGGAGGAAGAGAAGGGGGAGCTCAGGACCTGAGAGATTGGCTCAGGGTCCCACAAGGCCCAGGCCACAGACTGTATTCGTTAGAGAGAAAAGTTGGGTCTCTAAGTGCCGCTGGCCCGCTACTGTGGAAAAGGCATGTGTGTCCAGAAGACTGGACCTTCAATGCTAAGAAGATGCATTTTTCCAAAAACCTTTTAGAGAGAAGCTTGCTTCGAGGCCAGCGGGACAAGAGGAGATCCACTTGGACCCTCGCAGCCAAGGTAAGACTGGGGGTAGAGGTCCCATGCTGGCCTCTGCCAGGGCCCTGGGAGGGAGGAGGTGGGCTGCCTGGGTAATAAACAGGGTGTGGCCGTGCTTCAGACGAAAGGTTAAAGAGTTATTTGTACAAAAAAGCAGGACATGGTCGAGGTACTCAATACCTCTGTTCAAATACTTGAGCCGCTATAATTAGAAGGTCCTCAGCCAGCTGTCCTGCCCCTCTGCCGATACCAAATAAGCCAAGATGAGTTGGGAATGAGAGCACAAGCCTTTTGGGGAGATGGAGGCAGACACCGAGGCCCCCACTTCTGCGACCTGGCAGCCCGTCAGGCCACGAGGCTGCTGCATCAGCTCCATGGCATGAAGGCAGCCTCTGCAGTCACGAGGCCCCCTCCAGGTCCCCAAATGGCAGCAGCTGACCCCACCCTGGGTGTCTGCCCAGGGCTGCGCCATTTGCTGGGGCAGGGGAGTGACCTGGCTCTGAACTCTACCTCCAGCTCTGCCTCTGAAGCTCCTTTCTAGAGCCTGGGGGCAGCACCAAGCCCTCTAAGCCTCAGCTTGACTTTACAGAATTGAGGACCATTCCCCACCATAAGGAGCAAACCTGTTTTCTGCAAGTCCGTATCCCATCCCTCACCAGCACAGGTTGGCCACTGTCCCCAGTACGGATAGGGGTGTCCAGTGGCCTGGGTCCACAGGCTGAGCAGTTAGGCCACCCTCTGGACTCCCAATTACCCACTTTCAAAGCTGGGCCTCCTTCCCTCGGGAGCTAATGGGAGAATCAAAGCCCACGCCCGCCCCGCCATGCGTGAAATGCTCTGAATCGTGGCCTCACACTGCAGTGGGTGTTCTAAAAGCAGCAGTCATGAATCCTAATGATAAGAACATGAGGTGGGAAGGAGGTGCTCCTGCATCTTGTAAATGAGGAAACTGAGGCTCTGCAGGGTCATCCAGCCTCTGCCTCCGCACTGGCTCTAATTCCACTGTCCGTCCCAAGGGCCTGGGCCTCCTCTGTGCATTGAAATCACCACTTTCCAATTCTGAGAAGTGCCACACCCCAAGCCTCCTACCACTCAGGTACATCCACATGGCCAGGAGGACACAGGCCAAGCAGGGAGCCCACCAGAGACAGAACAGCTGTGAAGTCGAGACAGATGCTACCAGAAACAGCTGTCTGTGCTCTCAGCCACAGCCCAGGGCACTGTTCAAATGAAATAGTCTGAGGACCCCAATTTATTGGAGTAGCTGGTAGAATCGAGGCAGGGGCTGGGGTCCCTGAGCCCCATCTGTTCAGACAGCCCCTCCCACACCTGCACTGTTCCCCAGGGGACACCATAAACCACCTCTCAGGAGTCCCAGAGCTACAGATACAAAGGAGAAGATCAATGCCCATTTCCCCATTGAACAGGGGAAACTGAGGCCTGGGAGGAAAAGGTCAAAAGGAAAGTCATGCAGACCTGCTGCTCACAGGGCCGTCGCTGCCCGCTTGCCTTGAAAGGCAAGCGCAGGCTCAGGAGCAGCTGATTGGCTGCGCGATTTGGGCAGCTTGCAGAGGAGGGGCACACATGACTGCCTCCCCCCGCCCAGGGTTATTCTGGGCAGAGTGATCCAGCTGCCCCCTGGAGCTGCCAGTCAAGTGTGGAGGGGCAGGGCTGAAGCCTCAGGAACACTGTTGGGTCAAGGGCACTGCCCTTCCACTCAATGGCATAAGGAGATGAGGAGTGGGGGACCTCTCAGAAGACCCTGGAAGGTGTGAAGGCCCAAGCTGTCCTTAGCCACAAGTCAGGGTCATGCAGGCAAGGCAGAGACCCCAGCAGGAGGGACCCCAGCATGTGTCATGTCAGCCTGGCTGGCCCTCCAGGCTCCCCGGTCCATGGGTCCTCACCACATACTTTATGGGAAGTTCCCCTGAGAGTCCCACCACCCTCCTGTCCCACTCCACCCAGGGAGTTGAATAAAAAGAGTGACCCTTCAAACCCCTGGTCCCTTCTAGGGAAATTAAGACAAATTCCAAGCCTTGGCACATCTTGACCTTGACATTTGTTTAACAAAATAAATGAACAACAATCCTTGGCCCTCGTGGTGTTCTTCTGTGCCCAGCCCCATCCCACGGCTTGACTCCCACCCATGCCACCAGCAGGCTAAGGCCACTTAGACCCTAAGACTCATGGCTGTGTCCCTCACATTCAAGTGGCTCTAGTGTTGCCTACAAGGAGGCCCAAGTGACAGGGGTCTTCACCTGAGACCGCTTTGCAGCCCAGAGAGCTGGGGCTGTAGGTGTCCCTGGGCAGGTGTCCAGGAGTCAAGGAGAGGGACAGGCACAGCACTCCCTCCTTTCCCTTCCCGCCCCTCTGTCCTCACCTTGCTCCTGAGCTCCTGAGGGGCCTCCGCCCCCCCCTCCCCTGTCCTCACCTCTCCCCGAATTCCTCCAACCCCCCCGCCCGCCGCCCATGCCCAACTCTGCTCCTAAATATCCTCTCATCTCCTCTTCCAAGCTCTATTTTTAAAATCAGATTTCCTTTACTGTACAGGGAGAGGTATTCGCTGAGGGATCCCCCCCGCCCCCCCCCATCCCAACCCTTCATAGATGCACGTTGGCAGCCCTGACCCCATGGGCCACTTGCTCAGAGGCAAGCAAGGAGCTGACCTGACCGAGGCTTTGGGCACTGACAGTGGTGAGGCTGGGGTGTCTGTCTGAGTGTTGGGGGGCAGAGGGACCCATCAAAGATCTGAAGGGCAGTTCTGAATCCAATAGCAAATCCAGATTTTTTTTTTTTTTTTTTGTAAAGTGGGAATTTCCTGATCAGTAGCTGTTTTTCAAAGAAAGTGCATGAAGTTTGAGAACAATGTTTATGGAGATAACATCTGAAGGTCTGAGTATATTCCTTCTGCAGAGCCCAGGGTGGAGGTAGGGTAGACTGGCAGAGGACAGAAGCCAGACAGGAAGCCCACAGTGACTATCACAGCCACAGCAGGGGCACAGGACAGAGGCCTGAAGTCCACCCAGAGGGGCAGACCTGTGAACTGAGCCTCCAAGGAGACACTCACCAGGTGTAGAGAGGCACCTCCCGCAGCACCTGGGTGAGGGTTTCATTTCCTTCTGGGACGCACTCGGGCAGGGTCCTCCATCTCTTGGCATGGGGCTTTCTAGCACAGTGCCTGGCCCAGGAAAGGAAAGAAGGTATGCTGCTGTATGAACTCACGAATTGTGAGCTTCAAAAGACAGAAAGATCTGGGAACGATGAGACCAGGATGCATGTGGAGTGAGAAACCAGGCTTCAGTGTCTACAGAGAAGCCTAAGGAGGAAGGAGCCGGAGCCGCGGGTCCTAGATGCTTAAAAGGTTGGGTTTTGTGCAAAGGTATTTAAGGTTTGTATTTTAAGGAATAAGGGGCAACCTAAAGATTTTCAACATGAGACATACTTGCTCTAATTTCTATTTCATGCTCAGGCATTTGGATTTTATGTCGTGGACACAAAATGTGAAAGGTTTGAAGCTGAGAATGTCATCATTAAGTCTGGGTGCCACTCAGAGACAAGGGGGCTACAGGAGTGATGAAAATACAGGAAAAGATTCTAAGCAGGAGTGTCACGAATAGAGTTGGGTCTCATGGAAAGAAATCTGGACTTTATTTTGAGGGGTGACAGGATCAAAATTTTACCTCATGCTAAGGAGTTTGGATTTTTGCCTGAGTTTTAAGAAATTGATGGTGAGATTTGGGCTTGTGGGAGATGGGTCTGCAGAAAACACAATCAAATCTATTTTATAACTAACAGCTTTGGACTCTATATTACAAGCAATAAGGAAACACTGAAAAATTGTAAACAGAAAAGTAACAGCCACAAATTTAAGGATCATGCCCAAACATTCTGACTTTCTATGTTGGCTGAGGGAATGCCAAAGTCTGATTTGCAGGGCAGGCCAAGAGCTGATTAATGTTGACACCAAAATTGAAAGGTTTTAATCAGACGAGTTACATGATCAGCACTGTGAATATGCAAAGAAATTTGGAATTTATTTAGACGCTCTGACATGATGAGGTTTTTGCACATGCCTAGGAATTTTATTTATCCAATAAAAAGTTCAAAGGGAGCGACACAGAGTCTTGTGTTGGATAAATAGGATGCAGTAAAATTAAGAAATAAAATTCACATTTCGCGCCAAGAATCTGGACTTTTCTGTCATACGCAATTAAGAGGTGGAGTTACGAGATCAGATTTAACGTATTATGCTAGGAAGTGTGAATTTTATTTTAGAAGATGGCATGATCAGATTTTTATACCATGCTAATAAGTTTGGATTTAAGCCAATAAAGGGCTTAAAAGAGTGACAGGGTGAGACTGGGGTTTTTTTATAGACCAGTCTGGAGATAAATTACATGGTAAAATGCTGCGTTTTATGTTAAGTACTTGGGACTTTATGTTACAGGAAATGAAGAAACTTTGAAAAGTTTAAATTGGGGAGTTACATGTTCCAACTTTTACATTTCGGCATAGCCAGAGTGGATTTTTACAGTTAAGATAATATGATCAAATTTTTCTAACATGCTAAGGAGCTGTGGTTTTATGTGCGCACTGAAGGCACTGTTACAGGAGGGAAATGACCTCATTTCTGAATCCTCATGCACAGGCATTTGGAGTTGAGACAGCAGAGGGTTTCAAGGAGTGAATTGATGAGTATTTTGTCTCTAGAGGAATCAGATGGCAAAGCATGCTCTAGCTAAGGTGTCTGAATCGGATGAACCACAAAAGGAACCAGCCCTGACCCCTCAGCCTCCAGAGGCAACTCCTCAGCCCAGGGAGCCCAGCCTGCGCCATTGCTGAGGAGCTGGGTGGGTCATCTATATGCTGGGCAGAGAAGAGAGATCATGATTAAATTTATGTTGCATGCTAAGAAGCTTGGACACAGTTTTGAGGAATGACAGAATCACATTTTTATGCCATGCTAAGGAATTTGGATGTCAGCCATTCAGAGACTGTGAGCAAGTGATATGGTGAATGGGCGGGGTGCGGGGGGGATGGAGCAGTCTGCACAAAAATCATGACGAATAATGTATCATTTTATGCTAACAGTTTAGACCTTCTCTCATAGGTAATTCAAAGATATTATAAACCTTTAAGCACAAGTTACAAGAGCAAATTCCATGTTTCTTGCAAGAAATGTGACCTTTGGAAACTGTTGAGAAATAACATGGGCGATATTTTATATCTTGCTGAGAGGTTTGGAATTAAGCCAATCAAAGATTTCAGGGATTGGCCTGGAGAGATTGAGGATTTTGTATTCATCAGTTGGCAAATGAATTATATGGTGAAAATTTTTGTTTTTTGTTGTGGTCAGAATTTCATGTTAGAGGCAACAAAAGGAGACTTTCCTATGTTTGAAACAGAAATTATGGGATGATTTTTACTTATCTTGGCAAAAGTTTTAAACTTGGATGTTAAGGGTTAAGGAGTGAAAAGGTCTTTGTGATTAGATTTTAGGTTGAAAGCAGGACAGTTGAAAGATTTGATCTATTAGTTATAGATTTTCTTAAGAAGGTATATAATGTGGTTTTAAAATCATCTTGCTAAGGAATTTGAATTTTAGCCAATCAAGGATTTTAAGGGAGAGACAAGCTGAGATTTTTATTTCTGATAGATGAGACGGCAGATGAATTACTTAGCCAAATTTTGTACTTCAATTAGAATTTTATATCAGAGACTTGGAATTTTACAATAGTACAGACCTCAGAGGACTTTCATGAGGAGGAAATGAGCTAATTTATGCAGTTGCTACCTACATGTTTCTGTGATGATGATGACGGTGATTTTGTCCAATTTGTACACCATGCTAAAAAAATGTGAGCCCTGCCTTGAGGAATGACATGTCAGAATTTCATATTATGTTAAGACCTTTAAATTTTATCCAGAGAATGGTTTTGGTGAGTTTACATGTCAGATATGTTTACACTAAAAGGTTTGGATTTAATATTGCAGACGGTAAATAAACAGTGAAAGGCTTTAATCAGAAGGATTGCATGATCAAATTTAAGTGTCACGCTAACAAGGGCATACTTAATTTTGAGAAAGAGCAGATCTGAATTTTGTATCCTGTTGAAAAGTCTGGATTTTAGCCAGCAAGGATTTTTTACAAAAGGGAATGCACTTTTTTTTTTTTAAATAGACCAGCCCAGTGGCCCTAAGAAGTAACAAAAAGTGTTAAATTTACAAAAAGCAATAACTTTATGACTTATCTATCGAATAATCAATGCTGAATTTTCTCTGCCCCGGAGAAGCAATATGCAAATAACCCCAAACCAAGACAACTCTTTAAATTCCATTTCACCCCACTACAACTACCCCTGCTAGACTTTCCAAAATTTCAGGACATTTGGGTTTCAAAGGTATCCCATGCTCTGCTCCCCACCCAAGGTCACATCTCTGACAGATACACCCCTAAGTAGGAGAAAATCGATCAGGGACAGAGAGAAGGGGCATCTGCCAGAACGAGGCCAGCCCCTCCTTGAACAGAGGAGGGGACTTGGGAAGATGTGATTGGTGAGGCCTGCAAATATGTTTGCATGCATGGAATTGAGGCCAGATGTGGGAAGTTCCAGGAGCCCAGCAGACCAAGAAGGCAATCCTGAGACAGTGCAGATCTTAGGAGGGCGGGGAGGTTACCTGAAGATCTCCTTCACAGCTCAGAGCTGGAGAGAACATGGCATTGGAAGGAGATCAAATCGAGAAAGAGAAATCCCCAAAAAGTGTGGCCTAGGATCAGGTAACCGAGGTGGAGTTCTCCGACACATAGTAGGCCTTTTAGAAACATGCATGGTGGGGGGGAGGATTAAAAATAAAAGCCAGAACCCAGCCTTCTATTTCTCCCCTCCGTATTTTTTTATTTTAAACGTGGAGGAGGAAATAAGAGCTATTTTGGGCTGCTGACCCAGCTGGCGGGAGAGTGGCCAAGTGCCCGTTTTCTCCTCTTCCCCCAAAGTGGAGCCACAGCGGGCATCTCTGCCGGAGTTTCCCGCCTCCACAACCACACGGGCTGGGCTTGCTCCAGAGCCCCAAGCCTGCCAAGGGTGGCTTGGAATGGCACTGAGATGTGACCTCTGTGACTCGGATGATCAAAGACGGGGAGGAAGACTGACCGGGCACATGTGCCAGGGAGAAATGGAGCAGCCCTGTACCCTGCCAGGTGCCTGCCTGCTTGCCACAGCAGCCGCTCTGGGCTAGTTGCGCCACAAAATTTATGGGCTGTGAATTTCTCACACCCATAGAGGAAGTAGGCGGGCCAAGCAGGCAGACTCCGCCTGGGAGGCAGGTCAGGGTTGACTGAGTCTCTCCCTGGGGGTGCCCCAAGTGACCAGCCAAGGAGGCTGGTTTGGACACAGGAAGGTTTTCCCTGGCTCTTCTGTGTTCTGATTGCTTGGGCATCTGATTTGTGCTTGAGAACCTGACCCTGACCTCTTGAGACCCTAAACTGCTGCCTTTACTCCCCACTCCATCCCTCTGTTCCTAGGTTCTGATCTCTACAGGCCCAGTCGCTGGCGGGAGGCGTCCCAACCTTACCGATCTTCAGAAAACACTCCTTTCCAACCGACGAAATGATAGAACCCTCTGAAGACTCATTTGAGACGATGATGGAGCGTAAGAATCCATCATCAAAACAAATGGAGTCCTCCGAGGGCTCGTCCAACACCACCATGGAGACACCGGGCAGTGGAGCGCAGGCGGCGGCGGCAGGGCCATCCAGTGGCCCAGCCCAGGAAAGAGAGGAGCCACCCAGTGGCTCACTCCAGGAAATGAAAGAGCTGCCCATTGATCTACTCCAAGACATGGAGGAGCCATCCAGTGGCCCACATAAGGAAATAGAGGATCCACCCAATGACCTACTCCAAGACCTGGAGGAGTCATGCTATGGTTCACACCAGGCAGTGGGGGATCCACTCAAGGAAACATCTGAGAGAATGAGAGAAGCGTCAGTCAACCCATCGGGAGCCCAGGGAAAGCGAGAGGCAGACAACACTGACCTGAAGGAGTCAGAAAAGAAGGAGAATCCCGAAGAGGAAAACCAGACCGAGAGCTCTCCCGCAGAAATCATGACCATGATGCGGTCCATCATCTCACTGTACTTCCGAATGCAAGACCTCAAAGAACAACAGAGAGTAGCAGAGGAGATCCTGGTCCGGGGGATCAATGCCGGCCGCCTTCCCGCCCCAAAGCGCTTCTCTGGCGATCGCAGAGAATACCATGAGTTCATCGTGCTCTGCCAACTGATCTTACAAAGCTACCCGAGAATGTTTTACAGCGACCGCCTGCGGGTGAAGTATGTCATCTGCCACCTCTCGGGCTTAGCCTTGGAGTGGGCCAAAGCTCTGCTGCAGCAGAACAGCCCCCTGATGGGAGACTTCCCCGCCTTCCTGGAGGCCATGTCAGAAGTGTTCGAGTACCGGCAGACACTACGTGTGGCAGAAGAGGCCATGTTCAACATCAGGCAGGGCAATCGCTGTGCCACCGACTACATCAATGAGTTCCAGAGCCTGGTACCTACCTTGGGCTGGCCAGACGAAGTCCTGCAGGCCCACCTGTGCCAGGGGCTCAACGAGGACATCAGGCATTATCTATTCCGCGTCCCACAACCGGATTCCCTGGACAGCCTGATTGTGGTCATCCTGCAAATAGAAGACAAGCTGGCAGAGAGACGGGCCATGCTCAGGCTGCCCCCAGAGGCCCGCCCACGGAACCTGACCTGGATCGACTCACCTGCTCCAGAGAAGTGGATGGTCAGCAGCTGGCTGCCCAGCGAATTCCATCCGGCCATCAATCGCGCCCATCTCTTCCTGCTGCTCTTGGTCAGAGTGAACCCCTACCACAGTGTGGCGGTCCAGGCCCTGGTGGATTCCGGAGCAGAAGGCAACTTCATGGATGAGAAGTTTGCCCAAGAGCACTACGTGGAGCTGTACGAGAAGCCCTACCCACAGTCAATCCAGACCGTTGACGGCTCGCTGATCGGCAACGAGCCCATCTGGCTCTACACGGAACCCCTGGTGTGCATTCACCAGAACCACCAGGAGTCCATCGAATTCGACATCGTACCTTCACCTAACTTCTCCGTGGTCCTGGGCATCAACTGGCTCCGAATCCACGCCCCAGAAGTCGACTGGATCAAAGGCCGCTGCACCTTCCACTCTCCCTACTGCCTGAAGAACTGCTTCCGCCCACCCCCGCCATGCATCGCACTGGAGAGACACAGCATAAGCCTACTGCCCGGATTGCCACACCCATACTCAGACCTGGCCGACGTGTTTAACCCGAAGGAAGCAGATGATGAGACTTCCGACCAGCCAAGCTCAGACGGATCCGATGATCTTTCTGAATCAGAGCCCTCTGAGCTTCAGCAGGCTGGAGACAGTGATCACAGCGAGACCTTTTACGAGTGTCCCTCCACCGCGCCTTGGGAACCTGTGGGTGCCAGGATGCAAGAAGAAGCCAGGCAGCAAGAGGAATTCTGGGAGCTGCAGGACATGCTGACCGACAGACAGGACTACATACAGATGGTTCCGGAACTGTTTGACCAGTTACACGGAGCCGCGTGGTTCACAAAACTAGAGCTGCGTGGGACCATAGTGGAGGGGAGCATGAGCGCCCACCGAACAGAGGAGACATGGAAAGCAGCGTTCGGTCTGGAGCTTCAAGACATGAAGAGCTACCAGCCCTTCGCACTGTCCCCAGACCCTATCATACCACAGAGCGTGATCCACTTCATCCTGAAGGACATGCTAGGCTTCTTTGTGCTCTCCTACGGCCAGGAAGTCCTCGTCTACTCAATGTGCCAGGAGGAGCACCTCCAGCACGTCCGCCAAGTCCTCGTCCGCTTCCGGCACCACAACGTCTACTGCTCACTAGACAAAAGCCAGTTCCACCGACAGACGGCAGAAATCCTGGGCTTCGTCGTGTCCCCCAAAGGGGTGAAACTGAACAAGAACATCATGAACATCATCACGGGGCACCCGACCCCAGTCAATAAGAAGTCCCTACGCAGCCTGATCGAGTTCGTGTTCCCCTACCGCCACTTTGTGGAGCGCTTTGCCATCATCGCAGAGCCCCTGGTGCGGCAGGTGCTGAGCACCCAACCTTTCTACTGGGGAGAAGAGGAGCAGGAGGCCTTCGAGTGCCTGAAGAGGGCTTTCCGCAAGGCGCCCATGCTCTACCACCCCAGGCCTCAGAACCAGTTCTACTTGGAAACGGGCATCTACAGGACGGCCCTGTACACCTCCCTGATCCAAATTGACGACCAAACTGGCAAGAGAGTCACCTGCGCTTTCTACTCCCGAAACCTCTCCCCCATCGAGGTCGAGTACCCTCTGGTGGAGATGAGAGTCCTTCCCATCCGGGCTGCCTTCATGGTGTGGTGCCGCTACCTGGAGAACACCGAGGAGCCCATCATGATCCTTCTCAACACGGAGGATCTAGCCTCTCTGAATAATGACAGGCTCACCGTACTTCTCCCCGGGCATTGGGTCTTCTTCTTCTCTCACTTCAACTTTGACGTCATGGAGCTGCCTGAACAAGACGGGGGCCGCCCCCTGACACCTGTAAGAAACCGCGGCCGCAGAGGGCTGCGCGGCAGGGCCACACGGCCCGTCCTGCTCTATGCCACGAGAGGATCCCCCAGGGATCAGACCATCGAATCCGAGGAGGAGGAGAACGAGAACGAGCCAGACCAAGACGAATTCAACGAGCAGGCCCTGCAGCAGGAGCTGCTGGCCATGATTCCCATCGACCAGATCCTCAACAGCTTCCTGGCCCACTTCAGCATGGCCCAGATCAGGGCCGTCATCCTGCACTTCTTCCGAGGCCTCCTCTACTGGAAGAACCTGCTCGCCTTGGCAGCCGTCCTAGTGCTCATGAGGGTGAGACAGTGCCCTGCCCTGCTGCCAGCCCCCACCATGGCGGTGGCTCGGCCCCAACCACGGCGCTCCCTGCGGCTCATCCTGGACTCGACCCTCATTGCCAGCAGCAGCATGGCCACGGCCATTGCTCAGCTGCTCACTCAGATGCCCCCTCTGGTGGGCGCCAACACCGTCCCGGCCCAGGAGATGGCCGAGCTGTTCCTGGGCCCCCGCCGCTGGCAGAGAAATGCCCTGCACCCCCAGACCACCGGGGGCCTGAGATTCACCCCGGGCTTCTGGCTGACACTGTGTGAGTTCTTTGGTGTCCGCGTCACCCCACCTGAGGGTGGCCGCCCTGCCCCACGCCAGAACCGCTACTTGGAGCTGCACGTCGTTGGCGATGAGGATGTCGTCTTGCGAGAAGCCCTGCAAGACGACCTGCAACGTTACCGTCAGTGTGGCCTGCATGACGGCCTGCAAGACACCTCGCAGGACGCGCAGGACAACGACGCGCAGGAAGCCCTGCCCACACAGACGGCCGGTGCCCTCACACTCCGCCCACGCAACCTGATGGACCCTGAGGTCCTGGACTTCCTCCAAAATCGCCTGCTCCATGTGCGAGGTGCCGATGGGAGGCTCACGCTGCTCAGCAGGGAGCAGGTGGCCCAGGCCCTGACCCGATTCCTGAGCATGGCCTACAGGCAGGCCCCGCCTGCCCCAGCCTCTGGGCATGAGCCCAGGGAACCAGCAAGCCTGGAAGAGCTACCCGACCTCGAGGATGCTGACCTCGACTGAAAACACCTCCTCTCCAGCCAGGAGGCCCCTCTCCTCCAACCAGCACCCTGCAGTCTCCACCAGGCTCCCTGCGCCTCAGCCAGCTTTGCTCAGACCCAGCGCCCCTCCTGCCACTCCTGACCCAAGGGGAACCCACTTGTGAAGGGCAAAATTCCTTCGACTCATCAACCAGCAACGCCATCTGTGCTAAAGGACTATCAGTCATCAGTGACCCAGTCAGTTCAGGGCTACACAACCCCGTCCAGATTCTCCAGGTCCCAGGCCACAACTGGGACTGACATCCACGAGAGGAGAGGGCAGTGACGAGCAGGAAATGACCCGTGACCCAAGGCCAGAAGCAGAAGCAGGCACAGCGGGTGCAGCCAAGCAAGCAGATGCCAGGGACCCCCGCCCGGAGTGGCGCGCAGCCCCCTGTGCATCCTGGGACACTGACCTCGGGTGCTCCACTGACTTCTTCTACCTCCACCACCGGTGCTCCTGCTCCCCTGGGCCCCCACCCCACCCCCTCCCGGCCTCCCGAGGTCCTGCAGGTGCCTCCCGCCACCCCAGCCCACCCCGCAAGCAAGCCCACCCCCACCGTCTGGTTCGGCTCCCTCGACACTAAAGACTTCATCTGACCCTGAGCTCTGGACTTACCTGGACAGAGCCGCTCCGAGGAGTGTCTGACGTGCCCGTGCTACTTACCAGATGGACTTGCCCACCTTGATGGCCCCCGAGACTCAGGGGACACCGGAGCGGGCAGCCGTGCTGATTGGACTCCCTGCCCCTCCCAATGCTCACAGCTGGACAGTGCAGGGCCCAGAGGCCCCCAGTAGAGGGAGGGGACCCGAGAGAGACGGAGAAAGTCCCCAGACACCCTGCCCCTGTGCTGAGGAGCCAAGAGTGCTCCAACCAGACCCCGCTTCTTGCCACGGAGGACGCCCTCCCCACACCTTCCCACCCCACCGGCTTCCCAACCCAAAATAAAGCAGAATAAAAGATGATCTGACTTTGTGGTTTGTTCTAAAAGGTGGGGGGTGGGAAGGGAGGGAGGAGGGTAGACAGGCATGGGAGGGGACAGGTGGGGAGTCAGGCAGGAGGGGGAGGGGGGCAGGAGCGGTTGCAGGTGGCAGATGGATGGGGGAAGAGCAAGTGGAGTGAGGGGGAGGGGGTCCCCTGAAATGGTCCCCATGAAACACACAACGGCAGCCCTCTTCTACCTCCTAAAAGTGTCCCCTTCCAGGCCCTGGGCACTTACTCCTACCATGTGGACATGGCTGCTCACCCCACAAGCTCATTCCAAGAAGGGAGGTGCACTTGGGAGGGGACACGAGGGACAGGAGTGCTGGGTACAGCCTCTGCCTGAGAGCGGGGATGCCCAGAAACCAAGGCCCCTCAGCCACAGGGGAAATGAGGGTAATCAGTGCCCACAGCCCAGAGGGCCAGCAAGCCCTGGCCTCACACCTCAGCCCCATTTCAAAGGGACCCCTGCCCTAAAAGTGGCAAATGGCTATACTGCCCGGAAAGGAAAAGAGGCTCCTGAGGGCCAGGAAAGCAGGGGTTGGTGGCACGCACTGGCTTCAGACTCACCACTCCACATCTGGCACACACTGACCCCACCACCTGGCACAGGCCCCGATCCAGGAGGGGCCTCTGCACTCTTAGGGGTGCCCAGCCCACCCTGGTCCTCCTCATGTGGGAACCCTGCAAGAAGGCAGGGCGTAGGAAACTGGGACCACTCCCAGCAAAGCCCAGACCTCCCCTGGGAGGGGGACAAGACAGGTTCCATGCACAGGGCCCTGGTACTCTAGGGACATCAGCTCTGCTCTCGAGGCCCTGACCTGGGATCTGCCCCTAAGTAAGCCCCAAGAGACCACCCAAAGAGCTCAAGTTCAAAGGTCAGAGCACTGCAGGGGCCTGACACACCTGTCCCTGAGCCAAGTTCTCAGCGGCCTCACAGATGGGACCCTACTCTGTCCCCGAGAAGAATGCCAAGGCACAAGGAGTTCTGCAGCACCGAGACGTGCGACCCCTCCTGCGTGTGGAGTCTTTGGACAGAGACAACACCCCACAGGAGCCCAAGGTCAGTGCTGGAAGCTCATCCACTCCCTCCGTACCCCCCTGGCCCCTTACTGGACTCACTGTGCCCTCACAATCCCTGGGGTGCCTGGCTGCCACCTCCCGTTCATCTGTCTGAGTAATCTACCCCTGACAGCAACACCCAGAGATCATGGTCAGGATCCCCAGGCCTAAGGTCAGGGGCTCAGCTTCACCTCCAGGCAGGCTCTGCTGTCTGGTTAGGAAGGTGCCAGTGTCCCCTCCCCAGCTCTGCTGGACTGGCTGACCTCTGTTTCCCCACCTGTCATTCACACCCATGAGGGTTCTGTAACAATTCAGAAGGGTCACCAATAAAGTCCTGGGCACAGCCCACATGCCACTCCCCCTGCCCATCTAGTGCCATTTATGCAGGCAAGCTTGGGGAAGTGGGGCTCAGAGAGAGCTGAAAATAGTTGGGGACAGAGTTAAAATTGAGATTTGGTGGCCTTTGCCCTATCATCCTGGGCCATTCTGCCCCTGCAACGTATGGTCACAGCCAAGCAAATGACTCCCACCTACAGCTCACATCACAACATCCCCAGAGCTCCAGAACAGGTCTCCTGTTTGTCCACCCTGCCCAGGCAGCAGCTCCAAGCAGGCACCATGGGTCAAGGTCAAAGGCTCAGCTGGGAGAACTCCAGCATCCCCTAGCAACCTGGTCACGGGAAGGCCCTGACCCTAATATGCTGGGTGACCTCAGAGGGTGGCTGTGTATCTTGCAACCTGCTCTCCCATCATCAAACAGGGGACACAGTCACCAGGTCGCTTCCTAAAACCCCCACTGTTCCCAGATGACACTCTGCTTGGCAGGGCGGAGGGGGGAGGGTCCCAAGATCTGCTACCAAGAAGTGGAGCTTGAGGTCCCAGTGTGGAACCCACCCCAGCACAGGCACTCTACCTCAAGTCACCTGGTGTGACCCCTAGGGGACCCAGAGGCTGTGAGGACCTGTGAGTACCACCATGTCTCCCTGCTTAGCTCCTGGAAGGTAGAGAATCAAGTGGGACCACCTCACAGGCTAAGCCACGCAGAAGTCATCACCAAACAGTCAGTGCCCTGAAGGGACCAGATGCCCACTCAGGCCTGTTCACAAGGACAGCGCAGGCACGCACACACACACGCACACACACACACACACACACACACAAGCTACAGGGGTGGCCTGCACAGGAGCAGCCCCTGCCTCCCAAACCCGAGATGGCTCCTTCACAGAGACAGGGCGCAGCCCAGGCCCAGAGCTCCACTAACAAAGGAAAAGTACCAGGTTATTTTGTCCCCATCTTCCAGGAAAGAGGAAAAAAAAAAAAAAAAAAAACATGCATTACAAACCTTTTTTCTCCTGTCCTGAAAAATAAAAAAATCGGCATTAAAGGACACGCTACTCAACAACATTGCGGCCACCACAAAAACAACAGGAAGCTCAAGGCCGGCTTCTGTCACTCCAGCCCCCACCCCCACCAGTGCTGACAGCATCTAGGAGATGAAGGAGAGCCCCAAGGCCCATGCTTGGCAGCCCCCCAGCCCTGTCACCCTCCCTCTCCATCCCCAGCCCACCTGTCCCCTCCACGAGATGCCTCCCCCACCCAGGCTCCAGGCTGGGCTCACACTGGGCCTGTTTGGGAGCCCACAGGCACACACTTGCCAGCCATCCCCGCCCGCGCACCATCAGGCCCAGAATGGCTTGTCCTTCTTGCAAGTGGTCATGGGTCAGATGGGAAGCCCTGACTCAGGGGCTTGGAGCCTTGGAAGCTCCCAAAACTCTGGCCAGAGCAGAGGAAGGAGGTCACCTCCCCCACTTACCTGTTTGGCTCAGCTCTGCTCTCTTCATGAAAAAAAAGTGACGCACAGAATCCGGCCCACCCCACTCCACCGGCCCACCCCAAACCCTGCAGCTGGGCCCATGGGCCCTCAAGTCACACCTCATGGCCATCCAATGTGACCTGAGACCAAGCAGTGAGACTCATCGGGACCTCTGTGCGCCAGCCTGAGCTCTTTTAGAGACCATTAAGTCCACCCAACACCAGGGAAGATGCGAGGCTAAGGCAGGAGGAGGGTGGGGAGAGGGAGTGAAGGAGGCGCAGAGAAGAAAAGGGGAGAAGGTGGGAGGGGAAGGGCGAGGGGGCAGGACGCCCCTGTCCCACAGCAGCAGCTTCACACAGTAGCACGGCCTTGCCACAGGCACGCATGTGTGTCCTGAGCTGTCTGCGTGGCTAGTTAATGCATTGATGATGCTGGTGTCCCAGGGGCTGGGAGTGGGTCACCTGGGTCACACACACCTCTTAATAGGGGATGCAGAAGACACAGGTGACATGCCAGCCTGGCACAAGAGCAAGAACAGGGTGGCTGCGGACAGCCGCTAGGGCACCCAGAATTGGAACGTCCGGGAGGAGGGGGACCGTGTCTGGAAGGGTTGTTCAAGAAGAGAGTAAGAGGCCGCCTATGAGGGGCCTCTGCCTCCTGGTCATGGAAAGTCCTGGTTAGAGGCAGAGGCCCCTCAAGGCAACCCTTCTCTTGGGTCAAAGGGTGGCCTGCTCTGTCCCAGCCCTGCCCCCAGTCCTGGGGACAAGGGGCACCCTCTCTCCAGAATCTGCCCTCTGTCCCGTGAGCTGGGTCTTCTTAGAGAGCTCCTGTGGGAACACCATCCCAGAAGCCCCAGGGCTGGCCCAACTCCACCTCTGCCCTGTCTGCCCGGGGCCGCAGAGTCAGAGGGTGACCCTGGGCCCAGCCCCAAGGAGGGTCCCACTCGGGGCACAGCCTTCTCCTCCAAGGAGGGGCCCTCAAAGAAGGCCCAGGCCAGGCCCTTCCTTCCAGGAACTCAGAGAGCCGTGGAAGACAGGGAGAAGAGTCCGCAGAGCAGGCCCGACAGGAGCAAGCTGGAGGACATGTCCCCATGCAGCGGAGGATGCAGAGGAGGGTCCCCAGTGGC